TGAAATTTCTCAAGCAAAGAGTCAATGATGTTCGGAGCACACGAGAGAAGAACATATTACAGTAAAAAGGAAACTTTTACCACATGACACAAAGAGACTCTTAAAGCAATGAAACAAGCAACGCTTCTCCGATACTCCTTCCATTTCAAAATGTAGGTCGTTTTAGATTTAGAGAAATATTACCTCCGGTCCTTATTATAAGATATTTTAATTTTGTCCTATGTTTCACCTAAGATGTATTTTTAATTGAAATAGAAACCTTAAAACCATTTTATAATAATTAGGAGAATACAACGAATGTGAAAATATGTTTTAAAGATTTTTTCTCCAATTAAAAAGATATCTTAGATTAAACCTATGACGGAATCAAAATGTCTTATAAGAAGGACCAGAGGAAGTATTTTAAAATGTAGGTCGTTTTAGGATTTCAAGGCAATTAAAAGCCAACTTTTCAATTTTACCTCTAATAGATGATGCTAATCACCTTTCATCTAGTCTTGGTTATAATTTCAAAACAACTAATGATGGATAAAATAGACATTTAACACACAAACTAATTATTAAATGATTGTCTCCTTAGTTTACGTGAATAGTCTAAAACGACTGATATTTTGAAATGGAGGAAGTACCATTTAAATTCCTCGGAAAAATAATAATTTCAAATTCAATCTATGAATATAATTTTGTATGAATTTGTTATTACTAGCTCTCATTGGATATTACGTGTCCAACGAGAGTTCACATAGTAGAGGGAATGTTTATATTTATTTCTCTAATACAATTGTGTAGTTTGTATTTTTAGTTTTTTTAATATAAATGTTTGTGTTACGCTAAAATTGAAAATCCAAACTACACAATTATTTTAGGGTAGATAGAAAACTTTTTAAATTTTTTCATTTCATAGGATTTTTCATTCCTGTCATTACAACTTACATAGATTAATATACTTTATTTAATTTGTTACAATGTAAGGATTTGGGCACGATGCAACTACTTTAAGGTAAGTTATTCTATAATATATACTTTAATAATTTATTTTTAATTATTATTCTCTTAATTCATATGCACATTCTCATATGACAGGAATAAAACATTGCGATAGTAGTAGAAGTTTGAATTTGATCACATCGTTCATGGTAAATACAGTTAAGTTTTTCATCCGATACGTAATCATTATTAATTTTCACAATGCTCAGGGCTTATTTGTCCAACTCTTATTTTGTGTTTTGGTCTCAATTTAACTCTCAAACACAAAACTCGATGCACTATTCAAGTAAGATTTAACTTTTTTAAAAATTATTTTCACACAATTTTCGTTCACAATCACCGGACCATCTCCACCATCGTCCGCCACCGCCAAACCGCCCCCAGTTGCAGCCGATCGGCCGGATTCTGGCAAAAAATTTCGGCCAAAATTTGGCTAGAATCTGGCCGGCCGGTTGCCGGTCGATGGCGGCGAAGGGTCCAGCAGTAGACAAAAATAGTGGAGGTGATCGGTGGTAGTAAAAAAATAATATTATTTTAATTAAAAAATTATCAAAATAATTTTTTAAATTTTTTCTCAAAACACAATACCATCGTCCAAACAAACCCTCAGTTATCTACTTACAAGTTATTTTATACTTTTTGAATGTCAAGAAATGTGCACTTCAGTGGATTAAATTCACTAGTATTTCTTCCTTAGAAAAATAATTTACGAGTGGTGATGCTTAGAGTAAAAACTCTCGAAATTTATAACTTCTGTTAAATCATAATTTTTTTCAATCTCACTTTGGAATCAGTAAAAAATCAAAGTCAATTAATAAGATAATAAAGTAAAAAAAATTTCTATATAAATAAAAGTCCCCTAAAAATCATAAATTAATAATGATATAAAACCAAAAAAAGAAAAAGAAAAACTTAGAAAATTTAAGAAAGTAGGAGACTATTGAGTTTTTTTTCCCTTAAAATTTACGTGTAAAAAAATTTATTTTTTAATTTTTATCTAACCAGTAAAAATAATATAAAACATAAATATATAGGGAATTTTACTCCAACGGATCTGGAAAGTAGGTATTAAGCATATATTTAAGGAATGCAATGGGATGGATGACTTCTTAACAAAAAATTGTCTCAGTTCGACCTATGGGTTACATATTTTGGCAAACCCTATGAATATACTACGCAATAGTATTTTGGTAGATAAGTCGGCGACTCATTTCCCGAAGAGGGTGCCTTTGTAAATCAGCTTTAAGCTTCCATCATGTAAATACATAACAAAAAATAAATATACAAAAAAATAGAGTTAAAATGAGAATTGAATAACAATCTAGTGATTAGGTTGTATTTCCTATAAGTGGAGTTGGGTTTTTTTTTTTTTGGAAAATGGTACCTGTATATTATAGAATATATAGATTATTACATTGCATCCGATAATAAGCAATATTATGGACTTCCGACATGTCCGATCTAAGAACTTTAATCAATTCGCAATACACAAAGGAGTTTATAAGTGTTAATAAATTCGGCTTGTACCTCTAAGGGGATTTGTCTATCCCGAAGATGGGTAGCTAAAAATTCACAATTTTTATAAATTCCTCAAAGGGACTTAGGTTCAATTCCCACCAAAAGATTTGTAAGTAGAGGTTTTACCTATATTTAAGTGGGGTTCATTGGGATGATTTTTTTGTGAAAAAATAATAAAATAATTTTGAACTTGAGTATATGTTTCTTAATAAAATAATAATATTTAATTTATCGATGAAATAATAATCTTTATAAATTAATAAATTTTTGTACACCTAACACTATTAATTTATAAAGTTTTTACTGTACATGAAAATTTGATAAATTGACATGAAATGAGGTAAAAGGATTTTAACTATCTCCTGATTCTTAAATAAATAAAGGAAGAATGTAAATCTTACTATATTAGAAACAAAAACCACACTTAAAGAAAGAACCATCATTTGCTATGTGGCATTTCCACATCATATTTTTAAAATAAATTTTTCTTTACACATCAGTTTCCTAGACTTAAAAGGCAAATGCAGTCCAAATCCTAATCTCCATCTCCACGACAATCGACTCCCTAATCAATCCCTTCTCCACAATAAGAAAAAAAAAATAAATTCCTCATCAATCATCAATTGAGAATATGTGGTGAAATATACTTATTTCTTATTAGCATGTTCAATCTTTTTATTAGCGATGATCAACTACATCTTAATCCGATAAAATTTCGACTTCAAAAAATATTCTCTTTACCTCTCTATATAAACACAAAGGGAAAAAAAAATTCTCATTAATGTTGCTTTCGGCCATTGTGGTGGTGCCATTACAGATATTAAAATTTAAATGATTTTATATCCACAGATCATTTGTACGGCTTTTATTATTTTTTGTTTTTCCCGTTCAAGAATAGTGTTATTACTATTATTTTTATGCGTCCACCTGTTACAGCTACCGTAGCCGTTGCCAGGTAATATGATGTGATTTCTTATATGGTTAGTAAGCTTAGAATTTTTGTACGATTTTAGTTCTGTTTGAATTGAATTGATCAATTGGGTTTTTGTCACAAAGTATGGTTTTTTTAATTTTTTTTTCATGTTTTATTCATTTAGAGTGGTTTTTCTTTTTTTAATTATGGAGTCTCAGTTTTTTTCGTATATGGCCAGTTATGAATTGTGTTTTTTTCTTTGTTTAATTGCTTTTGATTTTGTTTCATACTCCCACTTGACCAATTATTATTATTATTATTACAAATGAAGCGCGTTTTTTTTTTGTGTTCGGACTTTCAAGCATATACTTTTTTGGATTTGGTTTTTGGACTTTTAAATTACTCATCATATAAATGGTTCAGGTCGCTTCTTCTAACTAATTTATGGGGAAGCCTTTTATGAATTTGAGGTGGAGAGGGAATGAATGATGTTTCTACGTTTATTTGTGTTTTATACATCATTTTTACCTACAGGAAAAAAAAATTTCTCAATTTTTAATGGACTCTTTTACTTATTTTTTTTTATTTGCCATGGTGAGGTGAGTTCTTTTTTGCTATAACTTGAAACTTATGCAAATTTACATTAATTTTCATTCTCATATTTGTGATCAACCAGTTTCAACAATTAATCAGTTTCAAAATCATATTTTTGATATTTTACTAGCTATAAGCCTTTGGAAGAAACAGTTCCAACAATTAAACGTATACCCTTCAGAGGAAGCTTACTACAAAGCTATTATAAATCTCTAAAACCAAGTATTGATTTGGCACGACAAATGGAGAACATCAATAAATCATCTTACTAATATTTAAATTTATTAGGATGCTTTTATATTTTGTCTAACATTTACTTCAAGAGATATACTTGATCAAGTTTATTTATATTTAATAAGTCACACTTATAAAACATTTCTAAAATATTCAAACATTTTTAAAACGTACCGGGCCAAATACACTTTTTTTTTTTGCCAAATACAAACATTTCTATGATCACACTTATAAAACATTTCTAAATTCTTCAAACATTTCTAAAATATATCGGGCTAAATACAAAATATTTTTTTTTCAAATACAAATATTTCTAAGATCTACAGATTTATTGGGCCAGAGTCGCGCATTGCGCGACCAGACATCACTAGTCATAATTAGAGAAGATTATAATTCATTTCGTGTAACATTTCTTTGCACGAATCATTATCCATAGTTCACATTGAAATAAGCATATATTATAATGTTATAATCCATAAACTATAGCGTGAACGGTATTTTCTTAGAATAGAATAAGTATCATTCCTTATCTATTGATACTCTTCTTTTTGTACTTCGGTCAAGCAAGGGATATATTAATAAAATTGCTAAAAAAATGATGATCTTCAAAATCTACTAGCTACATCCTCTTATTATTATGCATGCCAACAAAGGAAAAAAAAAGAAGAAAAGAAGAAGCCATTATTATATATTAACATAAAATAGTGCCAAATGTCAACATCAGTCTCATACATTTGTGTAAGAAATTTTATCCATCCAACCAAACATCAAATATTATAATTTGACTTTAGGAAATAGGTTCATAGTCACAGGTCCAAAATGAGATGGATGCTAGCAAGAGCATCAAGGCTCCATCCATCCGTTTAATTCTTTTTTTTTTCTCTGGTTCGACATTGATTACTGTTTACTTGGTAATAAGATAGACATTTCAAGATGGATCAACCATTTTAAATTAGGGTGATAGATGAGAATGGATAGAGGAGTAAGATAATGATACAATGGATGAGTGAGGTTAAGAGTCACATCACTTCACAGGAGGGAGAAAAAAAGATAAAGAAGCCCTTCTTAATTAAATCTTTGAAGGAAGGAAGAGAATCAAAAGCAGGAAGTGAATGACAAAGGAAGGAAGGAAGGAATTACTCCAGAAAACATCCTACAATAGTCGTCCACTCAACTGAAAAGCTCTGGCACTGCCCTAACTAAACAATTTCTTATCCACAGGAATTCTTCATCCGAAGCAAATAAGCAGCAATCCTGCCCCAAAAGTCTCAAATGAAAACTGATACGCCAAGCCACAAAATCATCATGTCAAGCAAAGACTCCTTCTTTTTTTTTGGGTTTTTTTTTGTTGGGTTGTAAATATGCAATTTTGACATAATCATCAGACGTCAAGCAATATATATCAATTCCCCCCCAAAAATTTTAGTTGTGGAAAGTAATAGAGAGCCCCTACAAATACAATCTGTGCCCGTTTGTTTGTTTTGCCCAAATGATCATCAATGAATGAACACGCCACGCCACGCCACCTGCAGCCCAGCCCTCTCCCTCCCTCTATATATAAAATTATCAGCAGCTGCCAAGTTCCCTCACTGCCTTCTTTGTTCCCAAACACAGCCTCTCTTCTCAATTGCTATTGCTGCTGAGTAAGTCCTCCTTCTTCTCTTACTGACGCCATCCTTCTGTAAAGTCTTCATCTTTACTGTCAATCACTCACGGCATTGTTATATACTCTGTTCTTTATTCATGCTTCGATACCTCCTATGTTGTATCCTCATTATGTAATATAAGTGTTTATCGGAATCTATCTTCATCCCCAGGGAAAGGATAATATCAAACTATTTGTTACTAATGTGGTTCTGATGTCATTGCTTTTCATATACGGGTCAAGGCTTCAAGAGTTCCTAATTTTTATTGGACTTTCCTATGCTTTGTCAAATTCACTTAATCCGATGTTGATAAACTAAACCCAGCTTTTATTATTATGATTGTTATTTTTTTTGGATTGGAATAACATCTTTTTCAACTGGAATACGGTAGTAATACACACACAGTGGGGAAAAAAATGTTGCCCTCTGACATCTCATATTGGATTTTGTTCTTCCTTTTCTTAGTTAGTTATCTCGACTTCGTAGAATTCGGCTGCATGATATCACTATTATCACATGGGAGATCATGTTTATATATTGATGCTTTAGTTAGCTGATGACCATCATAAGACTGCAAGTTGGTTTTGCTTTTTTCCTTTTCTGTTACTGATAACTGATTTTTTTGGACTCGCTAGCTGCTTGTTTGCGATGAAATCAAAGTCCCTTCTCGCGCAAGAAGTAAAAGACTTGCTGTCATGCATGTATCAACCTATCTGTGTTCGTTTTGTCTGTTGCAACCGTGAATTACAAAAAAAAGAAGTAGCTACCTTTACTACCTTCTTCCTGTTTTAAAATAGAACCTAATAATTGACTGAGAGCTTGCATTCTTTGATCAAGCTTATTATATAGGGCCCTTCCTCCCCCCAAGTCCTTGATGATTCTGTAAGGACGATAGAACAGATGGGTTTGCAACTACTTTATCACATTCTGCTTTTCTTTGTTGCTGCTCCATGGATTCTTCACCCATGTTCTGCAATAGGGGATGATACCGATCAAACTACGTTTCTGCTTGTCAATGCTTCTACATCACTATCGAGAAAAATTCCTGACAACTTGTTTGGTGTATTCTTTGAGGTAACTATGCAACCTTTACCCAATAGATTCTTGGCTTGGTTTGCAAATGTTCACTATTGTCTGGTTCTGTTCGATGAGATTGTTTATTACTGATATTTACTCCTCTAGAATCTTTTCTTGACAGCAAAATAACTTGATGAAAAGGTTCATCTTATCTTTTTTTTTTTTTTAACAAATTGAAGAATTTTCACCAAATGGTTCTTTCATCCTGGAACTTTTAACATAATACACAGGAGATCAATCATGCCGGTGCTGGTGGACTGTGGGCTGAACTTGTTAGCAACCGAGGTCAGATTTCAGATTACTTGAGTAGTACTTCTGTGAACAGGAAAGCTCTGAAATGATGTTAGAAAGGGCGGGTTCATATCTGTTTGTCTGATGTGCTATAAGTTGCTATGCATATTTCCAAAAATAAAGGACTACGACAAGGCAATCTAAAAAACTCTTTTCTACTCACGCAATGCTGATTATTTTAATATTTCTACACCCTTCAAAAGAAATGTCTTTTTGGTTTCTAAAATTTGGAACAATAAAATTCACTGTAAAGAGCTTTGTCAAATATGTTACAGCCGGGACAGCCTTTTCTTTACTTCTTTTCTTGCTGTTCTCAAATAGAAGTATATTATGCCTTTACCATGTTCCAGATACATTTTCTGTCTGGTTAATGCGATTTAAAGTAGATAATATTAGACTGCTTGTGAATAATCTATGCCAGGTTTTGAAGCTGGGGGGCCCAACACTCCATCAAATATTGCCCCTTGGGCTATTTTGGGGGATGAATCTTCAGTGATCATATCAACAGATCGTTCATCATTGTTTGATCGAAATAAAATCGCTCTTAGAATGGAGGTTCTTTGTGACTATGAAGGTGCCAATAAATGCCCCTTGGGAGGAGTTGGCATTTATAATCCTGGATATTGGGGAATGGTGAGTAAGAAAATGCTCATACTTCTCCCTTCTCGTTTTTTCCACTCATTAATACTGGCAAGCTTGTCTTCAGAAACAAATTGAAATGATCTTTTTTAAATGTTTCTTTTGTATAGAATATTGAGCAGGGGAAGACCTATCAAGTGATTCTCTACGTCCGGTCTTTAGGATCCATTAACGTATCTGTATCTTTGAATGGGGCTAATGGATTGCAGACACTGGCTTCTCATAATATAGTGTCAGTGAGCATTTGGCAGCCTTGAGTTGTCGCATATTAATTACTGATTTGACCATATGATCATTACACCACGTCTTCGTATTCTTATTAAATTATTTTTGCATTGCTGCTTTGCAGGGCCAATGATGTTTCCGAGTGGACAAAAGTGGAATTTAAGTTGGATGCAATGGGAAGCGATAGAAATGCAAGGTTACAACTAACAACTTCAAGAAAAGGTCTCATATGGTTTGATCAAGTGTCCGTTATGCCTTCGGATACGTACAAGGTGAGCGAGCTTATTATGCGGGAGGTTAGGTGATATGTTTCTAGAAAAGTAGGATGAAAGAGTGGGTAAGAATCATCGTATGCCTTTCTTGTCTTGATGAAAATTTTTTGCTACAGGGACATGGTTTCCGGAAGGATCTTTTCAGTATGGTTCAAGATTTGAGACCAGGATTTCTCAGATTTCCAGGTATCAAGGATGGGTTGCACCTCAGCTAGTGTCATTCTTCATTAAATGTTTTAGGAATGAGTTAGTCTTGGTTTCTTCTTCCTTTATGAAGACAAAACCGTTGCTATTACCTCTGCCTAAATGTGTGAAAGGTTCCCTAAAGCACTTTTGAATTTGGCAGTATTTGCAATGTTATAGCAACAATTTTATGTCTTTTACTTAAAAAAAAATAAAGATTTATGTCTTTTTGGCAGGTGGATGTTTCGTTGAAGGGGACTGGTTGCGGAACGCATTCCGCTGGAAAGAAACTATTGGGCCTTGGGAAGAGAGGCCTGGCCATTTTGGTGACGTCTGGCTTTACTGGACTGATGACGGTATGGGACATTTTGAATTTCTCCAGGTAAGATAATGCAATGACTTTTCAATTAGGACATAAATGACTTCAAAGTTACAGCTATCTCTAAAATGTAACTTGGCTTATTATTCATTTATGTTCAGCTTGCAGAGGACCTTGGTGCTCTGCCGATATGGGTGTTTAATAATGGTGATTTTTTTTGTGATCTTTCAAACTTTCAGATCCGTTTTTTACTTTATTCTGCCTATTTGGATATTCTGAAGTGATGATGCTCCATTTAACAAACTCTTCTATGCTTCTGCTGTTAACGTATAGGAATCAGCCATCACGATCAAGTTAACACTTCCGACATTGAACCATTCATTCAGGTAGGTTAATTTATTTATCTGATCACTGCATTGTCGTGTGAGTGATTATGAAATTCTTCGGAACTAAGCATGCTTAGGTTTCAAACTAGAATCATCACCCAAATAGTAAAATTACAAAAAAAAGCCATCCTGGTGCATATAACTGTTGTTCTACTTTGCCAGTTTTGCCTCTCTGATCTTGTTTGCTTCTTAACAAACAGTTTGCCTTATAGATGATCTCTTTAGACGTGCTTAACAGAATATTAGCATAGGCTTTACTGAAGTTGAAGAGGAACTTTGCTTGGTCATGTAATCATAGATGAATATTTTTCATACGAAGGTGCTGGCAGCCAATCAGACTTACTGGTTACATGGTTCTGCAGAATCTCAGGATTTCGAATCAACTCCTTTTTTTGTGTTTTCAAAAAATTGGAAGTGTATTTGCAATCTATAATTCTTTAATAATTAAACATTGTCTAAACTGCAAAAGGTTATGCTTTTTGGTTGTTGAACTCACTTCATGAGCATTCACCCTGAAATTTCAGTCTCAACACATATGGGTATCCAATTATATTACTGTAGGAAATTCTGGATGGACTTGAGTTTGCCAAAGGGGATGCCAATTCAACATGGGGTTCTGTTAGAGCTAAAATGGGGCATCCAGAACCCTTTGATGTAAGATATGTTGCCATTGGGAATGAAGACTGTGGGAAGGAGAACTACAAGGGTATGTATTTTGTCTTTTTGGTCCTTTCCTTCGTACCGTACTGATGGACCATCACATCAAAATGCCATGCTTATTCTTTATGGGTTTGCAATAGCTCAAATTACTTCTGTCTTTATTCAGGAAATTACCTCAAATTTTATTCTGCTATAAAAGACGCTTATCCTGACGTCAACATGATTTCAAACTGTGATGGATCTTCTTCGCAGTTAGATCATCCTGCTCAACTTTACGATTATCATGTAAGACAACACTTTAAGAAATATGGAAATTATTTCAATCACAGCCCAGACAATAATAATAGGAGTATGTTTTGAAATTTTTTTCCGTGGTTACAGATTTATGACACTGCAAATACTGTATTTTCTCAATCTCGTAAATTCGATCATAGCCCGCGAGTCGGTCCGAAGGTGTGAGTTTTCTTTATCTTCTGATCTATGTCTTAAAACCCGTATACAACTGGATAGATGCTGTACAAGTCCTGTCATTGTGCTTTGCAGGCTTTTGTAAGTGAATATGCTGTGTGGAGAGAAGATGCTGGGACAGGTAGTCTTCTGGCTGCAGTCGCTGAAGCTGCGTTTCTAATTGGGTTGGAAAGAAATAGGTATTGTCTTGGATTTTTTTATTAATACTCTGTGGATTTTACTTTTAATAATCATATATTCTGAGAAATCAGGCATATAATTTCCTCACCTTGCTTGGCAGTACACATTATTTGGGGATGGGATTATGTATTGGATTCATTAGACGGCGCTTAGGTTTGGCTTTTTCGTCTAGTGCTCCTATTTTTCGGTTGATCTCCATGTTTTCCTTCAATGCAGTGACCTTGTGGAATTTGCGAGCTATGCGCCTTTGTTTGTGAATAAAAATGACAGGCGGTAAGTTTGAATTCCTTTTTTCTACCTTGAAAGAACCTCTAGTTTTTCGTACAAGTTTCACTAGTTAATTAGGTTCTTAAAATTTGTTCCTTTTTGTTATCTTCAGGTGGAACCCAGATGCAATTGTTTTTGACTCTTCCGAGGTGTATGGGACTCCTAGCTATTGGATGCAGCATTTCTTCCGGGAGTCAAATGGTGCAACGCTTCTTAGTTCAACGGTCCAATCTAGTTCTTCACTCGTTGCTTCTGCAATTTCTTGGCAAAGATCTCTTGATAGGAAGACTTTCTTGAGAGTGAAGGTACTACAATTCTTTTCTTTTCTTCTTTTGTAATCAAAAGATGTCCGTTCATGTGGTTATGTCGTAGCTACTGGAAGCAATGCATATAGACTTCAGGTCAAAGTTTCCTACTAGATCGCTGGACAACTGCATTTGGAATGAAACTATTCATGCAGTTTAAAGGTTGTCAGCTTGTTTAAATCCTTCCTTAAAGCTTTTATACCTTTCTGAAAGCTTTTTCAATAGAAAATCTTGGCACCGTTTGGACTGTTTTTTGGGTTTCTGTATTGCGTGTTTCTGTGTTTGAGATAGGACCGCGAATGCATTTCTGAAGCTAGAAGACAAGGTCCCTGTTGGGTGACACAAAACAAGATCAAACTCACAAACCAAACAGGGGGACCTTGTCTTCTAGTTTCGTTTCCAGTTGAATGTATGACTGTCACGCCAACTCAAGTTGAGTGATGGAGGATAGACCTAAAAGTATTGCTGCAAACTTTTGGAAAAAACCCTACTTCTTTTTCTTTTTTTTTTGTTTTTTTTTGTTTTTTTGTTTTTTGACAGAACACCATGGCAAGATGTGATCAATTTAGCCGACTCATTTATTGGGATAAAATAAATGCATAGATGCTATGTAAAGAAAACAACTGGAAGTTTCTGAGAAATTTTTATGATTTACTATACACGCTGCATTTCTGAAGTTTGCGTGTGTGTGGCTGTGGGGAATCATTTCTACCTAGCTTGTTACTGTGATAACTTAACACCTGACCGCACTTAATTATAATTTCTTGTATTGCTTGGAAAACTTAACTTCTTTTTCAAGGTGGTGAATTTTGGAAGTAGTATGACAAATCTGACGATTTCGATCAAAGAATTGGAGAAGTCCATAGAAGTAGGTGGCTCATCAAAGACAGTTTTGACATCAAGCAGCGTAATGGATGAGAACTCTTTCAGCAATCCAAACAAGGTAGATATTTCTTCATCTTCACCCCAAAGTAGCAGCTTCCATTTGTAGCTTCAACATTGCTGAAACTAAGATGTAATATTAATTAATCTGGTCTTTTTCTGTGTTTCTTTTTTCCTATGTGAACTACGGAAAGGTGGTGCCGGTGAAAAGTTTACTGGATAATGCTGGGGAGGATATGAATGTAACTTTGCTACCTCACTCAGTAACTGCTTTTGACTTCGCCTTAAAAGGAGATTTGGATGAGGACAAGATCAAGATGATGAAAGTTGAAGAAGGTGCTTCCTCTTTTTCTGTTACCTCTGATGCTGTTCAAGTCTTATCTTCCTAGGAAGTGCCAAAGGAAAGCAGAAAATAGAAACCTTGAATTACAATCAATTTAATAATCTAATAAAAATATGTTACTTTTCAGCCACTTTTGTTTCTTGCTGAAATCTAGTAATATAATACAAATTCAGTCACATGAACTCTTTGATGCACAACAAAAGGGGGGTTTCATTGCCTATTGGAAGAAGATGATTAGTAATAGGCTAAGTTAGCAAATTGCATAGCCGCGAGATCCCAAGTAGTGTAACTGCAGCAGCATGGATTAGGCATCATAAGTCCCTCTTGAAGCTCAGGTATCACGTCTTGATATCATGTTCAACAGGTGTTTCTCAAACTCTACCAAACTGAAAGGGCAAAAAAAAAAGATGTTATTCGAGCAAGGGAAATGTTACAAACAAAGTGAAAATGACGTGACATCTCTTTACTCACAGTGTATATTTTTCAAGTGCTTCCTTCTGTTTTGAGTTATAAAAGTCATTATCTTTAGGTAAACTGCTCAAATCATTGCCTGCGGGAAAAGAAAAAAAGCATTATTGCGGTAAAAAAAGAAGACAATAAAAAAAGAATGATTGTGATTTCACTACCTGTATTATATTTCCTACAGCTAAAGAAAATTGTCTAGTCTAAGGCTCTTATACAAAACAAACACCTTAAACAATCAATTATTTCATCTTCTTTGTTAATTATAGCAGCAGACAGACAAATGGTCTGTCAGCAAAGGAATATTCTATCTGAAAGCTCTGAAGTACAGGCCTAAAATGGTATCACCACTCACCAATGAAAATACAAATTCTGTGGCATTTTTATAGTTAGAACAGAGTTTCAGTTGACCTGTTAACCTCTTTTTGCTACTGCAAAAAACCGATTTCACTTGCCAATTTGTGGAATTAAACCTTACCAATTTGCTGAAATAAAACAGGTGCTTTTGTAGTTTCCTCCTGCAGTTGCACTTCCTGTTCAAATGAAAAGAGCACAAGTTTGTTTAGATTTCTGCTAACATCTAAATGTACGAGTCTTAACTTCCCAGTGACTCAAATAGTAAGCTAACACTGATAAATAAGCACCGCATAAGTTGGTACAAGAGAAGGTGCTAAGCCAAACAATGCAATAACAAATGAAGACTCAGGACAAACACTTGCATTATGTATAAAAGTGAAAGGAAAATTAGATGCTTTGGTCCAGGAGGTTGTCCTCCAAAAACAATTCTACTCTTTCAAAACGGCCGGTTACCCCATGAACTACAAGGAGGGTCTTACGTAAAACCCAAAATGACATCAAAATACCTAATACCAGAAATAAACTGCCTTTACCCCATCACCAGGAAAGGATATGGACTGTAACATTTTGCAACTAAGAAAAAGCAATGAAAGTAGTAAGGCAAGTCGAAATGGATTAAGAGCAGCACCTTCTTCTCCTTTCGCTTCAAAATTTTCATGTGGCATTTCTTGATGTAATGCATCAGATGGTAACGAGAATGCCTAGAGTACAACCGTTCTCTGATTTCTGGATTTGCTGTAAGCCAATCTAAAACGTCCTTCGACTTAACGACATCATCCGTATCCAATGACTCCAACCAGGAATAAACCGGCAGCCATCGGTCAGACCTTTGAAACCGATGATCATACTGATTATCAATCTTCTCCTGTGGACATCAGAATAATATCATTACCAAATTGTGTTTTCACCCCCAAAAGAAAAAAAAAAAAAAAAAAGCATGATCAAAGCTAATCCATGATCCGGCAAAAATCATATCACTGAAAAAAATCAGACGGTGGCATATCTCCTCATCAATTATCAAAACTTGGATTTTGTAATGTAAAGTGAATGCCATTGGTAAAATCAAGATTCTCTCACTATACATTACCATTTTCTTTCTTCTTTTTTTTTTTCAAAAAAAAAAAAAAAAAAACCTAACGTCCAAACCAATTCATGGAAGAACACAGAAAAGTAGGGATTCAGGCATTATCATCAAGTATTCATATAGGAATTTCAAGTGTCCAACAGACAAAAGCTCAAACATCACCAAAAAGTAATATCTGTACAAATGTATTCAATCATGGTGCTCAAAATTGGAGACTTTCAAAAATAGTACACTACACAACTGTCAGAGTAACCCTTCTTCTGCTAATTGAAGCGATAAGATTGTGGATAGGAATAAGAGGCCAAAAATGAAAAACCCGCCGGAAGGATAGAAGGGGAAAGAAAAGGGGAAAAAATAAAATAAAAAATAAATAAAGAAGCAAGAAAGATGGGATTTTTTATGGCGGGAGGTACCTGTAAGGGAGGAGATGAAGATACGGGAACAATTTGCAAGTGGGAGTAGTCCTCTTTCCCGGGGGATGGTGGGCCAGCAGCAGCTTCTCCCATGGCTGCCATTTTTTCTTCCGACTGTCTCTCTTTTTGCGCCTCTCTTCAATTCAGGTTCTTCTACTCTTTTTTTTTTTTTACTTTTAAAACACCACTTAATTCCTATAACCCCAAATCAACTTTTTTTTTCCCTCTCTTTTGTTGGGTGATAAAGATCTTGTTTTTATTGTATTCCCTCTGATTTTGTTTGAAGTGAAATCTAAATTGGACAATAATTTTAAATTTAGGGATAAGCTCATCTCTGGTCTCCTTTTGTTTTTTTTTTATTACTACTATTATTGGCCTGCCTTATGGATACTCGATGATGATAGATCAATTAAATCTGATTATCTATAATTGTAGCACCAATATAAACCTAAGGATGCCACAGCTTCTTGGGCCAATTTCTCAACATTTTCTGCCTTTTTCCCATGTGAAGCTATCGGCTACCGATCCCCTCTTCATATAGTTGGACGGAAACTGTATTAGTTAAAAGGTTGATCTTAGATCAAAGTAATTATTTATATTTATAATTCTCCCTTCTCGTATTTGTTAACTGTAAGATAAGAGAGAGAGAGAGAAATAAAAAAATGGTGGATGCCTGTTTGGATAATGGTTGATATGATGGGAGCTATTGTAATATTGTATTCCATACAAAGTAGTGGATAAAACCCAAGTCAACATCAAATGCTCCAAAGGATGACAATTTGCCAACATCAGATCATGGAGCTTGCGGGATCAATCAATATCAATTAAGATAGTTTTTTTCTTCCAAGGAAGGACTTTTTCTGCTTGCTAAATTACTCCTTTCAAATTTTGCTTGTCATTTTGTGCAACAGTCATGAGGTGGGAGTCAGAACTGTTCATTTTTTCTTTCCCTCAAGAAATGGGAAGAACAAGCTTGAACTAATCAGTGTGTATGAGGGGTGGGGTGATCAGTTGGTTTGCTCCTTCTGCAGCAACTAAAAAGGGTGGGCTTAAGAAAGCTGTTTGTTTTGTTTACGCGATGAACAACAAACCACCCACTCACCATCTCAAAGGTGCACTCCACTAGTTGTCTTTCTTTGCTTATCTTCTTAAGTAAATACGACTACAAGGCAAGAAAGCTGAATATTTCTTATTTTCCACTCGCAGTCGGGTCATAAAATAACTATCCCCTTCCCTGCAATCTTCCTCTTGCGTTTCTTCTTCTTTAATGTAAGTGAAAGTCTTTAACTTGACAACTTCTTTTAGTGATCAGTTGCCTGATCATTTTTCAGGTGTGGAATTCATTGCACATTTACTGTCAAAGCTGATTAAGCATTTTCCTATCTTTCATTCAAGTATTGGATTGGCCTTTCAGAGAAATTGAATAGCTTCAGCGACAAAAGAAGATATGTGCTCAAAATCACCTCAGGATCACCCTTGTGGTGTGCAACTCTTCGTCATTGTACTTGTGTTGCTCTGTGCTTGTTTTAATGGATTTGCAGCATTTGACATTGAGGCAAATCAGTCAGCCTGGCTGTCAATAGATGCCTCTCCGTCTTCAGCAAAAAGGATATCCAAAGCTATGTTTGGTATATCTTTTGAGGTCAGTGCTGACTGACTCTTCTGGTTGCTGTTTTGTATGTTCTCATCATTTTCGTCGTTCCTTCCTGTTTGTCCCTTGATTGAAACGAATAGACTGGACAAGATCTCCATTCTGTAATGAATTAAGCACCACGTGATCTGACAAGTTATCATAATGTGCAGGAGATCAATCATGCTGGAGCTGGTGGATTGTGGGCAGAGTTAGTCAATAACTCAGGTGATTCTGCATTTCTTGCCTTTTGAAAATTTTGCATTTCAATCTTTAGTTTTAAAGGATAGTATCTTATGGCCTAATGGGTTACGTTCCAGAATCTTCAGCTTGATTTTCCTACCTGTTCAATGTTTTAAGTTCTAACTGAAGATACTGACTTTTAGGTTTTGAAGCTGGGGGAGAGAACATTCCTTCAAATATATATCCTTGGACTGTTTTGGGGGATGCATCACAGTTAATTGTATCGACAGATCGTTCATCATGCTTTGAAAGAAATAAAGTTGCACTTAAAATGAAGGTCCTTTGTGACAGTCAAGGAGCCAATATTTGTCCCAATGGAGGAGTTGGTGTATATAATCCTGGATTTTGGGGCATGGTAAAAGCTCTGATCTTATAACCCTAACAAACTGTATAGACTTTTTAATGAAACATGATTCTAATACCAAAGAACATCAAGTATTTCTTTTCATCAAGGGAGATTCTTTACCATTTAATGACACTTTTAAACATACTTGTGATGGTGGCTTACTTATGCACGTAAGCAGGCAGCTCTGGTTTTTGTGGCATATCACGTGCCTACATTTTCCTTGAAACTACTTGCTGTAATTGTTTTTGAAGGTGCTGCAGAAGTCTACAGATACGTTATCGTCTGCAACAAAGAACCCCTCAACAACTAATATTCCTACATTTTTTTTGTAGAACATCAAACAAGGGAAGGCATATCGAGTTATTATGTACGTTCGATCTTTACAACCAGTGGACATATCCATTTCACTAAGAAGTGCTGATGGCTCACAGATTCTGGCTACTTCTAACATTGTGTGAGCAGCTCATAAGTCATAACTATAGTTCTTATGGTGCTTCATAGTTAACCTATTCTATCTCATTTGCTATTTCCCTCCTTGTAGTTCTTCTGAAGTTACAACCTGGACAAAGACTGAGGTTATGTTGGAGGCAAGTGGAAGTGATCCAAATTCCAGGTTGCAACTCACGACGACTAGAAAAGGTGTCATTTGGTTGGATCAGGTGTCTGCAATGCCAGTGGAAACAGTCAAGGTGCGCCCAAAGTATCATATTTTCCATCTTGTACATTATTCCACGCTACTCATTACACGAGGGTTGAAGCTTGCAATTGTTCTCATCTTGATTTTCTTTGGGTCAGGGACATGGATTCCGAAATGATCTTTATCAAATGCTTTCAGATTTGAAACCTGGGTTCATCAGATTCCCTGGTTAGTTTGCCAATAAACTTTTTGATGCATTGCCTTTCAAAATGAGGTAAAACAAAAAAAAAAATGATTACATATAGCAGAAGCAAAAGAAAAAGAAAACTGTTTTGAAGCTTAGTTTCATTAATTGATTACTTGAGTTATGTTTCTGGGTTCTAATAATTTGTTGCAGTTCTTAGCCTCTTAACCTTTTCTTCTCTTTATGGATGGCGGGTAGGGGGTTCCTTTGTGGATGGTGGATGGTTAAGGAACTCTTTTAACTGGAAAGCAACTGTTGGACCATGGGAAGAAAGGCCTGGACATTTTAACGACGTCTGGGGCTACTGGACTGATGACAGACTCGGCCTGTTTGAATTTCTTCAGGTTGTATGATATTGCATTACCCTTATCGTCAATTACCTGTTTTTCTTTTTTTCCCCTCAATTATGTACTAAATTGGGTTCGTTATATTTCTGAAGCTTGCTGAAGACTTGGGAGCAATGCCAATATGGGTTTTCAACAATGGTATAACCATCAGATTTCTTGAATTGCACTCGCTGATTCCTCTTTGAGTCATTCTATATAGGCTTTCCTTTTTATCATCTTAATCTTTTCCTCAGGAGTTGGTCCCAATGATGAAGTCAATACTTCAAGAATCTCGCCCTTTGTACAAGTATGCTTCTTTTTTATTAACTTTATTTAAGCTAATGACATAAAAGCATAATTTTTTTTTATAGTATTGGTAACTTAGGTTTTTCTAACCATACTTAGACATTGTAGGAAATTCTGGATGGAATCGAGTTCTCAAGAGGCGACTCTAATTCAACATGGGGAAGTGTCCGCGCAGCAATGGGACATCCACAACCATTTGATCTGAGATATGTTGCTATTGGGAATCAGGACTGTGGAAGGTTCAACTATCGAGGTAAGCAGGCTGAACTTTAGCTCTTGTTACTTCTTTGATTCTCACATTTCTGTGTTCTTCAAATGGCATTGTTCACCTTTCCTCATTTAAGCTGGAAATTTTTGGTCTAAAACATCACGGTAATAAATGCGTTTGCTTCAATAAGATTTCCCACTTAGTTTGTTCTTTAATTCGTAGATTGAATAGTTTCCATGATTTTCTAATTTATGAATCAGGAAACTACCGCAAGTTTTACAATGCCATTAAAAGTGCCTACCCAGATATCCAAGTGGTCTCAAATTGTGATGGCTCTACTCGACCTCTGGATCATCCAGCGGACTTTTACGATATTCATGTAAGATTATGATATGAAGTAACACACATCAGTCAAACAGATTATAAGAAGCCTCTGAGGATGAAATTCAATTCTGCTACGTGTCCGTGGTCAGGTTTATGGTGATGCAAATTCTGTTTTTGGTGCGGCTCATATGTTTGATAATGCAATCCGGAAAGGCCCTAAGGTGTGCAAAATCGATCTGTCTCTTGTTTTTATTCTTCTTAACCTTCTACTTTTGATACTTCCGAGAGGCCTTATTATACTACATTGGTTTGTTTGAAGGCTTTTGTGAGCGAGTATGCTGTGACAGGAAATAATGCAGGCAGAGGAAATCTTCTATCTGCACTTGCTCAAGCCGGATTCCTTATTGGCCTGGAACGAAACAGGTGCCACACGACACTCATGAAGAAATCTCGTGTTTTCCTAATACTACTTGGCATATATGTGGAAGTATTTATAAAGGTTAAAAAGCTGCAGCACTGGAAACAATTTGCCAAATCTAATGTTTCTATTCATGCAAAATCTGTCAAGTGGACGAGTAAAGGGTGTTAATTTGATGGGCATCATTTAATTAGCACAAATATAAATTTCAATAAACTGTACTAAGCTTGAGTGGCTTCTATTGTTTTGGTTTATTTTTTTACTGTTTAATCAAAATATATTTTAAAGATAAAGAAGTGGCAAGGAATATCTAACAATGCAATGTGGCAGTGATGTTGTTGAAATGGCAAGCAATGCACCTCTTTTTGTGAATGACAATGACAGATCGTAAGTACTGCTTCACAAAATCTTCTCTATCTTTCTCCTCTCACTCTAGTTTCTTTCTTCTCATAATGAGTGTGTGATGGCTGGAAAGGCTTATTTGTCTTTGAACCTTCAGGTTTAATCCAGACGCCATTGTATTTGACTCCTCACGAGTGTATGGAACGCCGTGCTATTATATGCAGCAATTTTTCAGAGAATCAAATGGTGCAACTCTTCTAAACTCCACAATCAACCCATCTTCACTAGCTGCATCTGCTGTACTCTGGAGATCTCCCCAGAATGGCAGGATTTATTTGAGGATAAAGGTTGTCACTAGAACTTACACATCCACCTTTTAGAAAGAAAAACTTCTTGATGGAATTTGGTGTCATTTTTCGCGAACACTTTTCAGTGGAAATCATTATCTTGTGAAGTGCAGGTTGTGAACATGGGTAGTAACATGGTGAATCTGAAGATATTGACAGACAAACTGGATTTGGATGTCGACACAACAGATCCGGCAAATGGTGGTTCTACCAAAACTGTAATGACAGCTACCAGTTTGATGGACGAGAATTCTTTCAATCAACCAAATAAGGTACTTTCCAAATAAAGAGCTAATGTCTTCTTCCGATTTTATAACATGCATATATTTTTTTTTCCTTCTGTTTGGTCTAAATACATTATTCTTGTCATGACAGGTGTTTCCTGTGAAATCTTCATTGAAGGGAATTGTTGGTAAAAATATGGTTGTCCCTATTTCTCCATACTCATTAACTGGCTTAGATTTGTTGACCAAGAACACAAATGCCATTGCTCCTCTCGTCCAAGAATTTACTGCTTCTGTCTTCATTTTTTAAATCTTTGATTGAGGAGGTTGGAAAACTACAGAATTGACTTGCAAAAGTTGCTGATTCTTTAACTTAACTGATAATGTGTTTTCCACTACTTATTAGGCATTGTTTGGCCAGTTATTTGTATTGCAAAAGTTGCAATATTCACGGCAACTTGTTATATACATTCTCAATACACTGAAATGCAAGAGACCACGGGAAAATGAGAATTTACCATAAAAAGTAACTGAGAATCTACAAAATCTCTTTTTCTGTAATATATGTTGCTCTTTTACAATGCAGAACCTACCATGAACTGCGAACATAAATACTATCAGAAAGTTACAATCATCTGATGACCAGGATAGTAAATGACCCTAATCTTTCCAACTGTACATTTAGCTCGCCATCAAAATTGTTACCTGTCCAAACAACTATTCCGAATTTCCAGTGTCCCTAAACACCTTCTGGAGAGATTAGTCTGTAATAAATTCCATATATTCTTGGTCAAGTCAGACCATGGTTTCGCCACGAAGAATGTTGAACTTGCAGAGCGGGCAGGTGGCATTGATACGCAGCCACTTGCAGATGCAGCGGTAGTGAAAGTGGTGGTTGCAAGGGAGGGTGCATAACTCCACTCCATCTTCATAGGTATGCAGGCAGATACAGCACTCCTGAAACCCATAATTGTGAAATTTATGTCAGGTCAGGAAAATACAAAGCTTGAACGTAGAACCAGGTAAGGGAAAAAAAAACACCAGGGAAGAAAAGAAAAATCTATAGGGCACGCACTGGGGACAATAAGAAACCAGACAACAGTCTTTACTACATTGATAACAATGACTTGCATGGGTTTGAGTTATATACCTCAATGCAACCTGTTGAAATGAGAAATGAATATCATATGATAACCCACTTTACCTAAACTCAATGTTGCCAGTATATAAATGTGCACACTTTTCTTCTACTTGCACTCGTTCACACATATACATGCTAACACAGCCAAAAGAGGTCCAAAAACTAACTGTTTCAAATTAACCGGTTACTTCTAAGAAGGAAGAATTTTAATGTTCCGGATCCTTTTTTATGTTTGCTCATTCTAGAGTGGGATCCAAAGAAGCAAAATAGAAGTTTTGAATGACATAACCTGAGAAAATGAAAAATAATTTAAGTAATTAGAGGCTTACAGAATCCTCTACACCAAGAACAAGCTCAGGTACGTCGTAGTTGTTGCTACCCGAGTCATCCTGCTTTTTATTACAATCACGAAAAGCCCCGGAAACTTTAGGTCGGCAATATTTGTACTTGGGAAGTGTCCTTATATCGTCATCAGAAGCTCCATCGCCAATGTTCATCGCATATGCAACCCTTGCTAATACCGGAAAGCAACATACAAGGAAGACAAAGACGACACACGCCATTGCTATACAAAATATCATGAAGAACACATCGAAAGCCAGAAAAACCACAGATAACCTGCAGACATTTAATATACTATAGTCAGGGCCTTCCTACCAAATAAATAAACTTCCCTGTTCTATCGTGTAGCAACTTATCCTAAAAGTGCAAATCAGTGCAGTCAAAACATAAGAATTTTAGCCCAAAGTTGGGATAAAGTCCTTGAGGTTCTGACAGTAATATATATGTGTGTGTGTGTGTGTGTGCGCGTGCGTGCGTGTATGTATGTATGTACGTATGTCTTTACCAGTAAAGACGGGGCGAATCTTGCCAGAGCGCATGTCCACCCATGTAAATCCAATAGAATCCAAAAACCCACCAAACAGATGAAATCACTGTGTTAACTGACTCTAGCCTCTTGATGAAACTGCAAAATAAGAAGGAAAAAAAATCCATTGAGAATCAACACACTATACATAATTCATCCCTTTCTTTTACTGTTTCTCGACCAAGAGCCATAGCGTACTCAATCTCACTTTTTACTTTGTCCCAGTAGGGAAAAGTCTAACAAATACATATCCTTATATATTGAAGTCAAAGTGCACAGAAAAATAACGCAGGCGAACAAACTTTCCATTTTCTTTGCATTGGATACCCGTAAAAATGAACTGAATCTAAACCAACGTTCTTCTCATAAACTACCACAGAAACGACCCTACAGGATTATGAATGCTGCACCCAGTCTTGTTCGTTAGAAGTTGATCAACTTTTAGTCTTGTATGTGTAGTCATCAAGTTCATCATTAGGTGGTTTCCCTTCCTATTAATTTAATTGCTCTAATAGCAACGACCAAACTAAGACCAGTCGACCCCAAATATGAAAAACTGTCAGGGGAGAAACAAAGTAAACACAGCCACAACAACAACGGCGCCTTTATCATGCCATCATCATGATCTTCTATCACTTTACATGATTTCTTAGATAATTCAAATAATGAATAGTTACCAAATAAATTTTGAGTTGACGCCAACCTAAAGCTACTCTCCACTCCATTCCAGGTTTAAGACAGGAAAAATACGGGCTTGGGATCAGAGCATGACAAGCACAAATTTTAACATCAATGATAGCAAGGACAAATAAAGCCATTAAGCTTAAAGGAGGAAACCAGTTGCAGCAGAATCATCAAATTAAAAGAGAATCTCTTTTCTAACCCATTTTTCTCTGACTGAATTGGAAAACATTCGCAACTCTGAATCAAGAATCTGACTTTAGCAAACTGAAAATTCCAATTATTAAATTTCCTTTTAAATGAAAAAAAAAAAAAAGGAAGAAAGGGAAACAAACACGAGATGGTGAAAAGAAAACAGAAATGAATCAAATGTGTGTACATACCTGCGGTGACACAGAAGAGAGAATGGAGAATGGTAAAAAGGAGGTCTTTGATGGTCAAACCACAAAAAGAGGGCATGAAAGAAGCATTGAAGAGCATATCCAGCAATCCAAATCCTCAAAGGGGTAGAAGGCTTCTCAGTAATGGTGGTCAAGAGAACCACCCCAGCAACAAAAACAAAGCCCAAGTTCCATGCCAAATCAAGAATGAAAAATGGCCTTGGGTAGGGGCATCCTTCTTCTGGGCTGCTGCCAGCTTGAGATGAATGTCCATGGTCATCGCCATGATCATCAAAGTTGTGAATGTTGAGGTTTAAGGCAGAGGAGGAGGAGGTGAGTCTGGAGAGCCTGGAGAGTGAGGTAGGAGGAACAAGTATTTGCTGATTCTCCAGGTCCATTTTCTTCAGTACTCCACCAAATAAAATCTGCCACAAGGCGTGAGTGTTCAGTGTGTATGCCCGAGGCTTCTTTCAAGTTGGGGGAGGCAGGAAAATAGCCAATTTTAGTCACTAATCAGGGACAATCTGAGGTAATGGTGGAAATGGAAGAAATCTGGCAGAAAGACTGAACCTTTACTGAACGAACATTAATATTTTGGGGGGGGTGGGCGGACCTCGGCTGGTGGTGGAGGAGGAGGAGGACGAGGAGGAGGAGGACCGGTGATGGAAAATAGATGAAATTATTAGCATAAGTTGATGACTTAATTAAAATAATAATACAGTACAATAATCAGTGGGCACGCAGTGGAGTGTGGGGTGTGTGTAGGAATGCCACTACTGTTACTGCCGCTGTGGTGTGAATATATATAGCATATGATTCTGAAGACTGAAGGGGTGTTTGTCTTTAATTTCCATTTTGATTCCAATTTTAAGAGTTGCAAACATTCATTGTGTATCTGGATATTATTATTATTTACACGGTATGAAGCTTTTTTTCCCCCTTCTTTTTTGAATACACATTACAAGAACTTATAAGAAGCTTCCTTTTTCCATTTCCTAATCATTTGTTTTTCCTTTTCTTTTCTTTTTTTTTTCAGTTGGCTCGTGAGAAAGGATTTACAGGGCTCGAACCTGGATTGTATGCATGATGCATCTCTTCAAAACGGGGGCAAATTATTATTATTATTATTATTTTTAAAGTGCATTCACCTTGTGGAAGGAAGTGATAACTAAGATTAATAAGTAATTAATTATTGATACGAATAAATGCATTAATGGTACTGTTGATGCATAGTGCCATTGTTATTATCACTGTTTACCAAATTAGGCACTACTATTTCTTAATAGAGAAAATTAAGGATGTGGCATTTTGATTGATGAAAATTGAAATCGCATTCACCAGAAAAAAAAAATTGAAATCGCGACTTTTCAAATAAACATAAAAGGTAATATTGGTGAGACCATATCATTTCTTGAAATCCTCTTTAGTGGATTCTCATTATGTGAATCGTGATGACTATTTTATGAACAATACTAGTATATCATTTTTTGACCCCCATTCTTATCAAACTATTATTGCCATAATTCTATGATGATACTGCCGCTTCCTTCTCTTACCATTAGTAGTTGCATTTAAATTTTTTGTTTAAATTAAGGAGACAAGCAACTGTTATCAAACCTTTGTTTTCATTGCATCGAATCAAAGCCAGGCCAACAAGCACTGTCATTTTTCTAAAATGAACATTTTAGCCATTAGTATGAGTTCATTTTCTTTTTTCGAAATGAACTTTATGTAGGTTAGCAGTTAGCTTTTCTTTCGCTAGTGTGAATTAACTTTCTTTTCTTTGGACACCAGTACTTGTTTGGACTTTGTTGGCTCTGGGAGTTGAATTTGAATTGTCTTCATTTGGAATTTCTCACCCAAAAAGAAAGGTCAAGAATTCATTTGGGGACCAATAAATCTTTCACCTTTACATTCCGCAGCTCTGGGGAGAACAATCTGTCACGAGTTACACAGTACCCTGAAGAAAACAAAGACATCAGTGGGTGGACCAACTACTGATCCTCATGTATCAGTTGAAATGAAGAAAGCAACATTCTTCCGCCCAACTTGAAGGCTTGTTCGACAGACCACCGACTCCAAGCAGAATAATTCCTACAGAAACCACAAATGAAGGTATAACAAAAAACAAAAAACAAAGCTACACTGCTTAGCAAATCGCATAGTAAACCAGAATGAGGAAGATAAAGGAAACGGAACCATACCTGTAGTCATCACTGCCATCCAGGTCTGTATCCAGTAATGAGGTTCTCGAAGCACCAGAGAATCATACATTCCCCTGAAACCAGATCCGCTGGCCAATATTTCCCCTTTTATAACTCCCCCTATACCGTCCACGCGATACAAAGCAGGCTGCTCCGTTTTGGCTTCCCAACCCGCGATCAGCCCCACTTCACGGCGAGTGTAGAGGATCTGGGCTATCAACTCGATTGCCTCCTCAACAGAAACTCCTTCTTTAGAAGTTTCGAAGCACTAACATACACAATCAATGTAGAGATAGGGATAAGAAACCAACAAGCATTTTCAACTCTTTTGGGAACTAAGGTGACCAAAAGAGTTCACACCGGCCCTAAACCCAAAAATAAATAAATACCTTGGCATGCAGAGCTCTCATTAAATCTCTGCAATCCTGGACCTTTCTGGCAGTAATTAAGGCATAAGTGCAAGGACCAATACGTGCAAGTTTAACATCCTCCTTGTCTCACAATGAATTTAATACCCAGACTTAGCTAGAACCACTGCTCCTGAAGCCAAACAACCTATAATAAGTTTGATCCATTTGTTGTTTTTTTTTTAATTCAAAATTAGTTTTCCCCAAATAAAATGGTGATGCTAATAAATTTAATCGATTCTTAAGCAACAATAATAGACAAAACGCAGCTTCGATCCTTAATATAAGCCATTTGGATTAGTCCTGAGTTTCACCTAGTACGTATTTTTAATTGACAAAAAAACTTTAAAACTATTTCATAACAATCAAGAAAACACAACGAATATAAAACGATATTTTTTAAAAAAAATTTGTCAATTAAAAAATACGTACTAGATGCATGACAAATCAAAATGATTTATATTAAAGACCGGAGGGAGTAAGTAACTAGACGAACAGCTGCTAGCAGACTAAAGTAAACAAAAAAAAAAAAAAAGATACCTGAATGATTAAAACAGAACAAGAAACCATTTTCGACAGCAATAGCTAAAGCCGAGCGTCCATTGTCTTCAAAAAAACTATCATCAGTGCAGGACAAGCGGAAAGTAGCGGGAGGGTCATATTCAGATTTGATGACTATCTGGCCATCTCGGAGGTGGGGATAATAGTGATAGTGCGGCTCGGGTTTCCACTTTCCAGCCGGGGCGGGATAAACGTCGTAAACGGTAGGGTTTTTGTTCTCGCATCAGCTCTGCAAATTTTGAGCGTATCGGTCTCGGTTTCACCATCCTCCTCCTTGCTGGTGACTTTTGATTGGTTCGATTCTCACTGAAGCATTAAAGTGAGTCTGTATCCAGTATACTCGGGAGTATATACACCCCCTCCTATTTTTTGCACTACTAATTCTTATTGTACTTTTTTCTCAATCTTCCTATAATTTGTAAGTTTAGTCCTTCTCATTTTTTTTCTCTCTCTTCCAAAAAAACATCTCTAATCTTCAAACGAGCATATCTCTCAATCCGTGAAGAATTAGAAAATGTGTTACACATGAATTTTATTGTATTCGTCGAGATCTACCCAACAAGATCCATATCGAATATTTTTTCCGGGCTTAAAAATGATCAAATTTTGATGGACAGAAATAGGGTAGATATCCAATTTAAGAAGATGGATAACCAACTTATTTTAAATTGGTTATCCATTGTACTCGTGCTGATTATCCAACTGGTTTGAACTAGTTATCCATTTTATTTGTACTGCTTATCCATTTGACTTGTATGCCTATCCAACTTGTTTTTGTAGTTGTAATCCAATGGGTTTGTATGCATATCTAACTTGTTTGTACTAGAATCCAACTTGTTTGTACTGGATATCCATTTGATTTGTATGTCTATCTAACTTGTTTTGTAGTTTTAATCCAATGGGTTTGTATGCATATCCAACTTGTTTGTATTGGATATCTAACTCGTTTCTAATGGATATCTATTTGGTTTGTATGCCTATCCAACTCATGTGTACTGGTTATCTAATGGATTTATATGCCTATCCAAATTGTTTGTATTGGTTATCCAATCATTTTCTTTTTGTTTGGAAAAAATCATTATCCAATACGCTAATACTGGTTATCCACTTTGTTTATACCGCTTATCTAATCTTTTTTTTTCTTTGAAACACGACTATTCAATGTGTTCGTAGTGATTATCCAATCGCTTTGTATTGGTTATCCAATTATTTTTACTGCTGGGATAAATAAGTTTGTATTGTTCGTCCAATCATTTTTTTTTCTTTTGATAAAATACTTGTCCAGTGTATTCGTACTGATTATCCAACCCCTTGCTATTGTTTTTCCATCTTTGTTTTTTTAATTATTATGAAAATATTTGTCCGATATGCTTTGTTTTTTTATCCAACTAATTGGTACTGCTTATCCAACCTACTTTTTTCTTAAAATAGTTATCCATTGTGTTCAGACTGATTATCCGACATGTTTGAACTGATTATCTATTTTGTTTGTACTGGCTATCCAATCATTTTTTTTTTTAGAAAATCATTACCCAATGTGTTACTACTAATTATCTAATTAATTAGTACTGCTTATCCAACCTAGTTTTTATTTTTATTATTTTTTTAAAAAAATGATTGTATAATACCATATTGATTACCCAACTGCCTGGTATAGATTATCCAATTATATTTTTCTATACTCTTTGCGAAAATCCTTGTCCAATTTTTATGTACTGACTATTCAACCGTTTTGTATTGGTTATCCAATCATTTTCACTGATTATCCAAACATGATTTCTCTTCTTTTTTTTTTTTTAATAAGATATGTGTCCAATGTGTTTATACTGATTATTCAACTTCTTGGTGATTGTTATCCAACCTTTTTCTTCCTTACTCTTTTATGGAAATGGTTGTCCAATTCTTTCGTACTGATTATCCAACCAGTTTGCATACTGCTTATCCAATTATTTTCATTGGTTATCCCAGTGTTTTGTAATGGTTATCCAAATATTTTATTCTTTTTCTTTCTTTCTTTCTTTTTTTTTTTGAAGAGGAGTGAATGTCAAAAATATGATTGGATAACCAGTATAAACGAAATGAATAATCAGTCCAAACCGGTTGGATAATCAGTATGAACACAACGGATAACCATTTTTCGGGAAAAAAAAAACATATTTCTTCATTTCTGCCGTAAAATTTAAATACATTTAAAGTTCAAAAAAAATATCCAACATTGATCTTATCGGGTAGATCTCATCGAGCACTATAAATTTTATGCGTAATTCGTTTTGTAATTCTTTACGGATTGAGAGATATAAATTTTACAAGAATATCAATCTAAATTAAGTTGGTTGTCCATCTTTTTAAACCGGATATTCATCCAAATGAAGGTACAAATTTCTTTGTTTCTGCCCATCAAAATTTAGTCATTTTTAAGTTAAAAAAAATATTCGATATAGATCTTGTTTGATAGATCTCAACGAGTACTATAATCTTCATGTGTAACACGTTCTCTAATTCTTTATGGATAATGAGATATGATTATTTAAAGATTAGAGATGTTTTTTAAAGGAGAGAAAAAAAGTCACAGGGACTAAACCTGCAAATTATAGGATATTATTTAGAAAAGTGAAAAAAAATGTAGTAAGTACTAGTAATGCAAAAAATAGAAGGGCGATCATGGTGCTTCTGAGTGCACCTAATAAATTGCCTCCAATTTGTTTTAAAAAAGGATACAACAGTTGTATAGAATAATCTCGATAATATATAGAAATTAGGAAGAATCAATTTTCAAAAAAATGGTATTTATGCCTAAAGTTTTGGCCTCATCGTCAATCCTCTCCCATTGATTTTCGATTAGTCAAATTTGTTCTTATTGTTTGAAATTTTTGCCAATTCCGTCCAATTGGCACAATTTCCATTGAACTTGACGGATTTTTGTTAGTTTTTAACAAAAAAAATACCCTCATAGTTTTAAAAAATTATTTAAAAAAATCACGTTTTTACTTTTTATTCATTTTTTATACTATTTTATTTCTCTTTACTAATTTTCATAACCTCTTCCTTTTACTCATAACAAATACTGTACTATTAAAGGCAGCATTATCTCAAGGATGAAAATTGTCAAGGGCGTCGGATCATTTTAATCCCTATAGTATTTTCGTATTCATTTCTCATCCATAATATTTTTTCATGTAAAAATATTTATCCTGAAACTTTTTTAAAAAAAATTAGTCCTATTCGCCGGATTTGGTCACTATTTAGGTGAAATATGTATTTTTTATTATTTTTAAGAAAGAAAAATTACAGATTTTCCTTAATATTTTATACCATTATCAATTTGCCCTTCAGTTGAACATAATTTTACTTTTAACACATCAATTTTTCAATTTTACCCTATTTACTTTTATTTATCCCAATCAAAATATAAATATCCAAAAATATAATATTTACTATATTGTTTACCTTATTCTCTCTCTTTTGTCGCGAAAGAACTAACTTTTAATATTTATTTTCTTCTTATTTATTTTTTATTATGATGTCCCTATACTAAAAAAAATCAATACTTCACCATTTACTCCGCTAGCCCATACAAAATTTCGGAAAAACAATCAGAAGAAAATAAATTGAAAAATTTTATGATATTTTTTTAGCTTGTTTTTGAGAAAAATAAGATAAAATAGGTTAAATAATGTAATAATTTTTATATTTTTAGATGGTAAAATTTGATTGGATAGCGAATTTTATATTTTATGCATTTTATGTTATTTCTTTATTCCTCTGGTCTAATACTAAAGCTATTATCATATATTTTACCGTTTTACTCATGAAATTAAAAAATTAACAAAATAACAATGTAACTAAGAAAATATGTCTAGAATAATAAATCAATTTTAATAAATAACATTAAAACAAAAAAAAAATTCATAATAAAGTATGTTAATTAAATTTTCTTTCAAAAAATTTCGTTTAGATTTCTTTTACGTTTTTCACACTAATGCTTTATTTTTACCTGACTAACCACTTTTTCAAATTAGAAAAGTTTGAAATTCTAAATATCCATCTTTTTAATATCTTTTTAACCGTTTTGCCTGGAATTTTTTTCAAATATTATTTTATTTTACCTTTTGTTTATTTATTATGTCAAAAAAAATATTTAAAAACATAAAGATATTCCAAAAACCAACAAAAAGAAAGTTTGTTTATTTTGATTTTTTTTATTGACGTGAAAAAAAACGTATAAGGTAAATCAAATAGGGTTTATAATTTTTATTTGGTGAAAATGTAAAATAAGGAGTAAAAGATTTGAAAATGAAAAAATTTGAAATTTTAGAATTTGACAAATTGGAAGTCGTGAAGGAATTGGACAGAAAAAGAGAAAAAAATTAATTTTCACATTTCTTTGAATTTTTACAATAATTATCACGAAAATTGTTTATTAATTTAACATTATTTATGGAAGTTATTTATTATTTTTACATTTTTATTTTATTAATTTTATATTTTTTAGAAAAAATAGTAAAAATTAATAGTTGATTTAGTAATCAGCCAGCAGAACAAAAACAAATAATGAGGGTAAAATAAATAAATATTTTAGAATGTTTTCTAGTTCGTTCGCGGTAAAAATGAGAGAGAATAGGGTAAACAATGCTGTAAATTTGATATTTTAATATATTAAGATTTAATTGGGACAAATAAAAGTGAATAGAGTAAAATTGTAAAAGTGGTCGAATAAAGTTAAAACTTAGCTCAATTTGGAAAATTTAAAAAATAATTGGGGAAAAATTGATAAAGTTATAAAATATTGGAGAAAATTTGAAATTTTTCTTTCTTAAAATAATAAGGAATTCAGATTTTGTCAGAATGGTGGCTGGATCCGGGGAATAGGACCAATTTTGAACCCAAAAAACTTTCAGGAATAATTTTTTCAACTGAAAAATATGAAGAACAAAAATTAAACCGGAAAATACTATAGAAACTATAAAATGATCAGGCGCCCAATTGTCAACAATTAAAATCCCTAATAATATGATGAAATGAAAAACAAATTGCCAATGCCAATGTTGTCAACATAACAGAAACATCATCGAATGTAGTGTGCCAAACATTGGATTACGCACACATCTTCGCACTACAAACAATTAATAAAAGTTCTCACATCATTACCGTGATTCAAGTCCAACTGTTTCTTGAACAGATACTCTATATACTATCATGCATTTTGATATATATTCAGAAGAGTTTTTGAAGGCTTCTACTACAAAATTCAGAAGAGTTTTTTATGAACGCATACCGTGAGCATCCAAACATGTCAAAGAGAAAGAACTACCAAATCTCAGAAGCAACCCTTAAGATCATACAGCTTCAAAATGATAAGAGATAAATGAATTTCTAGCCGATCACTCAAAAGCACATGATGTACAATGATACTATCAACAGTTTGAACACTGGAGTTTACAACACAATCGAGCATACAAGGAAATTTGATTCAGTTTAGTAAATAGATGATTCTCAGAAGCCATTTTAAACAAGATTTAATTTCACCCAAGTGATGAGATAGTTGTTGAATATCACAGTCGAAATAGTACATATCAGAACTGGTTAACTGGAAGTTTCAAAAAGCTGAATTACAGTTGGCAGGAATCAAAAACAATAAACCTGCAAGATGGCTCTCCAAATGTACGTTAGACATTCTTGTTTTTCTTCAACTTTGATGGCGGCCATCGGCCTTTCTTCCTCAACCGACGTTTCCTGACCAGCCTCTTCCTCCGTAACCGGATCTTCTTCGCCAATTTCATCTTCAACTTCTGCTCGAGCTTTAGCTGGAGCTTGGATTCCAGAGGAAGGTTCTGAATTGGAATGTTTTCTTCATCCTCGCTCTCAGAAGAAGGTTCAGATGAACCAGCATCTGCAACATCAGCAGCCTTTGCGATTAGTGTGTCCCTTCTCGCTTTCATCAGAGAACATGGTTTGTAGTCAACCTTGCATCCACCAGTTGATTTTGGAAGCACAGCAAAAGGATGGTTTCGGCACAACCTGGAGACTAGGGAAATGACACAGAAAAAAAGGATCAAAAGAAAAGAACGGAGAATAAAGAAAACAATAACAAAGTTCATGACTTTTTCCCATTTCAACAACCAATATACTAAATGGAAAATGGAAATAATCCACAAAACTCGGTCTCAGAAATCAGAAATCATCAAATTCTAGCAAACGTAAAATTATACTCCAAATGAAAACGTAGCTGCATAGTTTTTTACTATTCCTACGAAAATCATACTCCAACAAGCAACAAAGTTTAGCCCTACAAAGAATATTCCAATAAAGCTGGGACCTTTATTTATTTCCAAAACCCCATAGGACAACAAAGAAATCCAAACAAATGCAAATGGCATACTTAAATTTCTCTCCCAAAACAAGCTTCAAGATTAATAAGTCAGAAAGATGTAAGCAAAATATTAAACGCTTATACCCTATGGCCTGCAGCACAACACAAAGTGGAGCAATAAATGACAAACTTCCTAGTTAACAAAATAAGGTCTTTGAAGCTGGTAGTGAGGGGTTAATGAAAATGTGCTCTAATAAAATGCTATACGAAGTAAAACCCAGAAGCTGTAAGCAATCAAGATGCAATTTTATGGATGGAAAAGAAAAACAGGTTGCAAAATTGACTTGTGTCCAGAAAGTAGCCAAAACAGGAAGAAAAAATACAAGTGAGAGCATAAGACTTACAAGAATTCAGGGGAATCGCGGGTGAAATAGAGGACAGGAGCCCGGTGGCGGGGATGGCGGAGGAAGTGGTGGTAATCTTGAAGTGAAGCTGGAGGAGAGCCATTTCTGGCTCTGCGCTGTGGACTTTGAATACGATGAAGTAAAAATGGAAGAAATAATGGATAAGATAAAGGAGGCACAGATGTCTCAACTTGCAACCCTCTCATTCTGCTGGGGCACATTTTTAAATATTAGAAAACATCAGAAGCTCCTCACAATAAATAATTTTCACATTTAAGCCCTCGATTTTTAAAATATATAACATAGTCCTACCAACGTTTTTTTTTTTTTTTTGAAATGGTCTTACTAACGTGTGAATGTCACTTGAATTCAAGGGAATATTGAATTGAAGGCTGCTTTGAACTAGGTAGTTTCGAATTCCTTTTTCACGCATATAGAGCATATGATAAGATTATGTTGCGCACAAAATGTACTAGACCACACACAACAATTGCTCATTCATAATTCATATAATGTTCTCTAGACGGAATATTACATCAATTATGCTGCCATAAAACCGAGAGCGAAGGAGAGATATTACTGTAATTGAACTCTCATTTGTTTCAGTCGACACACAAAATAAAGACAACCGGAAACGGCTGAATTGTTTTACAAATCGGCCAAAACTACTCAGCGCACATCAAATTTCATATCTTCCCATAAGGATCACATACAAAACCCCAACATTTTCTGACATGCAACATCTCTAACTCATCTTTTCTCGAGTCTGGTTACAAACAATAGGAAGACCAATTTTCCATTCAAAATTTGGATGTCATACTAAACCATTACAACCCAAAACATTTCCCCGGACACTGGAACCAACTATTTTAACACTTCATGTTCCCATTCTCGTAGCCGCTATCAGTTTGCATCCTCAGATCAACAACACAAGTCGATGCTTTCATTTTGAAAATGGTTAAAGACTCATCGCAGGAATCCAAGTTCACCGCTGAACCTCGGATACTAAGTCTGACCAATCAAATTGCCTAAATTGTACAACCAGAAGTATTCCTGGACAAGTCCTCAAGGACCACATTTTCCTGCCGAAAAAAGGTACATAAAGTACTTTATTTCCCAACACAAATTTACTTTCCTAGACGACTGAATTATGCAAGTGGAGATTTAAGACCAATACCTCCATCAAGGTAGAGTATGAGCACGCAAGACGAGTGGGTAAGTGCAGCACATTCCGCTGCTCCAACACTGACACCACAATGAAGTTAGAGCTTGAACGCAGAATATAAATAAAGATGCTAGCTTTGACAGAGTTGAAATCTTTTCACCGAAAACTTGTAATTGAATACCGCAACAACATCTGGAAATGTTAAGCTGTTGAGGATAAACATGGCTTTCAGAGACTTACAACTGAGAGCAGGGGTCCTTGTTTAAACTTGTCATGAAATGCCAATGCAATTGCCTTAGGGTTTTCCCCTGGACCTCTAATAAAGCCACTGGATTGGTGAAATAGCAACACAAACGAGCATTAGAACAAATTAATGCCGCAAACATCAGCAACACGTGAAACCACAAGATCCACCACCGGGGAACGAATATAAATCATAGACAGATCAAGACTGGAATGAGCTACAAAAAACCTACATGAGTGATGCTGAAATCAAGGGAATTCTTCTAACATCATATAACGCCACAAGACCTTTGTACTGGTCATCCCCGCCTTTGTATGACAAAGCTAACCGCTCTCCTGAAGCATCCCACACCATCTTTTCAATGCCTTTACTGTAATTGAAGAAAATTGCAAGATGAAGGCTAATATCGACACCTCCACTTTTTAATCACATAAAATAATCCAAAGACATCAACATTCTGAATACATAAATAAACTGTAGATTGGTGCACATGAGCAGAGACAAATGTAATAAACTGATTACAAGACAGGAAATTTAAAACCTTCTAAGAACAATGGTAAAACATTAAAATTTCAGTATGCATGAAGCAAATCAAACTTGAAGCCCAATCACAAAGTTCAACATAAGTGCTTCCATCAAATAAATCAGGCATCATTTCAGATTCCAAACTCCTCCAATCAGTAACCAGAAGAATCAATTTGTGCAATACATTGCAGAGGATCAAATCCAAAACATTGGTTCTGAGGTACTTAATTTATTTACACAAGGCTATGCAAAAAGTAATCAAATAACTTTTCGATGGGTCAAATGGATGCAAAACTTGCGAATGCAAGGGTTTTTCTCCTTATACAAGTGACTGGATATTTCCTTAAAAGTGATTCCATCCACCAATTGACAAAAATCCAGAGCTAGTTGACAAAAAGAGTCATTTAAGAGAAAGGAGATTGAGACGGACGAACTTGGACTACTGTTTAGTAATAAGATACAAATTAAAGACAACAGTAACTGAACCTTCTGGTTAAGGACTGAATTTCTGGCAGCTCGAGAGGAACAAGGTGTGCATCTGAAATATAGCAATACAAAGAAAAAAAAAGGAAACTTAGCATATGACATATAGATCACCCATATGTATAAGATAAGCCTAAGCATGCTCAAATAAGACATTCTCAACCATACCAAGACATATTTCCATATTCTCCATAATTTTGCATAGATGAGGTCAGAAACTCAAGAAACTAAGAGGAAACCAGCTAGTAAAAACCCTGTCGATCCGGACATGCATACTCATTACATACCCAGGGATGGCGGTTTTGATGCAAAGTGAAGAGAACCTAGTGTTGTAGACTCAGAGAAAGCAATGACGAGCATTCGGCTATCGGGGTCCCATGAAACTCCCTGCCGTTCAAAGTCGATAACATCATCAGAAAATGTGGTAGCTATACTGCAATATGGTGACCATAATATTGAAAGCCATATGCGCAAAACCAGGAAAAGAAAAAACGAAACAAAACAAAACAGAACTTCTAACCATAAAAGTTGGCCGGGAGAGTTCAAAAAATTGTGATGCATGCAAGCAATAACAGATGATACCCAGAAGGATCAGTATCTAACCGTGACAAATCCATTGGTTGAGGACCATGTTTCTGATGTCCAAGTATTTGTCTCCCAGAGGTAAAATGTTCCATCGCTACAGAAAAAATTAACATGCATCAGTGAAAACCCAACCTTAAGCTAGATTTTTCAGTACTGTTTTGCAGTAATGTGAACAAGGAAATGTGAGCATTAATTAGATAAACAATGGAAAAATGTCCGTACGATTTAGCAACAAAAAAGTAATCTCCAGATGGAGACCACTTAAGCATTGATATGCCCCCTAAACCACGTCGAATTCGCCTACCAATTCCTGGAAACCATATAAATTTGAAATTTTTATTAATAAACTTAACGGGCATTATAATTAAGGAAATATTCCCTATTTATACTGAGAGAGAGGGAGAAGAGAGACACGCACAGTCGCACACACCATACCTTGAGATACATCCCAAATGGTGAATGATGAATTCGCAAATGAAGCCGATGCCAAATATGTAAAGAGAAGTCAAGGAAATTCCAATATTGGATTCAACATCATGTTTGCGAGATAGAAATGATAACACTACTCCTTCCATCCAAGAGATAATAGTCCACTTTGTTGCTAAATAGTGCACAAAGTGAGTATTTCTCTTAGTGGAGGTAGTATTATTTTATACAACCAAAAAAAAAAACATAAAAAAGGAATTGTCTGGATATCTTCCATCAGGACTCCATGAGAGGGCGCTTATTTGTTCACCATTGTGACTCTGAAGGAAATCCACTAGAGTCCATCTTGTTCCAGAGCCCCTGAGAATGCTTGAAGTAATTTTATGTCTAACTAAAGCTGCATTTCCAGGATATGAAGCCGCCCAAATGCAAATTCCACCCCTGGTCATCAAAAGATAGAGAACTCATCAAGATATTCAAACTAGAGTTCATGCTACAGTAGGCCCAGTAAAATAATTTGTCAGGAGAGTTGTGCTTTCATAACTAAAATAACTCACTTGCATGCTACAGAAAGTGTCCTCCCCCCATTAGGCCGCCACTCAATGCATTTAACATCTTTTTGAGACTCATTCATCAGAATGCAAGGATCCTTACCATCTAAGCATCATGTCATAGAAACAGGAATAGAGGTAAACAAAGGTAGGAACTGATTCCATACTAATTAGGCACTCCAATAGCATACAAAGAAAGGGCAGGATTGGGTGATAAGAATATTCTAACCTGAATCCTCATAATCATGAATCGTCACCTGATGTGCCCCAGAAACAAAAGCAACAATGTGTTTATGTTGGTGCCAACTCAGGCCGTAGAGATCAACGCTGCGCGACAAACTTACCTGAAAGACAAAAATATTTGGCAAAGCGTAAAGTTCTCTCCCAGACAACAGCGGAAGTTTACAGTATGTAAATATCAAATTCCAAGTCTGCAACTTGATAATTTATTGAATAGAGATCATCACGAAAGTCATGACTAAAATAGGGATGGTGATTTACATCAAGAGCTGGCTTAAACAGGGGTGAAAGAGAACCAGTTGATACAGCCTGCAAAGCAGCGGAGAGAAACCCAATACTACCACCCTCCTCCGGTTGATGATCTTCAATAGGGTCCAGTAACAGATTCTCGGACTGAAAAGGGATTGGACTGAACAAAGTTCCCTACAAATCAAATCCATTACCCACAGTTAATTAAAAGCTTGTTCATCTACAAGATTATACCTAATTTTTTCTTTTAAAAATGTAAAATAGAAAAAAAAAAAAATTGAACATAGGAAGGCCATTCTTTCACTCATCCATTGTCTGTGATTTTAAAAAACATACATAATTACCACATTGGAAACTCAGAAGTGAGTGAATATCAAAGGATTGACAATGAAATAGAGAAGGACTTGAGGAGGAGGGTACTAACAAGGACTTTAGCATAGGTATCTCTGGCTCGATCATCGGAGAGGTTGTCCACAGTAACTGCATCAAAATTACTAAGTCTTAAGTAAAAAGATTTAAAAGTTAATCTTATTCCGGGGGGTTGGATTCTGAATTTGTGATGAAATTGAGTGTCTTATAAAAAGAGAGAGAGAGAGAGAAGATAAATGATGACGAACCCAGGTCTCGGTGGAGTTCGCAGATGGTAAGGAAGCCCGGCTGAGGAAACGACGGCATCTCTTTCTTCGTTCTTCTGCAATAAGCCCAGCTAGGGTTTTTATGCGACGGAGGAGCAGCTGACTGAGACAGCTTTTTCCCGCCGGGATTTGTTTTCTGCTTTTCCTTTTTGTGTGACATTTATAATTGACATACCGTAGTCCTTCAAGTTTTGGAGTCCTTAGACGCTGTCCTTAAAATTTTTTTAATTTAATTTAAATTTCGGGGTTCTTCTTCTTCTAAAAAACTTCTTCTTCTTCTAAAAAAATAAAAATAAAAATAAAATTTTAAAGTCCACTAGGGATTAAAATAAATAAATCGAGAAACATTTGTTAATAGAATTTTTATTTTGAAGGAAAATTAAGTTAGTACTATCATTAAAGATTTCTAGTAAATATTACTCTACCGGTCCTTAATACAAGTCATTTTGATTAGTGTTAGATTTCACTTAGACGCATTTTCAACTGATAAAAAAATTTTAAAAATATTTCATAAAATGAATGTGAAAATACACCTTCCATCCCACAAAAATAGTCCAGTTTGATAACAAATACACTTTCCGTCCCACAAAAATAATCCAGTTTGATAACAAATCTTGTCTCAATAAAATAACTCAGTTTCAAAAGAGTCAAAATTGAATTAGGTAGAATGATTACTGCCTCTGATGAATGAATTCAACGAGTCACCAAATTTCAAGAACAGCAGTTGGTTTAAGCAAAAAAAGAACAGCCTTTTGGCCCGAATCTATCCCCCATTCAATCAAGAAAGCAAAGTCCTCAATTTGGCACATAGAATCTGAAGGGGAAACGTCAACGAATCATGGAGAAGTCAGTTGGCACGGATTTCGAAGGAAAAATCAACCCAAATCATTAAACACAGTGACTTTTCCGGCGAGAGAAGAAGTAAAACAGCTGCCAAATAAACAGCTTCCGATTGATGAATGTCCATTTCGGAAGGTGACTGGATTCCGTTGTCGGCGGTAACTTCGTCGTAGAAGAAGAATAAAGAAAGTTAAAAAAAAGTTGAAGCAACGGGAGAAGGAGTGATCAGCAATGTCTCCGGCGGTTGCTCTTGTCGGCGTCGAGAAGGGGTGATCAGCGATATCTCCGGCGGTTGCTCTTGCCGGCGTCGAGAGATCGAAAGAAAGAAACGAGGGATCAGGAATCAGATTTTCTATGAATTTTCAATTAGGGGTAGAATTGGAAGTTTAAGGGATAATAAGGAGTTGTACCTCGAAGGGTTGACCAAATTAAAAAAATTGTACATTTTGAAATTAGATTATTTTTGTGGGAGGGAGGGAGTATATTTTAAAGTTTTTTTTTTTAGAATTAAAAATGCATATTAAGTGAAATCTGTGAAAAGTCAAAATGACTGATAATAAAGAACGGAAGAAGTTCTATTTACTGTGAAATACTCCATCGGTCCTTAATATAAGGCATTTTGATTTGTCTAAGATTTTACCTAGTACGTATTAATTGACCAAAAACTCTAAAAAAATATTTTTTTTCACATTGGTTATGTTCTCTTGATTGTTATAAAATAGTTTTAAGATTTTTTTATCAATTAAAAATGCGTACTATGTAAAATTTAAAACAAAATAAAATGTCTTATATTAAGGATCGGAGAAAGTATTTATCTTTTCTATTTTTTCTAATTATTTTCATAAGATGAGGTATTCACGGTCAATAATCAAACAAAACAATTTTGTTTTTGTCTAACTTCTTTTTTCCAAACGTAATGTCTAAAACCTCCGAATAAGTGATCACTCCTCACCTTAACAATAACAAGTGACCATACGTTTGTAGTTGAACCAGTCCAGCTGTGATAAGTGATCACTACTCACCTTAACAATAACAAGTGAGCTTTGCCCTTTCAAAAACAAGTGAGCTTTGCAATGACGTGTGGCACGGATTCAATCATTTTGCTTCATTTTTCACTCGAAGAGGTCAAATCAATATGGATTATGGTTATGTGATAATATTAATTAGCAGTGGTACCTATAAGATAACGTCACACAAGAAAAACTTGAAATGAATACTCATCTACATTTTTTTTTTTTTTTGGTACATCATCTACATTTATTTTCTTAATCTTACAAACGCATGAAATAGAAATGAACATTTCTTGTCATTTTTCTTTTTGAAAAGCATATTTTAAAAAATGAACAGTAATTGTTGTAATTTTTTCCTTTTAAATTTTCATGAATATATCATTATTTGATAATCATACCAAACCAACAAAAATCACTCATTGAGTGAGAGTGACCTTTGCAGTGACGTCGCCCACTCGGAGTTGCGTAACATAAGTAACCGGAGGAGACCGGAGGACGACTTATTAATTTCTTCTATAAATTAATAGACCCCAGAAATCAATCACACAGTCGTCGTCCTGTAAATTTTGTGGTTATTTGGATTATTTTATTAGTATTATCCCCACAGAAATCAGAAATGGCAACTGCTCAACAAGAAGTAGCTGCTACCACCACCCCCGCCTTTCCTCCGCTGCCGCTGAAAGACAGAGTAGCCATCGTCACCGGCGGTTCCAGGGGAATCGGCCGTGCCATCTCCCTCCATTTATCCTCCCTTGGTGCCCGCCTCGTCATCAATTACACCTCCCCTTCCAGCTCCGACCAAGCCAATCTCCTCGCCTCCCAACTCCCCGCCGCTGTCGCCGTCAAGGCCGACATCTCCGATCCCGACCAGGTCAAGTCCTTGTTCGATTCCGCTGAGGCCGCTTTTGGCAGCCCCGTTCACATCCTCGTCAACAGCGCCGGCGTCCTCGATTCCAAGTACCCTTCCATCGCCTCCACCGCCGTCGACGACTTCGACCGCACCTTCGCCGTCAACGCCAGGGGTGCCTTCTTGGTCTGCCGTGAGGCTGCCAACCGCCTCAAGCGTGGCGGCGGCGGCAGAATCATCTGCTTAACCACCTCCTTGGTCGCCGCCCTTAAGCCCTCCTACGGCGCTTACGTGGGTTCTAAGGCCGCCGTCGAAGCCATGGTTAAGATTCTGGCCAAGGAGCTCCGAGGGACTGGGATTACCGCCAACTGCGTGGCCCCCGGTCCCATTGCTTCTGACATGTTTTTTGCGGGGAAGACGGAGGAGATGATTAGGATGGCGGCGGAGCAGAGCCCGCTCGGGAGGCTGGGAGTGCCGGACGACGTGGCGCCGGTGGTGGGCTTTCTGGTCACCGATCCCGGGGAATGGGTGAATGGGCAGATTGTTCGGGTCAACGGCGGCTATATTTAGTAGCACTACTAGTAGTAACCGAAATCTATTTGGGCATGGTGATTTGTTGATTTGGTATCATTATTATTATTGATCGTGTTAATTAATTAGTGTGTTTTCCAGAGATTTTATAATCATTATCATCGTCACTTATCTTAATATATTCCCTTCATCTCAAAATTATTGTTTAGTCTAAATTTTCATTTTTAGTTCAATTTAATCTGTTTTAAGTGAACCAAATGTACCCAGCTACCCTATTATAATTAACAAACAAAAGGAGTCTCCTCTCGAGAAACAAGTTGCCAATTTTGTTTGACACATCCCATCCTTAACCATTAGTTCAAATTGCACTAAAAGTGAAAATCTAAACTGTACAATAACATTGAAATAGAGGAAATATATATATATATATATATTGACTCGCTTTTTCAATAATAACCTACTCCAACAAAAACATCACGCCACATAATGGATGTTGAAGGTCCACTATTTTCACTTTAATATAATTGCTTCTGGAAAAATTGGCCGATCTACCCAAAGCTTTACATGCATTGTTACTTTTATTATATTTTTTTTCGGTTGGTCAAAATTATCCTAAACTATTCAGCCGTTAGCCGATTTGTCTAATTTGTCAATTTCCGTTTAAATTAACGGAATTCTGTTAATTTTAATTACAAAAACACCTTGCTAATTTTGATATTTATAAAAAATAACCCCAAAAATTTGTAAAAATAACCAAACAGTCTCTTTTCACTTTTTATTTAATTTTTTCTGTTTTTTATTTCTTTTTACTTTTTTTTGTTACTATAAAAATATATTTTATGATCTTTTAAAAAAATTATTTATTTTAAACACTACTGTGCGATTTATATATATGTATATATATATATATATATTTGTAACTTGACAATAATGATATTATTTTTTTAATCCTTTTTTTTCAATTTAAATAATGAGATTTTTTTACTAAAATTAATTTTTTACAAAAAATTAAAACATTTAGCATAGACTAAAAAATAATATATTAGTACATTTTAATTTATTACAAAGTAACTAAACAGACTATAGATTGTATTATTCAATTTAAAAAATAATTAAACTAAAATATAGGGTACAATCTAGTTTTAGGGTGTTGAGTTTCATGAGAGTAGATGTGAGATTAATTCTCACCAAAAGATTTCTAATCAGAAGAGTGATTTCATCAACATTTAAGTATGGTCTACTAAAGGTGAGATAATTTAAGATGGAATATGATTATTATTATGTTCGAGGCCTTGATTATCACTAGGATAATCTTTTTTTTTTTTAAGGTGGAGTCTATTTTTTATTAAAAAAATTTACTGCTAAAGTTAGCTATGTCAATATCTCAAAAAAATTATCATGAAATGTTAAACCCTCAAATGATAAATATACATATTTTTTATAAAATATTTTGTACCATTTTTGTAAATGCCACAACACTATATTCTTGTGCTAGACCAATGTAGAAACGAAATAGGCGTGTTTTTTTTTTTTTTTTTACTTTCTGTTCGTACTTGGTTTTTAAAGAAAATTTTTATTTTAGTTTAATTTTACAATACTATCTAAAGTCTGTTGAATTAAATTGTAATACATTAAAATATACCAATAAATTATTTTTTATTCCATGACAAATGTTTTTCTTTTGTGTGCAAAATTAGTTTTAGTTAAATAATCTTATTCTTCAGATTGAAAAAAATAGATTAAAAAATAGCATTAATACTGTTAAACCATATTATTTTAAAATTAATATGTTTATGTAAATTAAACATGACTTATAAATATATAATTATAAATTTGTACATTAGATTTTAAAACAAATATTTTTAAAAGGTTCTTGTAGTATAATTTTATAGTTACGAAAAATAGTAAATAGAAATAAACAATAGAAAAAATTAAATAAAAAGTGAAATGAGACTATTTGGTTATTTCTATAATTTTCAAAACTATTAGGGTGTTTTTATAATTAAAACTAACAGAATTCCGTTAATTTAAAAAGAAATTGGCAAATTGGACAAAATTGACTAACGGTTAGATAATTTAGGGTAATATTGGTTAACCGAAAAAACTAGGATAAAATTGACAACACATGTAAAGTTTTGGGTAAATTGGTCCATTTTTTCAACTACTTCCATCGTAAAATCGGTTCGATAGAGGAGGCTGCAATCAAGGACAATCTATTTAGGAGGCGTTTGTTTTGTTACCAGGAAACGGATTAGGAAACAGATTCGAATGACGGCGGATTGGATTCGAAGATTCAAATCCAATAGCACTGTTTGATTTAAACTCTGGATTGAATCGTAATTTTAAAAATTAGAAAAAAAATTTTTTTTAAAAAAAACATTTCCCCTTCTATTGTTGCTCCTTCTCCTCCTACTCATGGATTCAGATCAGACAACGGTGGTGGCGAGGGTTTTCCGTCTGTGGGTTACTGATTTCTCTGCTTCCTACAAGGGTTGTATCGATTGATGAAGAAGACCCAATATTTAAAAACCTTTTTAACGATGACGAACGGTAATTCTGAAATCCATAAGCCAGAATTTGTCTTATCGAATCTCATGAGAACACGATTACTCATCAGAGGACGGCCAATCGAGCCCCCGTATTAGAGTAAGATAAGGGAAAGATCACAATTGGATTAGGGAAGAGAGATATTGAGTTGCTTCTAAATTGAGATCTAACTCAAGTTTGATGCTTTTATGATTCTACTTGACGATCCCTCGGTGTGATTCTCGTTCAATTTTGATGAAGTCGTGAGTTTTATTAGAGTTTTGTGAATGACTTGGAATTTCTTTTGGGTTATTCTCTGCAAGTTTATTGGGAAGAAGTGTGAGAAAGGAGGAAGGAAGGAAGACAAAGGAGGGAGAACCGAGGAGAGAGGAGAGAAATAAAACATTAAAAAAAAAATAAAAAAGGATTCAGAAAATGATTAAGTCGAATCATAGGGGGAGGGTAGGATTGGATCTATCGGATTCGACCATTCCCGAGATTCACGAATCCAATCAACCAAACATTTCAATGAATTCTGAATCCGAATCCTGAATCCGATTCCCGTGAAACAAACGGCTCCTTAACTTTGTTCTTCTGATTTTCCAAAAGAAAAAGAAAAAGAAAAAAGAAAGACAAAAGGGGCAGGATTGTCATTGCAAAGAACTAAAAAAAAAAAACGATGTGGATTCTTTTGAAGTCAAATTAGAGAGCGGGAGAAAGGATAGCTGTGGAATTCAAAATTAGGGGAATTTCAGACAAATACACACACTCACCCACTGTCCACTCACTCCTGTCTTTTTTTGCTCAAATCCCAGTATTCCTCTTCCTCTTCCTCTTCCTCTGCTCTATTCATTCATTACAATCTACACTGCCTTCCTCCGTATGGCAACCAAGCCACGCTATTCTATTTTGCAGATTGTTAATCAAATATTTGCCATTAATTTCAATAAATGAACTTCCTTTTTAGGACCAAGAAAAAGCAGAAAACTTCCCCTTTTTCTCCGTGACTTTCTTCCCACATTCATCGTCATTTTCTTCCCTGTAAATCTTGCCGAAACATTGACTCTCCACGAGAAAGAATTAAGGAGAGGTGTAAAAGAAAAGAAATATTCAATCTTGACGGCCAAAGGTACCATTTCTATTCTTTTTTTGCTTTAGTTTCCCTTTTTCTTTTCCTTGATTTTGATTTCTAGTGGTTTCTACTTAATTTCGCTTCTAGCCGATCGATTTGGGTTTTCCGTTCCAAGATCCCATACGGGTTTTCATTAAGTTGGCTGTTTCTTTCTTCTTTTTAATTTTTCCCGCTTTTACTGGTCAAAGAATTAGGTTTCCAGCTGCTTTGCTTCTTTAGATGTGAATTTGTTTATTATAGAATTTGTGGGTGACAGAACTGATAGATCAAAAGCCAGTTCCTTTTATGCTTTTGCTGATTTCTATTTGGTTTTACTCTGGTGCACTTGTTTACTCCTCAAGATCTGTTGATTTACTTATACATGAATGTGTATGGTTTGAATTAGGCTGACGCTGTTCTGGAATGTCTTTATAGGAGTGTGATAATTTGAAATAATATGGGTTTGAAATTGACGAATCTTGGAGCCTGCATTGTTAATCGACTGATTTTGATTCAATGTTTCTTTTTTTATATGTTAACTAGAAGAGATGGGAGGCCGAAGTTTAAGTCCGATAGTTAGGAGGGAATTGGAGAATCTCGACAAGGATGCTGATAGTAGAAAATTAGCAATGAAGGCCTTGAAATTGTATGTCAAAGACCTGGATTCCAAAGCCATCCCACTTTTTCTTGCTCAAGTTTCCGAGACGAAAGAAACTGGCAATGCTTCAGGTGAATACACCATTTCACTGTATGAGGTTCTTGCCCGTGTCCATGGACCAAAAATTGTCCCTCAAATCGACAACATCATGACCACCATTGTCAAGACCTTGACTTCAAGCGCAGGGTCTTTTGCACTTCATCAAGCTTGTTCTAAAGTGGTTCCTGCGATAGCCAGATATGGAATGGACCCCACTACCCCGGAGGACAAGAAGAGACACATCATTCATTCCCTTTGTAAGCCCCTTTCAGATTGTCTTTTGGGTAGCCATGAGGTGTTATCTTCTGGAGCAGCCCTTTGTTTGAAGGCACTTGTGGAGTGCGATAATTGGAGGTATGCTTCGAATGACATGGTGAATGAGGTTTGTCAAAGGGTTGCTGCAGCTTTGGACAAACACTTGCAGACTAATTTACACATGGCACTAGTGATGTCTTTGGCTAGGCATAATAGTTCAATTGTTGATGCATACGCGAGACTGTTGGTTCGATCTGGATTACATATCTTGAATGAAGATCTCAATTCTCAAAAGAGGCTGACAGCCATTCATATGGTTAATTGTCTAATGAAGTGTTTGGATCCCAAAAGCATCTCATCTGAATTGGAAAGTGTAATGAAGGCTATGGAGAATTGTCAGTCTGATCAGATGGCTTATGTGAGAGGGGCTGCTTTTGAAGCATTACAAGCTGCAAGAAAGATATGTACTGAAAGAGGTTCCAAGATTGACAGGGATCATACGGTTTCTATAACTGGCTCCAATTATGATAGGACAGGAAACATGCGAAGAAGGCATATGTGGGGTTCTGGAGATGTATCACCTTTAATTGCATCACCTGAATCACAGACTGTTGATTCGTTTGTTGGACATGATTCCTACTTTGATTCCCCACTTTCAACCAATCAGGCAGCTTCTCCTAAACTTGCCTACGATCGAAGGAATGTGAACAGGAAATTATGGTCCACATGCGAGAATGGCTGTGCCCTAAACATTTCTCTCAAAGATGGAATCTTTTCAGAAGCAACTCGCGGTTGGGTGAGTGAGAACTCTGAACATAATGAGTTCTCTGGTAATTGTGGCGACTATGAAAATGGTTTTAAAGGATTTTTGCATGATAGTGCCAGATTTCGAGTTTCAAGAAGCACGACTCCAAGTCCTCAGGTAGAGTTACTACTCATTTAACTATGTTCACTTGATGGTTTCTTTGTCAGTATATCTACTTTATAATTAATGAATTTTCATTTAGGCTCTACTAAGCACTTCAATCTTTGACGTTTTGTTTTGCTCTACTAAACCGTTCCAATGTTAGTGTAAACTGATGAATGACTCTCACTTCGAAAAAAGAGCTCAACTTGTGATGCTTATGCATGCAGTCTCTGTCTGGATTCTGTTAGGAGATGATCCTTTTCTTGCTTACTTGATTTCATTTAGAGCATAATCATTGATAATTTTCGGCTTCTACCATCAAATGTTGTTTGAACTAAAATGAGCTGGATACAATTTCTCAGTGAGGAGCTATGTGGAGATAAGATGGCATTTTTTTTTAATGTCCGAAGAGATATATATATATATATATATATATATATATATATATATACATACTAAGTAGTCTTCTTAGGCTGTTATCATGTCTCAATCAATGAAGGGTTATTAATTCCGCATCACTATGCCAAAATTTTGCTTTTAAATTGAGAGATGTTAATGTCTGATAAAAGCTACATCAGTCATGCCTATGCTGACAATTTTGCAATACATATGAATCCAGAGATCATCACGCTCTCTGATTAATGTCGACAATGTTAAAATCTTCTCAACACCAAGGAAGCTGATTCGTTCACTTCAAGAAAATGAGGAAAGTTCTGACTCACTGGGAGAACAGGCGAATAGAAGATTCAGAAGTCCTTCAAGTCAATACGAAAGGACGCCTACATCAAAATATGTACCGAATGGCAGCACACATCTTGTTGAAAATCATGCGACTGATGGAACTGTAAACCCTAAGGGCAATGTCAATTCAACCTCCTCCAGGAGTGAAAACTTTGTACAAGGAAGCTCAGAGTCAGTATCTTCAACTGACAATGGCTCTCCAGAGGTAGCAGTAACCAATAATATCCTCCAAACTTATTCTTCAAAGCTGGTGGATCAGAATCAGAAATGGAAGAAGTTAACTTCAAATACGGTCGGCATTGGCATTGCATTTGCTGTCATATTGGCAGCAATGTTGTGCTTCTTGTTTGATGATCAAGGAGAAAGTCCCAATCTTATTCCTACTTAATATTCCTACTCTACCTAGAGAGCTACAGCCAAGCTAATGATGCTCTTTTTGTGTGTATGTGTGTGTGTGTTAGTAACTTTCAACTTTTTGAACCGGATTAGGAAAGGAACTTGTGGATTAAAACTTTTGCTATTTTCAGTAGTTTTTATTGTTCCAATTCTTGCATGGCTAGGAACTTGTAACTTGTATTAGGAAGTGAATGCTATCTTGTTTGCCATTTGCCAACTTTTTGCGCGACAACATCATTATGTACCAACAGCAGTTTGCAAATTAGCTGTTAATTTCAGCGCCATTTTCTATATGCTAACCAGATTGAAAGAAAATGTTTGTTGATCAAAATTATTTCTCCCGAAATTATTATTCGGTTTGGATTTTATTATTTATATAAATAGTAAAATATTATTTTGTGGTATATTATAATAGTAAAAAAGAATTAAAGGAAATCACAAGGGCTAATTATCTAGCTTTTGGAGATTGGAAAGTTCCAAAAGAAGGGTTACCAAACATACAGTCATTAGCTCCAACCAATCAAAGGGGGGGACTTTTATTTCAAAATGTAAAAATGACTTCATCCTCTGTATGTATGTAAACCAAGGATTATTTAACAGTTAAATTTTGTGTTCAGCATCTTTTGTACCCTGTTAAATAGTATATTGGAACATTTTATAAATAAATTATTCGGAAAATATAATAAAATGCCAAATACAAATGATCAACGTTTTGAAATGGATAAAGTATGGATTTAAAGTTAGATTGATTGACGTGGCCAAGTCAAACAATTCAGGATTCCAAAATAGTATGAAAAAAGTGAAACATAAAACAACATTTTAGTCAGGCAAAGGCTAGGCAGCCAGACAGGCAGAGTGCCTGTTTGGTGTTGGTTGGAGGGATTCATCAGAATTTTGAGAGAGGGGGAAAATAGCAAAAAAGAAAGGAAAAAATAGAGAGAAACGAGAGAGAGAGTTTTTGATGATGATAACAGTTTCTCTCTCCTCCAATCTCCGTGCTTCTGCTCTGCCACCCTCCTCCTCCGCCTCCTCCTCCTTCACTAGCACTATTATCATTGTAATAATTATTATTGATTCTACAATCTTCTTTGTATCAACGTGTGTAACAAGATAATTTCAACAAAAACAACAAATAAAATCCAATATTTCCCTTCTTTTTTTTTCTTTTTTTTTTTTCCCGGTGGTTTCCTGGGAGGACCCTTTAGGCATCGTTAAGGGAAGATAGCAGCCAGGGAAACATTCCATTAATGTGATAATGGCTGCTTCCACCGCATTCATCAAGCCTACCAACAGGCCCAAGAAACGGCTTTATCAAGTTTGGAAGGGTCGGAATGTAAGTTTCCTCCAAAAAGATGTCATCTTTCTGCCAGAATTCTATTATTCCTACGATTGCTTTTTTTTTTTTCTTTTTCCACCCAGTTTTTCTATTAATAACATCACATTATGGTTGTTTTATGAGGAAAAGTGCATCAACAGGTTCACGGGTTGGAATCGGAACTGGATTTAAATCAATAGTTTATGAACCAAAAATGCTGCATGATTTGGTTGGTCGTTATTGAGGGTTAATTGGATTGTAAATGTAGTATTACTGGCTCATTTATCATCCAGGGACCCATTGTGATGCAGATTGAATGTAAAGTCATTAACTTTCCCATTGGTATTTTTAGTGTCTTATTTTCAAGGTTGCTTTAGTGAATAAGCATAACTGCATTATCTGGGCTGGAATTTATGCTTCATTATAGCATAATTGCCACCTAGCAGTGGAACGTAAAGTTAGTGTCTTCATAATCGCAGAATTACCACACATTATGTTGTTTGTAGTTGATGTTCTACTGTGAGATAAGAGGATCATGAATGAATGCTGCTTTTGTTGTTGCTAACTTTAACTTTTGTGCAGAGATTTTTCTGCGGTGGGAGATTCATCTTCGGTCCAGATGGGACATCGGTTCTTTTATCGACATTCCTGATAGGGACTCCCGCATTGACATTCTGCGCTAAGACGTTTCTGAGTCTGTCTCAAGTTGATTATGTTTATGGCCATGTTGTGCTCCTTGTTGGATTGTTTCTCACAGTTTTGGTAGGTATTAATTAGTTGTGGTGGTATTTTACATTTTGTAGTATTTGTGCAGTATATGCCACAAGCAAAAGTTAATTGAAATTGGCAAAAAAGAAATGATCCAATTTTTCATTGCAGGATTTGTCCTTTCTTTTCATGACATCTGCAACAGATCCCGGGATAGTCCCTAGGAATTCCCGACCTCCTGAATCAGAAGAACTAACATCCTCCACTTCAACATCTATGGAATGGATAAACAGTGCAACCCCTGATCTGAAATTGCCAAGAACAAAAGATGTCCTCATCAATGGCCTCACGGTGAAAGTGAAGTACTGTGACACATGTTTACTGTACCGCCCAGCGCGTGCTTCTCATTGCTCGATATGCAACAACTGCGTTCAGAGGTTCGATCACCACTGTCCGTGGGTTGGCCAGTGCATCGGAGTTGTAAGCTGTTTCCCAACTTTCAAGTCTTTGTGCGTAACAAGAAAGACGCCTTTTTTACTGGTTAAATATGCAATTTGGTTTTACTCTATTGTCTTATATGTCATTCCCTTTGTTTCTGTACTGCTTATCATCTATTATACATCAAGCCATCTAATTTGCCGCACTTTTCTTATTACGCATTCACTTTCAATGAATCATGTAAGTTGGTTATGTATGGCAACAACCAATGATCAAAACCTATGAAAATTATCACATTCTTCTTTTGTTATTCCATTTAAAATCCTCGATTCATAATTCTGCTCTTCTTACCAACATTCTGATTATTTTGCTGAGTGAAAGTTGTTTGCTTCCAATGTTTGTTTTGGCAATCTCAGCGCAACTATAGGTGCTTTATCCTCTTTATCACAACTTCGACAACTTTGTGCATATATGTCTTCACCTTTTCACTGTTAAACCTGATGAAGCAAGAAGGAAGCATTTGGAGGAGCATGTCCAAGGATATAGTGTCAGTCATTCTGATAGTCTATTGCTTTGTTGCTGTCTGGTTTGTTGGCGGACTTAGTGTTTTCCACTTCTATCTCATGTGCACAAATCAGGTTTTTGTTTTTCTCACCTGTATATCTCCATTATCATTATGTCGGATTGATCCATTTTTAACAGCCATCACGATTATGCACCAGCAAAGACCGATCCTCGTGTATTTAGTGTGTTCTGCCTACTTTTGTGTTGATTAGTGTAGTTATTTCCTTCAAAAAGTGGTCATGAATCACCTTCAAATGGATCTAAAATGATCAGGATCTAGTTCACTCTTGAAATAATATATATATGTATATACTTATATATACTTGTAATAGCTGCTGGATTACTTGTTCCCCTTCATTTCAAAGCAGAAGTTTGGTGTATTTAAATTCAGCTTTTCTTTTTTAACACAGACAACCTATGAGAACTTCCGGTATCGTTATGATAAGAAGGAAAATCCATTCAATCTGGGGATTTTAAAGAACCTGAAGGAAATACTGCTCTCGAGGTCTCTAACATCTCTGGTGAACTTCCGAGATTGGGTGACAGAGGAAGAAGATGACAGCACTATCAGCTCCATATCACATAAATTTCGTGGAGATGTCACTAATCATCCTAAGGGCATGATTGACATTGAAGCTGGAGGCAAACTCAGGAAAGATGGTATTTACCAGCTTCCAGAAATCCTGCACAAGATTGATTATAGTGGTATAAATGATAGCTTGAAGAAGGAAGGAGGTGGCGGAGTAAATATCGTGTTTGATCCTCTGATCTATCCAGCTGATCAAAACGTGAAAGGAGATGATGATAGGTCTGAGGATAGCTCAAGCAAACCGTCTCCAGCAGTTCTTCACAGATAGTGATGAGGTAGTGTCTTTACGATGATCATCATTACTTGTAGCCTTTATGCCCTGATGACTTCTTAAAGTTTTACATGGCTGTTTGTAGTGTATTGTGATTGATATGATTCAATACCACTTGCTCTATTTAATGTTTTTTTCCCCCTTCCTCCTTTGAACTATGGAGGACCTATGTCTTTCTGTTTCAGGCTCAACTATTTCTGTACGATTTTTGTAATGCTATATGGCGGCTGCTTTTTGCTGAGAGTGGACATGTTGAATTGGCTTGAGGCAGACGAGTCTGTAACGTCTTTCTTGGACCCTTTACTTCTTTGTTTGGAAACGTAGGAGCGAGAGAATGCATTCGAGGAGACAAAAGAGATTAATAGCAGAAGAAATCAAAAGAGATGAATGTCTGCTTGCTTCGAGAGCTGATAAAAAGTGTAGCCATCAATCAATTTGTAAAGTATTTGTAACTTCCTTCCTCTTTTATTTTATTCTTTTTTTCTTTCTATTCTTCATCCTTTTCTTGCCTTTCTTTCTTTTATCTTCCGGTTTGGGCAGTTCACATCCAAAATGGGATTTGTAAATTATGTTCAAAAACAAAATTAAAAAATAATTTAAAAAAAAATCATCGACCGTCTTTGCTCAATGTTATCTCTCTATAAGCACTCGAGAAAGATTGGTTCCTTCATCATCCATGCAAAAGGCACATTTCAATTTCCATGAAGATGGTTCTTGCTAGTAGTTCGTTTTTGAAGAATCATCTATAGACAAAGTGAATTTATTTTGGGACGCGGAAGTAGTTTTTGAGGACCATTTTGGGAATGGTGTGGTTATAACAGGATTGTTTTAGCTGCATCAGCAGTTTAATTAGTTGTTCTTGGCTGATGACTGGATTTACTTTAGTATTGGTAGGAAAGTGATTTATCTTTTCTTGGGAATAAAAGTTAGTATTGGTCTTGTAATTCAATGACATTTTGACCCTTATATACTGTGAAAACAGAGATCAAAGAAAGTCGATCGAGAGGATCATGATTGATCATGGGTCTCGACAGTATCTCTTGGCTGACTGGTTTCTTTGAGGCATAATGCATTTTTGGCAGAGGTTAATCAATGTGGAATACTGGCTGCTGCAAGTAGGGTTGATGCTCAATTACTGCGCCCATTGACAGCAGGTCAATTTAGTTTGGACATTTTTTAAGGAAGAAAGTTCCGAGAAAGAGTCTTGATTTTGTGTCCTAATTGATTTGATGGCACAATCAATCAGTATACAAACTGGCAATACATTACTCGTAGAATTTGGTTGTGCGTAGGGATGACCATATAGATTGTAGAGTGTGCCGGCACGTTGGAATCACACACCTTAGATATATTATTCCACACTCGGATGGTTTTGTTGTTATTGTTTGCTTGAATTTCTTAGTATTGTATTTTGCTGCCCAATCAAACCCAAAGTGGGAAGATTCCTGCTTTGCATCCCGTCATTCAAAACTCCCAACTTCTGAAAGTTCCCCCGGCCCCCTTTGTGCTAGAACAAGAGATTGTAACCATCGGATCCATCCAATCTCTCTCATTGAACCTTTCAACAAATGACTGATTGATGATGTATCTGAATTTGGATTCTATCTTACGACAACAACATCTCATCTCAGTTGATAAAACGAGAAATTACCCCTCCAAAATATTGGTCACCTCACCTCCCACGATGTTTTATTAACAACATACCACAGTCTGGTATTGTCCCGCTAACAATATTAAAGTTCATGCAAACCAAAATTTTACCACCTGGTGGATTGTTGAATGAATTAATTAAGGGATCACCCCCGAAAAGACAAAAAACACACACACACACACACACACACAGGATTTTTACAACATAATCAATCAATCAATTTTGTCTGGGAACTATTTTCCTGGGAAATTCCGTCAAAAAACTATACTTGTAAAAGAGATAGAGAGGGAGGAAGCTGGTTCTTGATCACCATTCTTCATCTTCAACAAGGAAAGATTCTACCTTTCTTTCCTTCCCGAAAAAAGGGCCCCCCTCTCTTGTTGTCCTTCTCTCTCATCTGCCAGCCAGCATTCCATAATCCATCATAGTTATTGTCAATTTCATTAATTAATTAAGTCCTTCCTCCCCAATGCAATGCCAAGCCTGCGCTTTTTTTAGAGAAAGGCTCTGCATTGGTGATAAAGGATTTGCTGCCCTAAATTATTAGACCACGATGTTTAAGAAAAACCTCCCGATTTGGACGCTGGGTTCTTGTTGATTCATTGCTTCTTCTGGCCTTCTTCCTTTGGAGGAGAGAGGGCTGAAGGAGGATTTTTTGTGATGGCCCAAGATGATCATAAACCCCCTGTTCCAAGGAAGAAGAAGCTTTATCAAGTCTGGAAGGGCAACAATGTAAGTTCCCTTCCTTCCCCCCTCCCCTGATGAACTGCCCCTTTTGTTTCTTTCTTTCTATTTTTTTTTAATCTTTTAATCTCATCTCCTATTGATTAGTTATTATTATAAGAACAAACTGCTACAACTTTCACCTTTCTTCTTCGTCTGGTTCTTTTTCTCTTTTTGGGCGCGATGATGATCAAAGTTTGTAATGGCAAATTTTTCAGTCTTTTATGTTAATAAAGTTAATATCATACAGCTTCACAGTTTATGTTGTAGTTTCATTTTCATCATACTTATGATTCCAAGCTTTATGTAATGTCTGTTGCTTCTCTACTCTTCAAAAAAACTTTCTTTTATCTTCCAGAGGACAGTGATGAGCTTGATTTCAAGGCTTTACCTTTCCCCTTCTTCTGTTCTAATCTCAAAATTCTTTCTTTATTTTGGTTTAAGTGTTTGGATAGTAATTTTATTTTTCTAGGTGTTTATCTAGATAAGGGCTTGTTTATTTGTGTAAGATAAACCGTCTTAAAGCATTCAGGCTATGCATTCTTCAATGTAACTTTCAGCTGAATTTGCCATCCTCCGATGTCTTACAATTTGAGATTATGCATCCTCTTCGAATTGTTTCAGTCTTGCCTGTTTTCATTGTCAATTTTTCTTTCTTTTTCTTAACTCTCTCATCTTCGTGTCATCGAATTTCTAGAAATTTCTTTGTGGAGGAAGGTTAATCTTTGGACCTGATGCGGCATCTTTGTTATTATCCGTAGTCCTTATTGCTGGCCCTGCTGTTGCATTTTGTGCAAAAGTATATTTCCTTATTAGACATCGAGTAAAAGAAGGCAAATCCGCCATGTCCTGGTATCCGGTGCTGGTTATGGGATCTCTTCTTACCATCTTGGTAAGATCTCTTCTTCTAACATACATGTTATTATTCTGTTTTGGAGATTGATGTTTTAAACTTGAGTGTCAGAGGTGACCCTTACTTTGATAATCTGAACATGCTTAATCACATTTCGTGTTGACCGAGCATGATGGCTACAAATGATCCATTTAACCTACTTAACATTGTGGGATAAATGCTGCGTGTTGTTGTCATGATGGTTGCTGATAATTTGTTTTATTGCAACTCAATGCAGGATTTAATGTTTCTTTTCGTTACATCAAGTCGGGATCCTGGAATAGTCCCTCGAAACACTTGTCCACCTGAGTCTGAGGATGCTTATGAGATGAATACTCCTTCAATGGAGTGGGTAAATGGCAGAACTCCTCATTTGAAACTTCCTCGATCAAAAGATGTGATTGTGAATGGGCATGCTGTCAGGGTCAAATACTGCGATACATGCCTACTTTATCGGCCTCCCCGTGCATCTCACTGCTCCATCTGCAACAACTGTGTTCAGAGGTTTGATCATCACTGTCCTTGGGTTGGTCAATGTATAGGACTAGTGAGTATTCTCAAGCTTGTGTTTGTACCAATTCCATCCCATAGATCCACAACTCTTGATACCATTGTTTTGTTCATATAAACTTAATGCTCATTCACAAAATTCTGTGCATAAACCATAAAAACCGATCACTTTCTGAGTTAATTAAGTCTTCTATTTCTAGTGTTAATGGAATAACATGTCTAGAGTTACGACACTTGATCTTTTCTCCCTTTTAGCTGACAAGACGCATTTTGACATTTTCTGGTTGCAGCGTAATTATCGGTTCTTTTACATGTTTATATCGACATCAACCATCTTATGCCTTTATGTGTTTGGGTTCTCTTGGGTCATCATTCTGCAACGTGAAGGCGGTGTGTGGAAGGCTATATCTGAAGATTTTTTATCCGATTTCCTTGTTATATATTGCTTCGTAGCTGTGTGGTTTGTGGGAGGCCTATCAGTTTTTCATTTATATCTGATCAAGACAAACCAGGTAGTCTCCAACTTAATTTCGATTCATCTGTAAAAGTTTGGTTGAATGTTTTCAGATTAAGAGTAAAAACTCTGGCCTTCTGAACATGCTTGTCCTGAATATTTATAGTAAAATCTTTAGCTCCTAATCAACATTTCAACCCCACTGTTACTCTAATGCAGACTACATATGAGAATTTTCGGTATAGATATGATGCAAAGGAGAATCCATATAACATGGGGATGCTTAGGAACTTTAGAGAAGTTTTCTTCTCCAAAATCCCGCCATCAATGCACGATTTCCGGGCCTTAATACAGGAGGACGATAATATGTTGCTAGAGCCCGCAAATATGTTTAATGCAGAAGATTATGGTGCATGCTCGAAAGAGAAAGTTGATATTGAAAGTGGATTTGCAATTCCCAATATCTTACGAAACTTGCATTATGATGATGACAATTTTGAGAATGATACTGTACGGGACAAGGAAGGGAATCCTCCTTATCTGTTCCCCTGTGAGCTAGAAACAGAAGAAGTTTTGAGGAGATCGTTTGTTAGAGATGAAAAATCTGAGTCTGAACTGAAAGACGTTGCTGGGAGCTCCACTATGACCTATAATGATTTTGACAAGAAGCTACTGTGTGATGGCTTATCGGCCTGCAATGAAGTTATTGATATACAAAATGCGGAAGAAAAGCTCAAAGACTCTTCGAGGAGATCATCTAATGTAAGAGATGAGAAAACTGAGTTGCAAACATTTTCATTTCTGCTTGAACAAGGAAAATCCGAGTCTGAACTGCAAGACATTGCTGGGGGCTCCACTACGACCTATAATGATTTTGACAATAAGCAACTGTGTGATGGCTTATCAGTCTGCAATGAAATTATTGATATGCAAAATGAGGAAGAGAAGCTCAAAGAGTCTTCGAGGAGATCATCTAATGTAAGAGATGGGAAAATGGAGTTGCAAACGTTTTCATTTCTGCTTGAACAAGAAACAAAAGCATTTCCTGGGAGCTCAAAAACTTATAATAATGTGGAAGATAATAGAAGGAAGAGCCTCGATGTGGCCGACGACCAAAAGGAGAACTTCGAGGCCAAAATGTCCACGTCCAGTGAACATGCTTCTTCCTCATCTGATACAAGCATGAAATAAAGGTGCATTCTTCACACACACAATGTCTCTTTCAAGTGCTGGGCTGTATATCTTTTTTGTGTTGACAGTTCATTTTGTGTTTTGAGACACGGTTGATGAAAAAAGTTCTCTTTTATCATTGTTTACAATGAAAATCCACGAAGTAGCATTTTGTCAAGGAAACAAGTCTTTGTTTTTTCCCGACCAAATCCCTCTTATCAGTTCAAGGAGGGTAAAATGCGAATCTCTTTCTCAATATACTGCTCCTTAGACAAACATTTCCCAATATCTATAGGTTGGAAAGTTGATGCAGCCTACCAGCTCTCTCTTCCAGCGAAAACTTTTCACTTTTAAAAGTATTCAGAAATTCCATAATTAGCTTCTGTCCTTCTTTATCTATCATGGCTGTTTTGAATGTTAATCTCCTTTAATTTTCAAACCTTGTTTGGCTAGATATAGTCCGTTTAGTCAACCCCATATAGAGGGATGATATTTACTTGTGGTAGTCGGCAAAAATTAATTTAATTTTGTGTATTCTTGCAGCTTTCCTGATGAAAACTCACTAGGATTAGGCTGGATACATCGTCCTGTAGGCAGACGGGAACATAACACGGCACCCGCTTGAGAAGATTATGGTTTATTCTAAGCCTGTAGAAATGATGGTGAAGGTTTTTGGTGTTATATTTGAGGGGACGCAATACAGTGACACTTAATTGTTGTTGGCTTAGAGATCGATGGAAGCTTTGGTGGTTTATTTTTTAAAGTTGCTCAAGATTGTGCTATAAGGAAGACAGTTTGAGTCTCTGAGTTTAGTAATTTTAATGCTGGAAAAGATAGTGAGGGAGGTTGCAGATTTCTTAGGACAATGATGCAGAGGAAACAGAAGAAGTTTGTTGGTTTTATTTCATTTTTTCGCGGGATGACATTGTACTCCAGTTCCGAAGTATGTTCAGAAATGGTCGAGTCTTCTTGCTTTGTGTAATCATAGTTGGGATTTTTGGTATAGATGTGGATATGATGATGATGTTCATTTTTTTCATTTGGTAAGTTTCAGATTTCATCAGAACTTCACCGTTTACACTTTACCTCCTCCTTTCTCAAAGAAAACTATGATGGAAAGTCGGCGTAATAGCAAAGGAGTTGAAATGCTACTTTTTGTAGCGGCAACTGGTGATGTTTAATCCTCTAAGTTGAAAAGCTTTTGTGTTCAGAGGACAAATAAATTATGATGACTGCAACTTCACTTGAGCAGTGATGTGTGAGATGGTTGGCAAAAGTTTGTAAGCCAATTCCATACCATGACAAGTTACTACCAACTATTTAACAGTGATCATATTTTAAACTGTTAATTTTGTATTTAGCATATATTATCTCCGTCTAAAAAAATATAATCCAGATTGAGTTTTTAAATTTGTATTAAAAACAATGTGGATTATTTTTTTGGGACGGAGGGAGTAACACAATAAGATCGATGTCAAGTGTCAACAGCAAACGAGGAAGAAGGGAAAAAATTTAAAAAAAAAAAAATTATGCGTCAAACATTTCAAGGAAGGAAAGGTGCCACAACAGCAATAAGAAAGAAAACCAGGACGGATTGGGGAAAAAAATCAAAATGAAAGGGGAAGAAAACTGTGGGTGCAAACTGGAAATAGATATGAACCATAAGTTTTCTTCAAGGCAAAAATTAAAGTGAAAATCATCAGAAATGGACAAGAATCCAAATTGTATTGTGTGGATGTGCTTCCACGTGTCCAATTCCAAATGAATCCCATAGATTTCATTGGATGAGATAATCAGATTTCATTTCCCCCCAAGTAGTCTTTATTTACTTCACTCCCTTACATTTCTTTTCTCTAGCTTCCTTAACAAACCCAAAGTTCTAATCTTTGGAAGCAGAAAGAAAATCAGAATGGCTTTAGTTAAACCCATTTCATCCAAATTTGGCGCCACCACCACCGCCGCCGCCGCCGCCGCCATCCCCAGAGGCGGAGGCGGTGTAGCAATGGCGGCCATCAATCCCACTGCCAGCAGGAGGGCAGCTGGCAAGTTTGTCATCAGAGCTTCGTCGACGGCGGCCAGTCCTCCTCCGACCAAGACGACCAACAGTAAGAAGGGAACGAAGAAGGAGATAAATGAGACGCTGCTGACCCCACGGTTCTACACCACGGATTTCGAGGAGATGGAGAGGCTGTTCAACACCGAAATCAACAAGAATTTGAACCAGGACGAGTTCGTGGCCCTTCTCCAGGAGTTCAAGACCGATTACAATCAGACCCACTTTGTGAGGAACAAGGCCTTCAAGGAGGCTGCCGATCAGATGCAGGGCCCACTTCGCCAGATTTTCGTCGAGTTCTTGGAGAGGTCTTGCACTGCTGAGTTCTCTGGTTTCCTTCTCTACAAGGAGCTCGGCAGAAGGCTCAAGGTATCACCTTTACTTCTTCTTCTCTACTTCAAGATTACTTCTTTCTTGTAGGAGTAATTCTGTTTTGGGAACTACTGTAGTTTGAATGTCAACCATCAGTAATTGCCCTTTTTTAATCGCCAAATACATCTGCCTGTCCCAATCCTCATTTGTTTGATGACATAATGTTCAAAAGTTTCTGTCTTTATTCAAGTCCGGATTTTACTGCTTGATTTTTGTACATGTGAGCCTACCATTTTTGGAGAATTTGTTCGGTGATTGTTTCTGTTTACCTCAATTTAATGGAGTGTTTTGCTTATTACAGAAAACTAATCCAGTGGTGGCTGAGATTTTCTCTCTTATGTCTAGAGATGAGGCTCGCCATGCCGGGTAGGATATGATATGATGCGGTTTCTTACATTTCTATTCCGCGCACATATCTGCATTGCTGAGGATTTTTGGTCTTCCATTAACTTGGTTGCAGGTTTTTGAACAAGGGTTTATCAGATTTTAATTTGGCATTGGACTTGGGGTTCCTCACAAAAGCCAGAAAGTACACATTTTTCAAGCCTAAGTTCATCTTTTATGCCACTTATTTGTCCGAGAAAATCGGATACTGGAGATACATCACCATATACCGGCATCTTAAGGCTAACCCCGAGTACCAATGTTATCCTATCTTCAAATACTTTGAGAACTGGTGCCAGGACGAGAATCGACATGGTGATTTCTTCTCAGCCTTGATGAAAGCTCAGCCTCAGTTCCTCAATGACTGGAAGGCCAAACTCTGGGCTCGGTTTTTCTGCCTTTCGGTGCGCAATTTCTCATTCAAACTCCTCCAAATGACTCAGCTTCGTTAACTTTGTAGTATGTTTTGATATCCGATCGTTCATTCGCCTCATGGAATGTGTTAAAATGCAGGTTTACGTGACTATGTATCTCAACGATTGTCAAAGAACAGCTTTTTATGAAGGCATTGGACTTAACACAAAGGAATTCGACATGCATGTCATCATCGAGGTTAGTTATAAATGTACCTGTATAGATGGGCAATGTTTGATTATTTTGTTCCCTTTTACTACAATGTTGCAATTAAATAAATTTAGAAAGAAAAAAAAAAAAAAAACAACACGCGAACAACACTAGGAGTATAATTAAATGTTGGCATTGGACGATCAGAATGTGAGATATGGTACTAGCAAATTTGCTGCAAAATTAGAACATTTCCTGTTAGGCGGCCATGAAAGAACTTCAGCAGACCGTATCATACTTTGTTGCTGTTGTTTGTTTTGCCAGACAAACCGCACGACGGCTCGGATATTCCCTGCAGTGCTAGATGTTGAGAACCCTGAGTTCAAGATGAGGCTGGACAAGATGGTGGAAATCAACGAGAAATTGATTGCAGTGGGGGAGAGCGATGATGCTGGCTTTGTGAAGAACTTAAAGAGGATTCCCATCATTGCGGCTCTAGCCTCAGAGTTATTGGCAACCTACCTAATGAAACCCATTGAATCTGGTTCTGTTGACATTGCAGATTTTGATCCGCAACTTGTTTACTAGAAAAGGAATGTACCATTATCTCTTTTCGGGGGGGGGGGGTGGGTTGGGTTTAGGATGGAGGGAACATTGTGTAATTGCTGTTACTCTTACAGTCAAATGAGACAGTTGAAATGTTTATGAGCAAAAACTGCGCTCGGATGCCAAATTTTTGTGGGGCAACAAAGGTTAAGAAACTTTTCATGGCAGTGGATGAAAGGAGCATCATGTTATGTATTGTTGATTGATGAAGAGATGTTAGAGACAACCAAAGAAAATAATGAAGTACTACTAAATTAAGGTGAAAAATATGAGTACAAGCTGGCACTGGTATCATCTTTGGTACAATGATTGGGTCTTCCAGTAGTGACAGTCCATTCTGGATTCCTAGCATTTAATTAATGCAATTGTAGTGGCTTTTCATTAGCAACATTCCGGTGATTAAAGTGAGTTTCTTATATCTACACTTTGACTTGCCTAACCATGGTTTTGGTGTATGGTGTGTTTAAGCCATCACATGATCGCTATTCTCCTGCTTACTAGTCCGTGTGTGGCGACTCTGTTCGACCTATTTCGTCTTTTTTTTTTCTTCAGGACAAAAGGAATTAATTACATCTTACTTTACCATATTAAAAACTAAAACTAAACTTGAAAATTTAATCCTATTTTGGCATGTCAATTCATCTGTGAGACTCCATGTATTAAAACAATGTACATATTATCTTTGCCAAATCACTTACTTAATTTTTGATACTAAATAATTTTCAAAATTTATTTCTTATTTCCTCTCAACCTATCATCAAATTCTTTTACTCCCTCTGTCCCATAATTATTGTTCAGTTTGAGATTTCATTTCTAGTACAATTTGAACTAGAAATGGAAATCTAAACTTGACCATAATTATGGGACGGAGGGAGTATTAGACAACACTTCTTTTTTCTTTTTCTTTTTTTCCTTTCTTCCTAACCCCCCGCCTTTTTTATTTTGTGTCCAAAGAACAAAAAATTTCTTCGACACGTACGATCAAGATAAATATAATAAAATATCTTTAATAGATTTATTGTGAGTCATTAACCGAAGAAAATATATTATGCAAATTTAACTTAAGATTTGTGTATCGACGCAACATAATATATTTTTATTTGTTTTTTTTTTTTGAATTAAAGAGTATAATGTTAAACTATCAGATTAAATATCTCCAACACCACAAAATAAAAAAAAAAAATCTCCCCCACCATAATTTCACCTCCTAAAGTATCACATATTTATTATATATATATATATCTAAAAAAAAGAATGTAATGTTTAATAATGAGGTATAAAAACTGCAAAATATTGTACTCTTTTTATCCTAAAATTATTGAATAATTTGGATTTTTTACTTCTACTTTAATTTATACTAAAAATAAATATTTAAATTGGATAGTAATTTTGTGACCGATGGAATATGGGAGTAGTATTATTTTAGCTCAATAAATAAAATTTTAATTTTGAGACTAGGAGAAGAAGTTACATTGATGAATGGATAAAGAGAGTGGCTTGAAAAGAAACCCCAAACCAAAATTCCATTAAGCTGGCTGGGAGACAATTATGCCAACCCATCCAATATGCATCACAAAGAATATTTAAATTGTACGATATTCGCCCAAGTGAATGACGTAACAGAACCGGCCAGCAGTAGCCGTTGACGACTTGACGGGTCCCAAGCTTCCGACCACAATAAACCCGGTGGAGGAAAACAACCGGCCAAGTTTTCCGATGGGACCGGATAGGAGGCAGCGGACATGGCTGCTGTTGGTGTTATCCGATTTCATAATGTCCTTTATGTGGGTTTGGTCCAGTGTTTTAATCAAGATGTTTGTCTACACATCCTTGGGGTTTCATCATCATAATCTCAAAGCTGAGATCTTGAAGAATTCTATATCCGTAATCAATATGTTCTTGTTTGCTTACTTGGCTAAACTTACTAACGGCGGGGCATACAACCCCCTTACCGTCCTTTCTTCTGCCATCTCTGGCAATTTCCCTCAGTTCCTTTTCGTTGTTGGTGCCAGGATTCCTGCTCAGGTATTTCATTGATTCACCGCCATCCCTATGGCTTCCCCCTAATTTTCCTTTTTTATTATTTAAATTATTGCATAGAGCACACAAGTAGTCTTGGTTGTTTTTACTATTGGTGATAACTCTGCTCAATAATGAAAATTTTCCTGTAATTTAAGTAATGGCAAAAAGGAGAGAGTAAAAAGCTCAGATTTTGAATTGAATTTTCAGAATATAATTGAAATATTAACATCTATAGTTATGCAAAGATATGATGCTAACTGAAACCAAAAAGACCAAAACCTCACCTTACAGCTCCTGGTGGAACTCGTGAATTTTGTTTTATTTGTTGAATCTATGTGGAGTAGAAGGCTGGAGGCTTCAAGCTAGAATCTTACCTAGTACACCCGCCCTAAAACTTGAGTAGAAACTAAGGGCTCGGGTACGGGTAACAGGATCTGTGTCATCAACCCCATCTCATGACTAGCTTCACTGACTGTTGATTAATATATTGAATTTCCATCTTTTCCTGCTGTGGAGGAGATACACGAATTGTGAGGTTGTCCTCGAATAGGCTTCATGCTCTACATGCAAGAGGAGAGGGATTAGTGTTTGTTCCTATTCAACAGTTGGTTGCCTACTTACTTGGCTGTCCAGTTATTTCTTTTTGAATAATTAGCATTCAGCGGTTACCTGTATGGGTAACTACTGATCTCAAGTATAAACGGGAGATGGTTGTAGACTTGTAGTTGACTAGAACCTGCAGGGTGGTGAAATTTTGGATGTTGGAGAAGGTAGTCTGTGCTGCAGATTTAGCTGATTCTTTCTTTGGTTGCATACATGTAGTTGGGCTCAAGGGAGGTGAACTTACATTATATTTCTAGCAAATATTGATGCTAACTCTTGGATTTGTTGGTTCAACTGCACATTATTCATGTCATTTTCTTATGGAGTTCTTCATCTTTGTTGGGTATCATTTCTCTTGTCGAAGGTGTTTGGGTCTATCAGTGGGGTTAGGCTCATCCGTGAAACATTCCCTACAATTGGAACAGGGCCAAAATTAAGCGTCGACATCCATCAAGGTGCACTAACTGAAGGAACACTGACATTCTTGATTGTAATCGTGTCACTCGGGCTTTCCAGAAACATTCCAGGAAGTTTTTATATGAAAACTTGGATTTCCAGTCTCTCCAAGCTTACTCTCCATGTCCTCGGCTCTGATCTTACTGGAGGATGCATGAATCCCGCTTCTGTAAGTTTATATATGTCACAAAACTCGAGATATATGCTTGCTGCATTGTTCAGTTAAATAGAATCTTGGCCGCCCTGGGAATTGTGATCCTGATGCTATTGTTTCTAGGTCATGGGATGGGCTTATGCTCGTGGCGACCATATAACAAAGGAGCACATACTTGTTTACTGGCTTGCACCTATAGAGGCGACTTTACTTGCTAATTTTGCATTCAAACTGCTTGTGGTGCGACGGCAGGAAAAAGAGAAGAAGCTAGAGAAGACAGAGTAATCAGACAGGAAATAGTGCCGCTGTAGGCCTGTCATTTAGTTGAAAACTTGTAAGTTGTTTCAAAGAGTGTAACTTGTGCAAGAAGAACTTTTGCTTCTTTTCTTTAGGTACAGAAATTGAGAAGGGGTGGTTGCCTTAGGAATTTCATTTTGATACCTATTTTTCTTATCATAGTGCTAGATGAAAGGGTGACATAGTTGGCACAGTTTTGGCATGTTTCAGTGTTTCTGGTCTCGAATTTCCTACAAATAGGCAACTTTGGTTGCTTAATTGTTAGTGTTCGTATGATGGTATATTTTGGTGGGTACTTTTGGAGGGATGGAGGCCTTTTTAAGGAAGGCTAATCCTAATAATACAGGTTTGTGAGGCTTATGAAGAGCCTTGTGAAGATCTGTTTTTATTAAAAGAATGGTGGCATGAGCAGCATCTCTTTTATCTCGCACGAATTTCATAATCGAATAATCTATGCTTTACAAAATGAACCCTGTAGACTATACCACTTGAGATCAAGTAATGATGCAGTATTACAAACTTATTCCAAAGACTACGTGAAATCTTCTTACAATAAAGTCACTGTCATCTAATAACTTCTCAGATGAAATATAATGCTCAATTTCATCAATCAAACAATCCATCCCATTTAAACCCATATTTTCATCTCTAAAAAGCTAGATAATATTCAGTTGAAAAAACACTTTTAAATCTTGTTGAATTTGGTAAATGGTGTAAAGTATTTCATGCAATTCCTTTAGGATTTTCTTCAATGAGCATGAACAGTGAAGGGGGTTTTTTTTTTTCAAAAACATTATCTTTTACTATCTTTGTAGAGTTACTTGATTTAGTGACAATAATTTTTTTAATAAGTAACGTACCTATGTGCGAATTTGGCATACAGAACATCAAACTGAGTATTGACTCGATTTTCCTCATGATCCAAATGTTCCTTAGTTTCATCAAGTAAACCATCAGTCGCGACACGATAAAATTGCTCGTATACTTTACGAACTCGAGCATTTGAAGCTTGGGTTAATTGGTTTAATTTAATAGACTACCCGTTTAAACATTAGGGAGTAAAAGAGTAAGCGACAAAACATTTTAGTCTAAATTGGGAATGAAGAAAACATCAGGGACTAAAAGAACAATACAAAAGGTAAGTTGGGTTTTCTGGTGTTGTCTTGGTAAGAAAGAAAGGAAAAGCCACAAATAAACCCAAAATCCTTAAAGCGCAGAAACAGAACCAAAAAGTATTACACTCCATTCCAGAGATCCTCCTCAGATTCTCTTGTTTGCTTTCTGTTCTGTTCGCTGTTATCCTCCGCGAATTTAATTTTTGAAAGTTTGCATCTTTTTATTTTGTTTGGGGGGTTCAAGATTTGTAGGGTTTTTATTATCAGCAAGAAAGAATCATGAGTAGTATAGGTACCGGGTACGATCTATCGGTTACGACTTTTTCTCCGGACGGCCGTGTGTTTCAGATCGAGTATGCCGCCAAAGCTGTGGACAATAGTGGCACCGTCGTCGGTATCAAGTGCAAGGACGGCATTGTTCTGGTCTCATTCCGTTCCGTTTATATTTATCTTTTTTTCCTTTTACCTTCCTTTTCTTTTTTTCTTTTAATCAAACTTTGGGGTTTCTTACTGGGGCTTGCAAAAATTGTCAGGGAGTGGAGAAGCTAATTGCCTCAAAGATGATGTTACCGGGCTCCAACCGGAGAATTCATTCTGTTCATCGCCACTCCGGCATGGTAGGTTACTATCCTCTTTCCTTCACTTATGTATCAATGTCATCCACACAATGAAACCTCTTTTTTTTTAGACTTGCTTACTTCTCAGCTCAAAAATAAGAAGAATACTCTTTTCCAGGATAAACTTATGTAATTCATTATTTCCTATATTGGGGTTTAGTACTTTATTTGTATCCCATTCCCCCTTTTGCACCCTAGCTTCTTTGGTGAGAGGAAGCGTACATGAAGATGAAATTAGTTCTTATTTCCTCAGTTTCATGATTCATTTTCGTAAATTTGGAATTTCATGGCTTGTTTCTGCTCTTTTTCCTGATATATACTAGCTCTTTAAGTTTGGAGGAAATAGAAACATTTGGAAAAGAATATAGAATGGTGGGTCCTGGGTTTTATTTTGTTTACTTCTCCAGGCTTGCTGATCCAAAATAATAAATGAAAACCCTAAGGCATTTGTTGGGAGAGGTTGGGAATTTTTCTACATCTAGATGATAATTTTTCTGTTGTCTGCCCTCTTTTGGGACGTTTTTGTTGAAGAGTTCTGTAAGAACTTTTTGATGGATAACTCTACATGAACTTTAAAAGCTATTGTAAATTCCGATCCTTCTACTATATCTGTGAGCATGAGGAGAGGAGGTCGTACAAAATTATTAATTCTAGTTAAATCATGCTTATATTACATTAAACTTTGTGTTCTTTTTTCTCCCATTGTTTTGATCTGATTTAAATCATATTGCTGTTTTGTTGTAAATAACGGGTTATTGAATTTCTCCATGTTTCTCCTATTGTAGGCAGTTGCAGGATTAGCTGCCGATGGGAGGCAAATTGTTGCGAGAGCCAAGGCTGAAGCAACTAACTATGAAAGGTTTGCTTCTGGTGGAGTTTAATCTCCTCTAAACTTTTTTCCCTTTTTTCTAATTTAAAATTTATATTTTCCACCGTTGTCGCATGTTTTGGGGTATAGCTGCCTTCTATAATAGAACTGGACTGTTCAATCTCAATGTGGTTTGCTTATTGATCATGCATTCTTTTTGGGCGGGGGGTGATGTTGCAGTCTTAAAGGTGAGCCTATTCCAGTGAAAGAGCTAGCAGAACGTGTTGCAAGTTATGTGCATCTGTGTACACTTTATTGGTGGCTCAGGTCTGATTTTTTAATGATTTCAGTTAAAAGTTATTTTCTTCTCTAGCTTTTTGCACATGAAATTTAATCTCTCCAGATTATAATTTGCTTCAGGCCTTTTGGATGTGGGGTGATACTTGGTGGTTATGACAGAGATGGGCCGGAACTATATATGATTGAACCTTCTGGCGTTTCACATGTGAGTTCATATACTTGAAATTACTTGGGATCAAAGAACAGAATGAAATTTGCTTGGACGTATGTTAGTAATTTGTATCGTTGGAGGAGTTGTGTTATGTGTTAATTTGGTTATCCTTGAATGCATATAATTCTGTTGTCTTCTTGATTTTGTTATAGAGGTATTTTGGCACTTCTATTGGAAAAGGGAGGCAGGCTGCTAAGACGTAAGTTATCAATATATCCATTCTTCATGGTATCAAATTTTTCATGCCCTTCTGTTTATTTATTGTATTCCGAATCTTGCTTTTTGGTCTTAAACACCACGTCTGCAACATGTGGACGAAGATCCAGAATTTTTCTTCTTCTTTTTAAATTTTTTTTCTTAAATTTTTTATAGACGAAAAAATGAAAGAATCCCGCTAAGATGGTTCAGGCATGTGCGTAGGAGACATGTGGATGCCCTGGTTAGGATGCTAGAAACTATAGAATTGAGAACTTAAATTAAGCGGGTAGTAGGGGTAGACTTTAAATAACCTTGGAAAGAAACAATCAAAAATGACTTTAAATATTTATATTCGAATGATGAATTTTGTATTAATCGAGCACGATTGCAAAATATAATCCATGTGGCCAACCCCACTTGGTAGGAAAAAGGCTTCTTCGTGTTGTTATTGTTATGTCAATTTAAAACGAAGCTATCTCTTTCCGTGGCATATCTTAAGTTCTGTTAATTCATGTGAAACTATTCATGTTTGGCATGTGTTGGGAACTGGTGAAAATAGCAGTATTTAATAAATAATAGTGATTTAGCCTGTAATAAACTTCAGGGGCTATGGCCTTTATGGTTCGTTAATATGGCCCGATTCAATTATTTTGGATCCAGGATAGAATTCCTTCTGCATCTTATGCCCATCCAAATCTCGAGGATCATGGCTTGCATTGAGGTCACCTTTTATTACTAGTGGAAAGGTGTTATGGACCATAGATTATTAATTTTCAAAAGCTGGAGCTAAATTATTCAAATCTATTTCCACTAATCCGTAAAGTGGATTTAAGTGGACTGGAAGTTACGAGCCGATGAAAATGCATTAGTTGGACATTTATGCTAAATAGAAGTACCTCTTGTTTTCTTTTTTGGTTCTGAATGTCGGTCTCTTCCCCCTGTTTTTGCCACAGAGAGATCGAAAAACTGAAGCTGTCTGAAATGACTTGTCGTCAAGGGGTGATTGAGGTAGCAAAAATGTAAGTGTCATTGTATAGCACTGCTTTACCTTAAATTTGGGCTTGGAATATGGCTGCTACTCATCTGTCACTCAGTGAGTGAATGGCTATAACAAGATAGTCCACCTTGTTTTCTGCATTTTTTATTTGATCAATGCTTGTCCCAAAAAATGTCCTTGGCCATTTCTAGATTTAACTTTAATGCTCATTCAAAACAGAATTTACGGGGTACATGACGAAGCTAAAGACAAGGCATTTGAATTGGAAATGAGTTGGGTATGTGATGAATCAAATCGTCAGCATCAGAAGGTAATCTCCTGTGCCACATTTTGATTCCAACCTTGATGTTTTCCTTTCTAAAAGGCAGGTTCTGTAAGTTGCTGAAACCGCTATTGGCTATAGTAGGACCTGAAAAGTACATCCTTACGTAAATACGGTTGTATTTGGTGCGTAAGAATATGAAACTGGAATCAGATCCATTATTTTTCTCAAGTTACGCCGCTTGTCATCTTTATTAATATGGAGAGAGAGAGTGTGTGTGTATTTGGGTGTGTCTATATACATATATATATATAATATATATATATATATATATATATATATATTAAGGATCTACTCTAATAAATTTTCTGACAAAACAACACCACCCGAACTATTTTACATTTTATGTGATGTGGTTTTGTTGGGTGTTTGAAAAGCTATAAAGTATTAAACAAAACAAAACAAAAATTATAACTATAAGAATCCACCATTAAAACTCTTCTTTTATGTAACACTTTTACATGTGTATACAAGTCATTCCTGGGGAAGAATAAACAGATTGGGCTCGATTTCGGAGGTTTTGGCACGAATAATCTGAAAATTCCTTGTATATCGTGTTACATCTGGACATAAACAATTTGCATTTCGCCCCTGAAAAGAATTATCAGTGTATCGGCTTGACCAAATGGACCCCTTTGTTTTCGTTAGTGTTTTTTTTTGTTCCAGTTGTTGATTGCTACCTTTTGCCACTTTGGTTTTGTCATATAATATAAATTTAAAGGCTGGATTGTTTTGTTGTTGTTGTTGTTGTTGCTGCTGCTGCTGCTTACTATGTGCAGACAGATCAACTGAATATGGTCAGTTTTAATTGTTTTCAAAATTGATGCGCCTTTTGATATTTTTCTTCTTATAGGTTCCTGATGACCTACTGGAGGAAGCGAAAGCAGCAGCAAAGGCGGCACTGGAGGAAATGGACGCTGATTAATCTGTTTTTATTTAATTTGTTTCATATTTAAGCTATGTCATGTATCTTCTGGGCATATGGTGTTGCAAGTTTGTGTACTTTTATGCATGAACAGTAGGGTCATCTTTCTTGCCGAAACCTTGCGATCAGAATGTTATATGGTAGTAGTATTCAATGATAAAACTATTGTCTTCATGGTAGTTTATTTTTCAGGAGTCTTAGTTTTTGGACTAAAAAGTCACAATTGTCTTCATGGTAGTTTATTTTTCAGGAGTCTTGTTTTTGGACTAAAAAGTCAAGTATGAGTGAAATTCATAAGGTGACCGTGAATAAATACAGTTAAGTTAAAAAGAAGTAAAAGAAAAGGAACAGTTCTATGTTCATCCTCGACGTACAGTGAAAAACTCTTCAGTGTCTGAACTCTTGAAGATTGGCTAACTTTACAGTATATAAATAAAATTTATACCTTGTAATCTAATAGAAACGCAAAAATCTGATCAGCTGAAACAAAAATAAAGCACCAAACCTGTAACAGGTAACCCCATTAATTTTGGCCAACAGCTCGAGTGCAGAGGAATTATAGTTCATACTGGCTGCAGATTAAACGCAAGTAAATACCTCAGGACCTGGAAACTGGCAAACCACCCTTAAGCCCCAAATCTGACCTCGAAGAACATTCCAATATGCAGCATGCTGTAAATACTCTACGAAACCTTTTTTTCCACTACCATCTTGCAATCCTCGAAAGCTTCATAACATTACCAGAGAGACACACTGCACTTAACTGGCCATGTCGATTCCCTTTCCATTGCTATTGTCGTTGATATGTCTCCTCAACCTTCTTAGCCAGATTTCATAATCAATAGGGTAGGGTGTCCCGCATAGGCTATCAACATAATCTGCAAAGGCCTTTAAGACAGCAGATATATCTCCAAGCTTCTGTTGTATTAACCTCCTTGACCATGAGGTTTCTCTCCATGACAGTGCACCTTCAACTGAATCAAGATCAGGCAGGTCCATCCCCGATGAAGAAAAGTAGAGCATATAAACCAGACTCTCTGCATCTGAAGCTGAGCACAGTTTCCCCTCCTGAAGAGCATATGTGGATGAAAAATGAAGATTCATTGCTGGACGATCTCTCTCTTCTAAGATGGCATGTCCCCAACCAATAAGGACAAAATATGGTTGTTGCCCAACTACTCCAGATGTGATGTAAACGACGTTCTCAGGCCGAATGTCACCATGCCGAATCCCAACAGATGCAGCAGCATGAAGGGCTGACAAGCAATCATGGCAGCATTTGATAGTCTCTTCTACACCAAATTCGCCAGCTCTCACCATGTCAGCCACAGTTGTGCCAACAGGGCTTGTTACCAAGATAGGAGTGCCACACCATGGATGGTCACAATTCGCGCCTGAGCTCGGCTTCCGACACTGACCAGGGTGAACTATTCTGCCCGAAGCACTCAACTGCGGTAGGTACTTGCTAGACAAGCCCTTTTGTTTCATAACACTTAACATCTTAGTTTGCCTCTGTACTTGGTACCACAATTTCATATCTTCCCAAGCAGGTTCCAGTTGAGAAGGCGGTGAACCGACATACAGAAACAGAGAACTTCTATTATGGTCTTCAAGTGAGGCGGCAATGTAATACGGGATCTCGCCGTCACTCACAACTTGATTGATCTGATAACCTCTTTTGTGGTCGTCAGAATCCTCAAGCCACAAGACAGATCCTACCTCCAATTTCATGGACCTCGCAGAAATGGATTCAGATTCATCGTGCACTTCAACAATCTCGGGTGAAGAATTACGCTGCTGCAAGCGAAACACACCATTTCCATTAATTATCCGACTACCATCAACCATCTGCCTTTCTATCCTCCTGGCTTGTAGACGAGAACTATGATCAGCAGCTAAGTCTTCAACTGTGTTTTTAGGCATTCCAGCGTACGGTACGATAGAATTGAATGTAGCAAAAAGAAACTGCAATGCACCGATATCACCCCAGTTGGCGTTTCCGAGCTTATTCCAGATCCTGTCAACCGGCGAAATTGCGATACTAGAATGGTTTTTGATCCACGCAGAGGCACACCCATACACATTGTGCACGTCAACCTCTAGCTTGTTCACATCTCCGTCCAATTTTAGTACCCCACCATATTGAGAATCTAAAAGTAGAACAAAAATGGAATTCGAACCAAGAGCTATGTTCTTCGATTTGCTTAGGCTTCTCGCAAGGATTACACGGACGGCAAAGAACAAAGCTTCACCTATGGCTGTGGTAGAAGGCTTATTAAAGTCACCGTCAGGGGTTGACGCAAGGAGGCTTCCAACATCAGGCCTAAGAAGTGCTACCAGAAGAACGTCATCCCACTTTCCTTGCGGATGTCTAGGATTCTTAAGCAACACTGCAGTAGCGGAAAGGTCCTTGGCTCTACCTTTGGCAATCACCTTCTCAGCCTGGTAAAACCTCATGTTCGAACCATATATGGAGGATATATAAAAAGGCAGAGGCTCATCCTGAGTCCAAAACGACTCCCACAAGCTCTTAATGCTTGCGTGAAGAAAGTCTTCAAGGGCAAGATAAGCCGACGCTTCAGTAGCACCTGATGTGGAAGTGGAAGCATGTAAAGCGCTGGGCATCCGGACCAATTGCTGGAAAGGAACACCTTCCAGTGCATAATCGAATTTCTGAAGATCGATCAACTCAAAAGGCATGTAAAATCCCTTCCCTTCGGCAACTTCCTCAAGCCAGTTAGTAATATTTGCAGTAAAAATGTCACTATCTACAAATCTACGAAGAAAATCTTTCCGATCCTGAGCTCTCCCTCCAGCACCTAATGAAGTACTGGACTTTCTGGTCCAAGATTCAACGGATTCCCGGTCCGGGGATCCACCTGCCAAGCAATTTTCACTCATGAAATATAACAACGGTACCAAAATTACAAGGGAAAGCAAAGAGAAGCACTTATGGTGAATGGAGATAAGAGAAAGCCAAACAACGGCATGAAATCCATCACGGGAGAATCTGGGCAAAATCTCGTTCAAGAAAGGAAGCTAGCAAACCTAATCAACAAACAGTCATTTCCAATTTAATGATTCTGCCACAGACCTAGCAGCCGCAGCTGTAAACACTTTAGAGTAGTAGCTTAATCTACCAGAATTACGAAATTCAACCGGTGGGAAAATGTTAGGGTTTTAGCCCAAGAGGAATAGGCCAACAAACAACAACAGCCAACGATGAAAAGACCACAAGAAATCAAACCCAGAATTGATAAACTTATAAAGGGATAAAGAACCAACATAAAAAAAGGAAACTTGCATCGAAATAAGGAAGCCCAGACCAAACAAAAGAGTTAATTATAGTAAAAGAACAAAGACCCAAAAATTTAGGTTACCCTCCTTTTTCTGTTCTTACCTTCCATTAAATCCAGGAAATCGAGGAGAGAGAGAGAAGAAGAAGATAAAGTCGAAATTCTAGCAGAGGAGACAGATCGTAATTACAACCGCGACATCAGTTTGGAGCTTGCTCATCCGACCCGATTCCTCCCTCTGTTGTTGTTTCTGGGTTCAGCTAAGCTCATCACTCTTCCTTTTTGTTCTTCTTTCTTTTCTTTTCTGTTTGCTGCTCTTCGGAGCTCTTTTCGTTTCGCTGCCCTCACTCTCTGTCCCCTCTGGCTGACGATACGCGCGTGGTAACACAAACGGTCTTCTTTCTTTGATTTTCCCTTTCAACGTCTTTTTGTTTTTTTTTTTTTAGAAATAGAAATCTATCTATCTATAATCTTCTATATAATCCCCATTATAAAAAAAAAAAACTATTTTTTTCCCCATTGTCACAATGTGCTTGAAAGTCTGCCCACCCAAACCCAAATGACAGCCAATAAGGGGTGACCTAGTGGTAGAGGCCCTAGCATCCAACCGCGAGATCGCGGGTTCGAACTTCCACGATAACGATTTATCGCTGGTCAACTTTCCTGCAAAGTAGAAAGTAACAGCAGTCGAAGGAGACGCGTTTCAAAGAACCCAAATATATTAACTTCCAAATCAACCTTTCCTGCAAAGTAAGAAGTAACAGCAGTCGAAGGCGCATTTCAAAGAACCCAAATATATTAACTTTCAAATCTTGCAGCGATCGAAGGCGCGTTTTAAAGAACCCAAATATATTAACTTCCAAACCTTGCACTGGTAAGGTGGTTTCAAAAAAAAAAAAAAAACCCCCCAAATGACACTTACGTTTGATTTATCCAAAAAAAAAAACTATATCAATAAAAAAAACTGAAAATTCCCACATGTTTTTCAATTTTGATCTCTTCCACGTATAACTAACTCCAAAAAGCTATCCAAATATATTAACTTCCAAATCTTAAAATATATTTATTACTTTCACGTTAATAATCAATGAAATTGCAAACCACCCAAAAAAATAATAGAGTGAATCATGAAACAGGTCATCGAACTATTAGATAATTCCATCATATGTCATCAATCAAATTTATTTGTAAACTAGGTCACCATACCAAATAAAAAATTCATCCGAGATCATTTTGTTAAATAATAACCCCCATTATAACAAAAATTATTTTTTTTTCCAAAAATCCAATTGTCACAATGTGCTTACAAGTCTCCCCACCCAAACCCAAATGACACTTCCGTTTGATTTATCCAAAAAAAAAAAAAATGGAAATTCCCAGATATGTTTTTCGATTTTGATTATCTCTTCCACATATAACTATCTCCAAAAAGCTATCCAAATATATCAACTTCTAAATCTTAAAGTATATTCATTACTTTCACGCTAATAATTAATTAAATTACAAACCACCCAAAAAACAATAGCGTGAACCACGAAACAGATCATTGAACTATTGGATAATTCTATTACAGGTCATCAATCAAATTTATTTGTAAACTAAATTACCATACTAAGCAAAAAATTCATCCGAGATCATTCTGTTAAATTTAGCTGTTAAATAGTGACGGAATGTTATTGTTACATGTTTTTAGGTTTAGGGGTATTTTTGTCATTTTTAATTTTTTAAAAAAAATTTACTTTTTAATTTTTTTCTTTTTTTACAACTCTTCTTCTTATACTTCCTAACTTGTATATGTTAGTATTATAATTACTAAATTTTAAAAATCAATTAACTTTTGTATTTTAACTTCTAGATTATAATTTTTTTTCAAAAAAAAGATGAAGAAGAAAAAATCGAGGTGAAGTAAACATGAAAATTAATAGTTAAACATTTCAAACCAAAAATGAAACTAAAAGATTAGCTAAGACAAGTTGTTTCTTCTAGGTTATTTGATTATTTTCAACTCGACTTAATTATTTAATTATTAATTTTCACGTTTACTTCAATTTGAATTTTTCTTTTTTTTTCTTCATTTTTTATAATCTGGAAGTTAAGATACAAATGACAAATTAATTTTTAAAATTTAGTAATTATGATAGTACCAACATATATAAGTTAGGAAGTGAAAGAAGAAGAATTGTTAAAAAAATAATAAAAATAATAATAGTTTTTTTAAAAAAATATAAAATAATGAAATTATCTTTGTACCCAAAAGCATGTGAAATTGGATAATAATTTTAGGATAGTAAATGTCCATTAGTTATTCCTAACTTCTATTCTGCTATTAAAATTCTCACTTCTCGGAAGTTTGAAATAAGGTGCATATTATGTGTTTGGTTTAGGTAAGTAGTTGAACTATGCTTCTCAAATCTGTTCGCACATGCAATGTTTTTGAAAGTGGAGAGATTTAGCAATTCACGTAATGCTGTCATCAAACCTCTTAAGCTTTTTCCAAAAAAGAACCATATACACTATGGTCTTAGTGTATCCTGAAGTAAAACCCCAATATATCTCTTCCATTGTACATTATCATTTGCACAATATTATATTTTATATTGATCAATCAACCAATTAGTTATTGGCATTCTTGTGAATTGATTCACCTATTTTGAATCAACCTTCGTTGTGATGTTAGAAAAGTTTCATAAATATCGTATTATCTTGTTAATGAATGATCAATCTAAACATATCAGTTCTTTATTGTCTTTGTTATTAGTAGCTTCATCATTGCATATTATTGTAAGTTGAAATGAATAATGCATACGGTAAATGGTATGCTACTTTCTGTCGACGGTGGTCCTTTTAGTTTTAATTTTTTTGGGTAGTGTCTACGTTACTTTTAGAAAAACAATTAGACAACCTCCAAATTTTCGTTTTGCAATATTTAAGAATTTGCACATTATAATTATGATGTTACTAACAAGATGTTTTAAATATTTCTTACACACCCATTTGTGTAGTTATTAGTATTACAATATAATAACATGTATATTCTATACGACAACTAATTATAATATTAACGCATTACTTATCCGTGCGAATGCACGGGTCTAAAGCCTAGTACAAAGACATTATAACAAAACAAAAAACAAAGTAAAATCATGGCATCTACAAATAAGCAAAAAAAGTTCTCTTTTACCCAAACTACCCCGTTCATCAGGAATTTTTTTCCTTAAATATATTTCCTTATATATACCTCGACAAAAATAAACCTTTCAAAAATTTTGTGGACAAACTTATATGTCCCGGATTTAGGAAATCCGAATAGGGGAAAACTCGGATTTCGGAAATCCGAACCTCAATAAACTCGGATTATAAAAATTCGACTTTTGTTACGTAAATCCGATATTAAGTTAATGACAGAAATTAGTGTAATTAATCTAAATTTGGATTTTATAAATCCGTATTTACGAATAAAATATTAATTTCTGGATAGAGAAAAAAATATGTTGAAAAAAATTAAATTTAGGAAAAACCGGATTACGGTAATCCGAATATACGTAGATTCGGATTATCGAAATCCGAATCTCTTCTGTTTTCTGAAAAATGGGGACTCTCAGTTGGCTACAGTCTCGGATTTACGAAATCCGAATCCTTTACAAAAAGTCTGAGTTCGAATTTCACAAATCCGAGTCTTTGTCAGAACTGAAAAAAAAAATTGGACTGGTGTGTTTACAGCACCAACAACAATGAAACATTGGAGAACAGAAATTTAATGGCAACAAAACAATAAACGGCATTCGATTAACAACAAAACAAATCAAGTTTCATACCAAAATCAATACAAAAACTACTTTAAATGTGCAACATACATCAAATGTCTCATTTTTTCCCTTTTCCTTTATTGTGCGCATCCGGAGTGTATTTGTTTGGGCCTTGCCGGATCCTGTCTCCCCTCTTAAGATACGTGAGTATTGAACTCTGTTGTGGTTGCGACTGTCCACCAAACTGAGCCTCGGATTGGGGTTGGGATTAGAACTCCCCCATGGTGAGAAATTTGACTCCCGGTTATAGTTGCGACTGTCCACCAAACTGAGTCTCGGGTCTACCAAGGTCAAACTGAGTCTCGGGTCCACCAGCGTCTTCAAAATGAGTCTCGACCTGGATGCGCGAATCTCGAGAAGAATGTGCTTGATCCTCATTTTGTTGACCCTCAGTTTGTTGTTGCGATGTCTGAGGTGGGATTGTGACCTTCCTCTTTCTTTCTCTTCCAATCTTATCTCTCGACCACGATTTCGCTTTTTTACCCGGCGGAGGTTGTGAGGGCAAAGATGGATCTTCATCAACCAGGATTTGGATATCCTCCACCTCCATCTCATCATTTGCCCCCAGGGTTAAAGCAGCATGTGTTTGATTGATGATATCGTCCAAATGCTTGTCGAGTTCTTCCTCTAGGAGATTCTCATCTTCTCGTTTTTCTCTAAACTTCTCGGTATTCACGCGAATGTTGTTCAATACTTCACCCTGAAAAGAAATTAGGACGTTAATTAAGAGAATAAAATTCTAAAAAAATAAAAATGAAAAAAAAATAAAATGAAAACATAAGAAATTATAAAAGAAATATAGAATGAACTCACATATAATTTCACGCGGCTCGAAGAAGTCTCGTATCCTTGAGGTTCATAATTTCCGGGATTGGATATCAGTCTGATAGTGTTCACCATGAACCATTCATAGTACCCCTCATACACGGAACCATGATCTCCTTCCTCCAAATCTCGAAGCACGTACTCTTCTCTCCTATTCCAATGACGACGTACTGTGGAATGGTGGTCCAGACAATTATTGCTAGGATACCCAGACATACTCTGGGCGTGATCGAGAAGGAATGATGCGTTATCTTTAATCATAGGGCGCTTGGGAACATCCTGTATGTATCCAAATTGTCTTACGACTCTGCTCGACTCGTGGGGTTCCCTAATAGCCCAACAGAACATCCAACACCTGGTCGTTCAAATGGCTTGGCCTTGTGTACAGAAATCAGGGAGTCTATGAAGGACATGTGCATATGGTTGCCACCGAAACTGCACGAAAAGAATTTCATTAGATGGTACAACCGGAACGAAAAGAAAGGGGTAATTGATCTCAAAGTAAATATAAATACTAAATTACAAGTACTTACATCTTAAACACGCAGGCTTGTTAATTGATCTCTAAAAGGTGGGGTGCTGCTCCTTGGGGCGTCGCCGTAGGTGTACCTACATTCCCACCTTAATGAACAAAGGGGTACATTTGAATTAGTGAAAAAAAAAATGAATAAGAAACAAATAGAAATAAACATTGAGTTATTTTGAACTGAAAATACGTACCGTTGAGCTAATGGAGCGGTCTCATCAATCAAATAATCTACTCCTTTTCTTTGTGGCGCGATCCTTTTGATCCGCTCATACGCCCATACCTAGTAAATTGCAATAATAATGTTAAAACTTCAAATTATAACGTCGAAAGCGGAAAATAATTAAAACACAAAATGAAAACTAATACATACCTGTAGCAAATATAGACACCCAGTGGCGTCGTGCATGGTGTACTGTGATGCCTCGCACAGTCCAGAGTACAAACCAGCCAGTAGTGCCGATCCCCAATTGTATCGACTACACTGATCCAAATCCTCAACCTGAGTCAAGAACTGCAGATTGACAGTGTTTTGCGTCTTGTTAGGAAACATGAAACTGCTAATAAAATGTAGTATAAGTGTCCTGGCCCTTTGCTCGAATCGATGGACAGTGGAATTTTCAGGTAGTGCGCGGCCCATCTAGCAACATTGACACATTGGCCATTTACTTGGGCTGGCCGGAATCCCAAATAAGCCTCACATCAATCCCGCCATTTACATGGAAAGTGTGGGTTTCTGGCCTCCACTGTTCCACCAACGCGGTAATGAGGCCGAGATCTACTCTTTTGTACCCTACTTTCATGATCCCCTCAAAACCGGCTCTCTTAATGACTTCCTTAACCTCCGGTGCCGTATTTTTGTATATCCCCCAAAAATTGTTGTCGTATCTACGGCCCATGAGGCGGAATGTTTTAATGTCCGGTATCTTGTTCTTATAGACAGCTTGACCTATGCTTTGTTTGACAATATAGCATTTTATCTTGTATAGGTCCCGGGTGAAGATGTTTAGGTTGATAGTCATATTTCAAGCCCGATGCCGGCGTCGTCATTTCAATCCTACACAAGGTAACCAATACCATTTCAATCCAAATATGCAAAATAATGATGCACTAACCAAATACCATATATATTCGGCCAAAAAAACAATTCAACCAAACCATATACACTCGGCCAAAAAATTTAACTACCAAACCATATACATTCGGCCAAATAAACAAAACTACCAAACCATATACACGGTTCATGAACTCTACATGCGAATCATTCTTGATCTTCACTACACGCCTACCACCGGGACTATCGAAAATCAAAGAAAAGTGGAGTTTCACGTGTGCTGGATCCCAACCAAGTTTCATACAAATCTTACTAATCAATCCCTCATATGATAACCTTTCTTCAACAAACAAACCATCATCCGACATATTTGAAAAAGTGTTGATGCTACCGTTCTCTATCACATATTTACTTGTATGATACAAATTAAGCATGTATGATACATTACGTGCCATTGATAACTGTTAAAAAAAAATCAATAACTAATCATTTCTTAATAACAAAATCAACAAATACACCATACATACTCCATTCATAATTCAAAAAACCTATAAAATACTAAAATACTTATAAATCAACTTCGATATCTCATGAACAACTATGATTTCTCATCTCTAACCTCAAAATCAACACCTAAAACATCCAAACAACCAACCAACATAAACCCTAATCTATCATACATCATTCTAACAATCAAAATAACACAAAACTAAACTAAATAACATGGTTTTGCAATCTAACCTCTTTCAAATAACGATTCCCACGTATCTAGAGGCAAGAATGCATCAAAAACTCCAATTCGCCCTTGTTTGAGCTGCGAAAACAGAAAATCCAACTCAGTTCTCGAATGAGAAATGTCTGAATTTTTTTTTTCTTTTATAGCACGTTAAACTCGGATTTACGAAATCCGAGTTCGTAAGTAACTCGGATTTTCAAAATCCGAATGACAATAGCCTCGGATTTTATGAATCCGGATTTGTTCAATTTCGGATTATTTTATTCATTTTTTGGTCCTCCAATTTATGGCACATGCCTACTTCCACCAACCAAAATTAAAGACAGTCGGATTTCCAAAATCCGAATTCAGAAAACCGGATTACGGACTTCCGGTTTTTGGATTCAAAAATTTCGCGCCGCGATTTTCTTTTTTTCTTTTTTCTTTTTGTACACTCGGATTTTGAAAATCAGAGTACTACTGTTCATTTAAGGAGTCCAGGACCTGGACTCCTTATTTGAGTTCAAATTTTTCGCGCCTCAATTTATTATTTTTTAATTAAATTCGGATTTCGCAAATCCGACAAGCATTGTTCATTTAAGAATTTTTAAAAAACTATTATTCTACAAAATTTATTTAATTATTATTTTATTTTTAAATATAGACTGGGATTTCCGAAATCCGAATCTTTAATTTTAATCAGAACTCGGATTTCAGAAATCCGAGGAATATAATTCTGTCTACAAATATAACCGTTCATCAGAGTGAATCAGTACATTTTACTCCCTCCGTCCCATAATTATTGTCCAGTTTTACTAAAATGAAAGATTTTATTTTTGGTCAAACTTAACTATATTTTATCTTAAACAACCGGATATACCCCTACATAAGTAATTGTTTAACCACTAAGATTTTATGGATAATGTTTTTTACTAAGGTCAAATATGTAACTTGATCCATAAAAAGTCAAATTGGACAATAATTTTGGGATAAAATTTTTTGGGTAAAGTAGACAATAATTATGGGAGGGAGTATATTTTATTGTTTGTTATTTTTATCTTCTACTTTCTCCCTCTTCCTTTGGATTTTGGAACTCCCAAATCCTCTTTCGTTCTCTTAATCCCTCCACATAGTCCATTAATCTCTACTTTGATCGTCCCCACCATTTTCATCCTTCTTAGTTCTCACCAGCCTCTTCCTCTGTGTTGTTGATTCAAGAAGCCAGAGACCCCTTCTCTGGAATCCGCCAATATATTCAAGTAAGTTGATTTTGGCCCTCGATCATCAGATCGTTTGAATCCTTTTAGTAACAGGTCTTGAGTGAACCATTTCCTGGGTTTTAAGTTTCCTACCATAGCATTTTCGCTGTCAAACTCATCGTATCATATCATTCATTACATTGTCCACAATGCATTCATTACTAATGGCTTTAAAGTTTACTTCTTCGTCGGATTTCATTTCTTTTCATTACTCAGTTTCAGCATTTTGACTTGAGATCCCCTCATCCTCACGTTTGGAATGAGAGGACGACATTATTCTCATCTTTCCCTACCATCATGATTATTTGTTCTTCTTAAAGTGTACTCTCTTTGTACCAAAATGATTGTCCAGTTTGAATTTCACTTTCATTTAGAATAGAAATGCATGCTTCCCACATTCCTAGAAAAATGTATTCACTTTTTAGTTGCAACAATTGGATTTGTGTGTGTGTGTGTGTGTGTCAGCTGGGTTGTGCTTGTGAAACGGATTTTTTCATAATCTCTGCTGAATCATGTTCAGATAGCGAATAAAAAGATGGATTCCAGAAGGCAAGTATTTGCAGTTGATCTTCTTGAAAGATATGCTGCAAAGGGACATGGAGTCATTACATGTATGGCTGCAGGGAATGATGTCATTGTTCTGGGAACAAGTAAAGGGTGGATCATCCGGCATGATTTTGGAGTTGGAGATTCCTATGGTACAAATCTATGACATAAACTCTAACCCCCCTTCCCCTCGCCCAAAGTAAAAAGTGTGTTCTATGTTATTGCTCAAATTTCTGTTAGCTTGTGATTGCATCATGGGTAATCTGGTTACATGATTAGATGAAGCAACAGTCCGCGTTGACTCTTCTCTCCAGTTTATAGTGAAGATCTTTTAATAAAGAAACCATCATCTGAAAAAAAAGGTTGAAGTTTTGCTGGGGGACTACTGGACTAGTGTTTGTTTCTTTGCCTGATGGAAGGGTGGTCTGTGAGATGTGGTTGATGACTATAAACTATAAAGCAACTGAATTGTTACGTAGTGAAATGGTATCCTCTTTTGGGTTTCATTTAGGGCAAGGATGTAGGCTATTTTCTGATTTTAACCAATCTTATTTTTATTTTCGTAAGTTAAAACTTGGTTTTCATTTGAGCTTCTGATGATTTTTTTAAATATTGACTTTGTTTATATTTTTTTATCTAGATATTGATCTTTCGGCTGGTAGGTCTGGAGATCAGTCAATTCATCGAGTGTTTGTTGATCCTGGTGGTAGTCACTGTATAGCTACAGTGGTGGGTCCTGGAGGTCCTGATACTTTTTATGTACATGCTAAATGGACTAGGCCACGTTTGCTTAGCAGATTTAAGTCTCTTATTGTGAACGCTGTTGCATGGAACCGACAATTAATCACAGAAGGTGTTGTTATTGTTCTTCTGCTCATACATATTATCTTTTTGATATTTGCTCTGTACATAATTGTTATGAGTATTTATAATATTATGAGGGATGCATATATATTCACAGCATCGACAAGGGAAGTTATCCTGGGTACAGAAAATGGCCAGCTTTTCGAATTGGCTGTTGATGAGAAGGATAAAAAGGAGAAGTATATAAAGTTTTTGTTTGAACTGAAGGAACTTCCTGAAGCTTTCACTGGATTGCAGGCTCGGTTCTTTCTCTATTCCTTTATATCCTCTTACTCTCTTCATTGATTAGTTTTGTTCGTATGGGCGCATCTCATTGCTCACTTAGTCATTTGCTTTTTCAACTTATTTGCTGCTCAAGTATGTGCAATTTGTTAAAATGTTGTTAGAGAAATCCTGAGAAACTTTATCTTTGATCTGTATACAGATGGAAACAGCGACCGTGATGCATGGAACTGCAATTAGATACTATGTGATGGCTGTTACCCCCACTAGACTTTATTCTTACACAGGAATAGGTTCATTAGAGGTAAAAATCAACTTAATTCAGGAAACTTGTTTCTACTTTTCCTTTTTCCACCAAAAAGGGTTTTCTTAGTTAATTGCTCTGATCAGTGATTTTCTTCATATGCACACATTCCCTGATGATATTTCCTTATTAGATATATGAGTATATGTTTATTAATACATTGTGTGATTTATCTCTCATAAAATGAGCTTGCTAGACGATTGTGGATGATTTTTTCAGAAAATATTTCCCTCATGTTCGGTCAATATGTAATGTTTTGTTTATGGTTTGAGCTTTATGATTCGCCTGAATTGTTGTGGAGTTGTAATGGCTGGGGCTTCTTGTTTCATGATGTTTTACTTGCATAGTTTCCCACAAAAATATTTTTAAGTTCTCCACTGCATAATTACCTATTAACGTATTGCTTTTGTCTTAATCTGTGTTACAGTCTGTTTTTGCAAGTTATGTGGACCGTGCAGTTCATTTCATGGAACTTCCTGGTGAAATACCTAATAGGTCAGAAAATTTATGTGTAACATGCGTCATTAAGTTGGTTTCTGCTTATCATTGTTGTTCATTATGTGGATTTATGATGTATGAATTGAGCGTGATGGTAATTGTTGGAACGTGGTAACCATAGTTCAGTTGTCTTCTGTTGTAGTGATAAATTTTAATTGGTAGTCATGTCTCTTATTGATATAAGTAAAGTTGTTTGTATCTAATCCGTCGATGGCAATTAATATAAGCTTTTTAACAGCGAACTGCACTTCTTTATCAAACAAAGGAGGGCTATACACTTTGCATGGCTTTCAGGAGCAGGAATATATCATGGAGGGCTAAATTTTGGCGCACAACATAGGTGAGAGATGAAAGGTCGCCCATTTCTTGGTTCTGTTGTTCAACTTTTTTCCTGGTTGTGTTTATTTGCTGGTCCATTGAAATATGATCACGTCTTTGTTCATACTTCTATGTATTTATGCTGAGGTAATAAATTATTCTCACTAAGACTTCCGCTCTTGTGGCAGTTCACCAGATGGTGATCAGAATTTTGTGGAGAACAAGGCTCTTTTGGCCTACTCAAAATTGGGGGAAGGAGGTGAAGCTTTGAAGCCTAGTTCTATGGCTGTGTCTGAGTATCATTTTCTTCTCCTCATCGGGAACAAGGTCAAGGTGTGTATGAAGCTCAAGAAGTTCTTTTTCTTCTTTGTCCTTCCGTGGAGTTATTAAAACATTGCATTTTCTAAATGAAAAAGTTATACATGTACGGGCTCCTTATTAGTCTACAGTTTATCTGCTCTCTCTCTGTTCCACATCTAAGAGGTACACCTACTTAGACTTCTGTGATACAACACTTAAAATAAGTTTTCTTGTTGCATTTTCTTGCATTTATATCTTTACGTGTTGAAGTGTAAACCATACATGATCAGTACGGAAAAGCGAACATATTAGGACAAAAACTGTTTGAAGGATTAATTTTATATGGGAACGGGTAACATAGTGTGATAAGGACTTGTTGATGCTGTTGTTATTTTTGAACGTGGAAGTAGTACCAATGGCCGAGGTCAGGTCATGAAGAAATTGATTGAGTATGGATGTTTCTTTTTTTATCTATTCTGCATATCTGTTTGTCAATTTCTGTTTTTGTTAGTTCTGGATTCAAGAACAAGCATGAACTGCCAGCTCAAGGCTGAAAAATCACATTTGACATGAGAAGTTGAATAATTTTGTCAGACTTGTGTCATTTATAACCTCTTTCATGCCCCTAGTGGAAAAAAGAAAAAGAGTGGAAATAACTATAAAGTTAGATGTTAAAATTGGTTAAAAGCTTACTATGTTTTCATGTTCTATTGTAGGTTGTTAATAGGATTAGTGAGCAGATAGTAGAGGAGCTTTATTTTGATGAATCCGTAGATGCAGTTTCTAGGGGTATAATGGGATTATGTAGCGATTCATCGGCTGGATTGTTTTATGCTTATGACCAGAACTCCATCTTTCAGGTTCGTTTACTATGAAAACTTAGTTATTACTTCTGCCTTGCTACGTCACCATTTCCTCTGTTTAGCAACCAGATAGTTGATCCTGGCTGGACAAACACAGGTTTCTGTAAATGATGAGGGCCGAGATATGTGGAAAGTGTATTTAGATTTAAAGGAATATGCTGCTGCTCTGGCAAATTGTCGTGATGCTCTCCAAAAAGACCAAGTGTATTTGGTACAGGTAAGAGTTATTTATGATTGTAATTATGCCTGTGCCTATATGATTTCGGTCACAAGTAATCATCTTCAAGATCTTGATAAGTGTTGCATTCAGTGTTTCCCAATACCGCCTCAGTTATTTTGGACATGGTCATTTAAATGACTTCTTCTTCTCCTTTATATATATTAATCATTTTTTGGTGGCAGGCTGAAGCTGCTTTTTCTGCTAAGGATTTCCTTAGAGCTGCATCCTTTTATGCAAAGGTGGTTTCATCTTCCACTCTAATTTCAATTAGCCTATATGTCTTCATGATGTAGGACATCTTTTATATACAGCTTGGTCAGTCGGGGCATTTCTCTTACCAACCAGATGCTATTTTTGTTGTATGTAGCTCTGTGGTAGTTTCGATTATTTGTGTGGCTGGTAAGATTTTGAAGGTAAAATAGGTGATCATGGGAATAACCATCAAAGTTATCACGATGATGATTGCTTATTGAAGTTTGCTCATAATAATGTCTTGTTCATATAGTATGATCATTCATTTGAAATTCAAAATGCTGATGATTGACCTGGAAATAAAAGTAAGTTTGCTTGCATGGCATCTTTAAAATCATATTTGAAGGCCACAACTCTCTAGTACTTGAGCTGCATATGCTGTAAATGTGGTATTCTTCTGAAAACATTTCTTTTCCACTCAACAAAGATGTTCGTGTATATTCTCCTGCTACCAAAATTTTTTTTTAAGAGTTTGTGAGATTAGACGGGTCACTTTACTGTTCATTTGTTATTCTTCAGAGAACAGTTCCTGAACAAAGAACTTCATTTTGCAGATTAATTATGTGTTATCATTTGAAGAGATCACTTTGAAGTTCATTAGCATTGGCGAACAGGTAATTTGATGTTCTTCAATCATTTTCAAAATCACGTGGAAAGAATGGTTTACTGCACAATATCCTCTCTGTGTAAGTTTATTTTTGTTATTATTATTACAGCTATTGTTCATCTTTTATAATCATTACCTATACTATCACTTTCAGTTTTGCCATTTGTGTTTTCATGAGTTGTACACCTGCATTCCATACTGCACAATTGCAGACAGACATGTAAATGCATATCCATTAAGTATTTTCATTATAGATGTGTGTAAAACTAAATGAGCTTTTTGGTATCTTAATCGTCTATTTTAGTAGATGAACCTGGCTCCTGAATAATTTGTCTATCAAAATTAGTTCGAGATTTGGGCATAACATACATGCAAATGCCAACTGAAAGATGGATGAGAAACTCCGGTTTTTGAAGTACCTCAATTTCAATTTATTAGTCACTTTTGGATTTGCACAACTATCGAGAAAGCGATCATTTGTAATTTAATTTAGTTTTCATACCCATTTTACTCCTAACTATTGGGATTGGAGAGAGCAATGGAAAAAGACTTGTCCGCCCTAATGTAACCTATTACATGAGGAGAGAATGAGGAACAAAATTGGAAAAAAAAGTCATTGATTCGGCTTGGAAAGTGAATAGTGTCAGAAGAGACAATGTTTACCTCTTTTAAAGCTACAGATAAATTGGAACAGAGTTAGCACTCTACCTGCAGATTAACTTGTGTTGGGATGAAGAAGGATGGACCAGATAAAACTTATGTCTATTAGGAATTAAAGAAACAGCAAAGAAGCATTTATCTCATTATTTGAGATTGGCTATATTGATCATATGTTGCCATCTTTTACTTGTTGAAAAGCGTGTCTTTATATTATTTCGAACGCATGGTGGCTTTCTAAATATATTCTTTCCAGTTCTTTTCTGGTCTCCCATTCCTCCCTAGAGCTTTATGTTCAGCCTTGAAACTGTTCCAATGAAGATTGTTTTATGATTTATAAAATTCACTGTTGTGGTTGATTGACTAGAACTTGATTATTGTGCATACTGCTAGTTAACAAATAAGAAGTATATCTTTGACTAGCCAAATTTCTGTCCATCGCTTGCAGGATGCTCTGAGAACGTTCCTTCTTCGCAAGCTTGATATTCTTGCTAAGGATGATAAATGCCAAATAACGATGATTTCCACTTGGGTTACGGAACTATACTTGGACAAGGTTCATGCCTGTATTACTGATTTCTAACGATATGATTACATTACTTAAGTTTTTATCATCTCTTTCTTCATGGTACCATATTCTTTCTTGAACAATTTCATCATGACTTGTCAAGTGAATTTCCCTTTTAACCTGATATTTTGTAATCAAACTGATTAAGAGATGGAACTTTAATATGTCAAAAGATGGAACTTTAATTTGACATGCTCAATATGTAAAATATGGAACTTCATCCGAGAGACTCATTTATTTCATTGTTCTAATAGATTGCACATGTTAGCTTTGTAAAAGTATGAATCAGAGGACTAGACTATCATGGTCCGACTATTATAAAAGATTGCCTTATGGCTACTGTTTTAACTTTTTCCCTCTTTTTATGGAGTTTGTATTACAAAGATAACTTTTTACCTCATTCTAATGTTGTTTCAAAAAGATATATTCAATTGCTATTTATCTTTTTTATTTTCCTTAGAATTGTCCATGTGATTGAACCAGATCAATCGGCTACTTCTCGAAGATGATGGTGCTTCTGGAAAGGCTACTTCAGAATATCAACTAATTATCCAAGAGTTTCGTGCTTTTTTATGTGACTGCAAGGACGTTTTGGATGAGACAACCACTATGAAGTTACTAGAAAGGTGAAGCTCTAACTGTTTAATTTAATTATTTCATTGATGCTTGCTTTAATATACTGTTTTCTCTTACTTTTGGCATCAAAATACTGAGCTTGGTATAGTTGACAGTGTGAGGATCCTAGCTAAAGTTCACTTCTACTTTCTTGGTGTTCTTGTTGTCATGTTCTCATATATTATATTGAGTGGCAATTGTTATTGTGATATCTTTCTATACCGATTACTCATATGTTATGAAAATGCTTGAGTTTGTAATTTGTTCTAGCGAGACTTGATCACTGAAAATTTATCTGGTGTCTTTGTTTTAAGTGGGATTTCAAAGTTTGATGTATTGACAAAATTTTTCTTTTGATATTTTTGCAGCTATGGAAGGGTTGATGAATTGGTGTTCTTTGCAAATCTGAAGGAGCAATATGAGATCGTGATTCGCCACTATATCCAGGTGTTTTTTCTGTGGCCACTTGTATACTCTTACCTTCAAAATTAAAATATTATCGGAGGGCTTGGCTACTCAAGTTGTTGCACTCAATTTCATAAAAATTGTCTGTTTTGCTGCTTTTAATTTCCTGTCAATTTTTAAGCACAATGCTTGATTTTAAAGATACCATTACTTCATTATGATGGAAAATTCTGACAAATGCACCGTTTTGATAGTTTATTTCGTTTGGCCCTTTACAGCAAGGAGAAGCTAAGAAAGCACTACAAGTTCTTCAGAAACCTAATGTTCAAATAGAACTTCAGGTACAGACTTTGTACTTAGTGCATTGATTTATTCATGACAATCTCTACATTTGTCATTTATCAGCATGGCTGTTCCACATTTTTTTGATCTGATGGTGGCGTTAAAATTGATCCCTACCCATGGATTCTACTTTGTTTTATGGTGATGTGGTTCTGTCTTTTTCAGTATAAATTTGCTCCAGACCTCATGGTGCTTGATGCTTATGAAACTGTTGAGTCATGGATGACCACCAAGGATCTGAACCCAAGAAAGCTAATTCCTGCTATGATGCGATATTCAAGTGAACCTCACGCTAGGTAAGGCTAATAGTCATGTGCTTTTCTGTTTTTACAATACTATGATGTGATATTGTCTCTTGAATCTTGATAGATGATGTTGGCAACATATGATCGATGTAGAAAGGCAGACATATTGAGATGGGCTCAGTTGTTATTACAGTTGATATGCCCCATTTAATGATGAAGAATATAAGTCCTTAATTCCTTAAATGCAGGAATGAGACACATGAAGTGATCAAATATCTTGAGTATTGTGTTCATCGCTTGCTGAATGAAGATCCTGGTGTTCACAATTTGTTACTTTCTCTGTACTCCAAGCAGGTACAGGCGTTGACAGTTTTCACGATATTCAGGATGTTTTTATCTAAGTTCTGCCTTAATAATAGATATAGTTCTTCATTTGTATGATTTTACTTTCTAATAGAATATTCTTTTGTCGAGAAAGCAACACTACTGTTACAAATGCTTTTTCTTGTAGCTTCTCTTTTTGACAGGTGTAATCAGTTGCCTTTTCTCTTTCTGTCACCAACTTTATTTTTGCACTCCATTTTCTGTTCTATATCATTTTGCCTTCAAAAATCTGTATTCTTAGAGTAACCTGTAGTGTGAGTAATTTCCTTACTAAACTTAAATGATATTAAGGCAGGGTTTTTTTTTTCTTTTCTTTTTTGCTTAGTAATTTCTGTCTTATTTTTATTTTGTTAAGTTGATTCAAAAGAAGCATCTCAGTGCAATCTTACTATATATACCCTGTAACCTAAATAAGTAAACCATTTTGTTCTCACATCAGAAGTCTGATGGTGGTGCTGATATAGGATAAGTAGAAGCCTCCTAGTGCTAATCTAATATTTTCTTCTTTTTTTAGGAAGATGAGAGTGCTCTTCTACGTTTCTTGCAATGCAAATTTGGTAAAGGGCGATCAAGTGGCCCTGAATTTTTCTACGATCCCAAATATGCTTTACGCCTCTGTCTAAAAGAGAAGCGCATACGTGCCTGTGTTCATATATATAGCATGATGTCCATGCATGAAGAGGCAGTTGCTCTTGCATTGCAAGTAAGCTCTCTTTTTATGTAATTGTTTTCTTTTTTTGATTGTATGATTTAGATGATTGTAAACAGTGAAAATGAATCTTTGCTCAGTCAGGTATTAATGATACTAAGTTTGAGAACTGGAGGAAATTTAACTGGAAATTGGATCTTTGACGAGAAATTATAATGAATATGAGGCGCGGCATAGTTGTAAGATGCATTCTCTGCTTCCTGTAACTAGTAGGTTTAAGTCACCTAATGTAATGAGTTGGGCGAGTACTTTTGATTCCTTTAAATTTTTTGTGAAAAAAGAAAGAAAATTACTGAATTGTTATAACTGTTGTTTAAATTAGAAAAACCCACTAGCAAAATCTTTTCGGTCAAGTGGGATTGGTCATGGCCTATTACATGCTTGCTCTTTGAATAAAAATTTCCTCATTTGTAGATTACTTTTCGAATAATTTTAGGATGGCTTATTTTCATGTACATTTTGCATCTTTCAAGTTCTTATTTCAGTTTATATTGGAGAAGCTGACTCACAAGATATGTAGAATAGTATTCTCCTTGTACAAGTTGATATATATTATAAAAGTGGCGGAATCATCATTAACCTAAATCATTACTAACCTAAATCTTTTAGAGAACAGACTGGTAATCCTGGGAATACCCCCTATTTTTCAGGTTGATCCAGAGCTTGCCATGGCGGAAGCTGACAAAGTTGAAGATGATGAAGATTTGAGGAAGAAACTTTGGCTAATGGTTGCCAAACATGTCATAGACCAGGAAAAGGGTACTAAAAGGGATAATATTCGTAAAGCTATTGCTTTCCTGAAAGAAACAGATGGGCTCTTAAAGATAGAGGATATTTTGCCCTTCTTTCCGGACTTTGCTTTGATCGATGATTTTAAGGTACTGTCATCTTTTACATTACGTTGTTTTTATCGCTTTCACTGCATAGTTTAGGGTGATGGATGAGGCTGTATTTGCATTTGCGTATGTATAGTTTGTATACACCAGATGTGTGTATGTGTGTGTATGTATATATACACATACACATACACAATGTGTGTGTGTGTGTATGTATATGTATTCAATTTGTTCATTTTGGCTGTTTGCAATTTGTATAACAGTACATGGCTATATGTCTCTCTCCTTGTTTTACAAGTGTATGTATGGTGTTTACTTCTACGTACTCGCGCGCACATAACTTCCTGTGAAATGGCTTGTACATGAAAACCACAAATGTTTGTTTCAGGAGGCAATCTGTTCATCTTTGGAGGACTACAATGAGCAAATTGAGAAATTGAAGCAGGAAATGAATGATGCAACATATGGAGCTGACAATATAAGAAAAGATATTAGTGCACTTGCTCAACGGTATGCTGTCATAGAGCGTGATGAAGAGTGTGGGGTATGTAAAGATCAGCTATTGAAATTACTTAAGATTATTTCAATGTGCTAGTATCTTGAAATTCTCGATATAGTATAATTACATGCACTTATTCTGATATGCTCATCATCATCAGGTCTGTAGAAGGAAGATATTGAATTTAAACAAGGAGTATCAGATGTCACAGGGTTATGCATCAGCTGCTGCAATGGCTCCTTTCTATGTGTTTCCTTGTGGACATTGCTTTCATTCTCAGTGTTTGGTCACCCATGTGACTAGTTGCACTAATCAAACCCATGTGAGTGCTAGATACTACTTACCTTGGAACTCTTTGGTCGTTTTCATTTTTTTGCAAATTGGATAATTACTGTTTTAGATAAACTACGGATCACCCCCTAAAGCTTTAGGAATTGGAGTGCGTAAACATGATCACCCTTTTGTTGTTACTAATGTTTAAACCAATCATACTAAATTGTCCCCATGTATTTCTTCAAATGGACAAATTGTTGGAACCAGTCATGGATATTCTGTTATCTTTCACATTTACATCATTGAACCTGGATGTTCAATTGGTTAATAGGGGTAACTGTATATTCATTGAATTTCAGGGTGTCTGGTCAGTAGTTCCCCTGAACTTCAGGGGTCTCTCTCTCTCATATTTTAATATGGTTAACTGTATCAATGGTTTCTTTTGGAAAATATAATTGACTTCTTTTCGTCAAAATCTGCTGCATATGAAATGGGATGATGCAGGCAGAATTTATTTTGGATCTGCAGAAGCAACTGACACTACTTTGTAATGAGCCGACTAATAAGCAGCATTCCAATGGTGGTGGATTATCTGAAGACGAACCAATAATGAGCATGATGACCCCAGTAGAGAAGGTAAATTTCAAACATGACTTCTCTCGTGTTATATGTTACTTGATTGTTGTTTAACTGGAATCAGTGTGTTGCAGATACGATCACAGTTAGATGATGCTATTGCCAGTGAATGCCCATACTGCGGGGACCTGATGATACAGGAAATTTCGAAACCTTTCATTCGGGCTGACCAAGTCGATGAGATCCGATCATGGGAGATCAAACCACAACATAACACAGCAGCGCAGAAAAGCCTGTCTTTACCTGCGTAGTTATGGCCAGACTTTGCTTGGGTTTGTGTTTTTGTCCTCTCCTTCCTGTAGGTTGTTTAATGTGTATTACTACTATGTAAACAAATTACCTTATCAACGGAACACAGTTGTTCAAATTCAAGGTCAGAGTTGGTTTTATTTTCCTTTTTCAAAAAAAAAAAACGACAATCAATTGTATAGGAGGAGAAGTGGAATAAAGATTTGCATCTATATCATTTTACAAAATTATACTACTACAATCCTTGCATTTGTATATGAATCATGAATGAAGGAATTGTTGTTATTGTTGAATAGCGCACTGAAACCTTGTGTGATAGCCAAGTGTTTAGAAGTTTTAATTCAACACATTTTCAAATGCATTCATCTAATAGTAATATCCCACTTGTCATATTATCCGGGGTGTATCTATACTCAATAGCTGTTTGATGAAGTGACTCGCCATTAAATTAATGTTTGCATCTGTCTTTATTTGTTGAGTTAAAAATAGCGCGCATAAACCAGACGGATTTACTTAACATTTAAGATGAGACGAGACGAAATGAACACAAATATGTCTATCTAACAAGAAGAGGATTAAGCCACAATAATCTCTTTAGAGTTTATTTTATTGGTGATGGGTTGGAAGTTTGAATTCGAAACCATAACAAATCCAAATCACAGAAGAAGAAACTAGTACTACTACTGCTACTACCTAAGCACCGCCACTAACGGCTAGTTAGAGGCCGGGCCGGAGACTCTAACGGTCACCACCACACTCACTTACCAGCACCCGCCCCCAATTAACACCACAAATAATAATAATAATAATTTCCAGGCCAGCTGTGAGAATATATAATAATTGTTGGAAATTCATATCTCTCTCCCGACAGACTCTCTCTCAACATCCCCTAAGGCGTTTACTACTTTATAGGGAATTGCTGCTGCAGCTGCTGATGGCAATCTTAAAAATTTCCAACACTTACATTCATAATTATTTTTAAAAAAATAGTTGCCCACCCATGACCCAACCAAATATGAACCCAAATTTAATTATTTTTATTAGTACAGTACCTCCGTTTCCAAAGATTAAAGTAATTTTAAAAAATGAAACTCTTAAAATTGGCATCGGTGAGATTTATATGTATGATCTGTAAGATTTCAAATTGGTACTATTTTTTTTAAAAAAAATAAAAAAATTGGTACATAGTATTTTAATATTCCATGTACTCCTTCTGTCCCAAAATTATTGTCTAATTTAAGATTTCATTTTAATTACAATTTGAACTAAAAATGAAAATTCAAATTGGACAATAATTATGGGACAGAGGGAGTATCATTTTATTCTTTGTAAAATGATGAGAATAGAAATGTAAGAGCAACACATTTTTACATGAATAATTTTCTAAAGAAAGAATCATCTAAATTCAATTTATTAATTCTTTCTTCCAAAATTTTTTTTTATTAATTCAAAAAGAAAACTCAAGATCGGCCCACCGCAACTACCCAAAAATAATTAATCCATTTATAAAACAAAATAAAAAAAGAGTTCTCTCTCTCATCTTCTTTCAAACCCCTACCCTCTCTCTCTCTCTCTCAATAATTTTTGTAGGACTTTTATTATTCGAAGAAGAGAAGGGATCCCCCTTTTGTTGTCTCTCCAGAATTCACCGCCCCCCTCTCCTTCCTGTCTATTCTTGTATTTCATTCCATCTTTTGGGGTTTGGGTTTGGGTGTTTACTACACACAGATCCCTTTTTCCCATTTTCTGTTTCCCCACTTCTTTACTCTCCTCTGAGTCGCCGAGTCTCTCTATCCGCAAACCCAGCGTAATAGTTGAAGAAGAACAAATCAATCAACAAACAAAATTCCTCCCAGCTGACGCTCAGGAACTCGCAATCTCTTTGCTCCCTCTCATCTGTACTGTTCATCTCTCCTTTTTGCTTTCTACGTCTTTATTTTCTTGATTTTCTTAATGTTTATTCCTCCTCTCGATTGTGCTTCAATTTAGATATTAATTGGTTTAGTTGTATTCTCTTTCTTTTGTACTACATGTCTAATCGTGTCGTTTTGTCAATTTCTTTCCCTTGGAATTGGTTTATATTCGCTTCTGTGTTTCCAAAGATGCTTTCTTTGTTGTTGCTGGGTCTTCCTTCACTCTATTCCTAAAGTTTGGTTTTTTACTGTTTGACTTGTTAGTTCTCTGAGAAACCGAAAAAATTATCACGCTGCGCTGCCTGAATTTTCTCATTTCTAAACCTTCCGTTCTTGCCTGTTGCCTGAATTTTCTCCCAGCTGGATATTGGGTTTTGTTTCTCTGTTTCCAAGAACGGATTTTTTTGCCTGTGGATTGCCATTGAGTGACGCTGATTTTGGCTCATTGCAGGATCCCCTATATCTGCTGCATCTTCGACCAAGTGGGGGGCATATTCGAGGGCATTTATAGTTCCACCTCCAGCGATATCAGGGCAGTTCTGCACCAATTTCTGATTTTGCCACACTATGGTAAATGTCTCATAACTTTTTGCTTCTTCCGTGTTGGGGATGGATTCCACTGTCTCTTTAGTGTAGGCCTTTTAAGTTTCCACATTTTTTGTTATGTGTCTCAGATTAGTTGAAGTATATTTGATCTTTGTTTCACGCTTAATTAGATTTTATATTCTTCTTTTTTCCTTGTTTTAACGTCGTGCTTAAGGTATACTGATCTCCTTGATAGGCAGAAGATTTATAGATAGTCCCTTCCAAAGATTGTTCTTGTTATCCAATATCCAACAGTGTAATGTGAAGTGATAAAACTTATTCTGTTTCTATCCATGATAGGCAACAAATGAAAATCTACCTCCAAATGTGATAAAACAACTTGCTAAGGAATTGAAGAACCTGGACGAAACACCTCCGGAGGGGATTAAAGTTGGTATTGATGATGATAATTTTTCTACAATTTACGCCGATATTGATGGGCCAGGTAGTCCTTCATACAATAGATCTCTCGCTCTTATATTATAATCCTCTGTTGTTGCTGACATTTAATCCTGCCGTGCAGCTGGGACTCCATATGAAAATGGTATATTCCGAATGAAGTTGATATTATCCCATGACTTCCCTCATTCTCCTCCAAAAGGTTTGTAAACGGCTACATCTTAGCACCTAAGGTTTTGTTGCAAGTTGTTTCCTTTTCACGGAATATAAGTATTGATTTTACCTGCTTCATCAGAAATTCGTTATTGCCAATATTGCAGTTTGGACTTTTATTTTCCGGTTCCCTTGCTTTGATGGTCTTACGCCAATACATTGCCTTTTAATTCAGGTTACTTTCTTACTAAGATTTTTCATCCAAACATTGCAACAAATGGTGAGATCTGTGTGAATGCGCTGAAAAGAGATTGGAATCCTAGCCTTGGCTTGCGACATGTTTTGATGGTATCTTTACCCGTCCTTTACCGTTAGACTTGGACTTGTGCCTTTGCTTTTTTCACTTGTTTACCCTTTCTCCATTGGTCATCGTAGGTTATAAGATGTTTGTTGATTGAACCATTTCCAGAATCAGCCTTGAATGAGCAGGCTGGCAAGATGTTACTCGAAAATTATGAGGAATATGCCCGTCATGCAAGGTATGCTACTTCTTTATCAGGTTTCAGAATCTACATTTAAGGTGCTTCCATTGTTAGTTATCCTCGAAGGAGGCATTGTTTTGAACAGATTTTGTTGGATCTCTTTGTAGCTGATTTATTCTCATGTCCTGTTTTCGGCATTATTCTTGACTTCAGAATTTTCACGGGGATTCATGCACTCAAACCAAGGCCAAAGAGTAAAACAGGAGCCATATCTGAGTCTACAACTGCCTTAAATGTTGACCAGTTGGTTAATGTCAAGAATAAGGCATCTGGCGCTGCTCTCCCGCTGCCCCCACATGCGTCATCCGTAGTCGCTTCCTCAAATGCTGCCTCAGGCACTAAGCATGACTTGTTGGTTGATGTCGATGTGAGTTGCAATGCTGCATCAGCAGCTATTCCTTTGGTACAGAAGAAGGAAATATTGGTTACCAAGGTTCCTGCTGCTGCTGACAAGAAGAAGATGGATGCAAGGAAAAAAAGCTTAAAGAGATTGTAAAGGTTTAAAGAATGTATAAATAATAGCATCCTGCCCGATATTTCGCTCTGCTCGCATAAGCTATGAATTTGATTGAAGCTCATTGTGTAAGGCCTTGGAATACAGGGATTTGTAATTTTTCAAGGATATCATTCATTTTGTAATGTGTTCTCGTTGAGGTTTTTATTGCTTTTTTTTTTTTTTTTGTTGGATGGTCTTCAGTTTTGTGGGTGTACATAAAAGATTTCTTCAGTTGGGGAGTAACTAGGATTTAGATGATTTTCCTTTCATATTTATTGTAATGGAAAGTTTCTTAATTCAAAGGGTTAAAAATGAAAGAATCAAGGAAGATTAATAGAGATCCGAGGCTCCAATGTTCAGTTATCGATCAAATGGAAAAACAAGTGTGTATTGCGATGAAACGAAAAACGATCTGTTTCAGAGATTATCAGAACTGCACAAGACAAATCATAAAGAAGGGAAAGATATTCGTTCATCTCAAGGAGGAAGAACATCAAAGAAAATAAAACTAAAAAAAAGGGGGGGGAGGGGGAATAATGTAGGAGGCATCATATTTCAATTCAAGGAGGCGGGTGTTTGTTTTAAAATAAGAACATTAAAAACAAGAACTAGAACAATAATGATCTCGAACACACACAAACAGAGTCACACACTACTTGGCCATCATAACTTTAACAAACTCCTCATAGTTAATTTGACCATCACCATCTACATCAGCCTCCTTGATCATCTCATCAACTTCCTCGTCGGTGAGCTTCTCCCCTAAGTTGGTCATCACATGGCGCAACTCAGCTGCAGAAATGAAACCATTCTGGTCTTTATCAAACACCCTGAATGCTTCTTTCAGCTCCTCCTCCGAATCCGTATCCTTCATCTTCCTTGCCATCAGATTTAAGAATTCCGGGAAATCAATGGTTCCGTTACCATCAGCATCCACTTCATTTATCATATCCTGCAGCTCTGCCTCAGTTGGGTTCTGCCCCAGTGACCTCATCACAGTCCCAAGCTCCTTTGTGGTGATACAACCTTTGGTTGGGTTTAAAAAACAAACAAAATATATTAGAATTGAATATCCAAACCCAAAGCATGCATGCATCCAATCGAAAGCAAGTTATTTCATCAATTGCCAAGTGAATGAATCTGCAACAATTTCCAATTTTTCCAGCTTCTAACAGGACAATGGTGTTAAATCTTGCAAAACTTATTCACAGATTGGTCCATACAATCCAATAATACGTTTACAAAGGTTTAATAGCGGATAACAGGAATCTGAGCTCTTATTGTTTTTTCAACTAAAAACATAAAGCTTGGGGCTGAATTATGTGCAAGAAACATAAAGATAAAGACCTTCGTTTTTGTTCTCTCTTGATACTCGGTATGATTTCAAGAGCCTCAACCGGTCAACACAACAAAAGTATGATTAAAAATTCAATGATGCAGGAAACATGGAGTAATAATAATTCTTGCAAAGAAAATAAAACAATGATGGATCACAAAACATTATAAACGACATATATGTTAATTATATATATAAAAAAAAAAGACAAAATCAGATCTGAAGGGAGAAGAGGGAGAAAGAAGAAAACCATCTCCATCCTTGTCGAAAAGGCTGAACGCCTCCTTAAACTCAGAGATCTGATCGTCTGTGAGTTGATCAGCCATATGAAAATTTCCACCTGCGTATGTCCAAACAAGGGCAAGGAAAAACTAGGAGGAGGAGGAGAGGAAGAAGAAGAAGAAGAAGAAGAAGAATATAGAGAGAGATAAATTGGTACGATTGGAATTTATTATTTATTATTAAAAATAAATACTCCTATAATAACCACGACATGAGAAGAGAGAGATGGATTTCTTTGTTTGGGTAAAGTGAGAGCTCCGCCTTTAATCTTATCCCAGTAAGTGGAAGCCCGGATTTATTGTAGGCCGCGTTTTCCGCTTTGCCTTCTGTTTTTACTTTTTTTTTTTCCTTTATTAATTTTTCTTTCCCCCATTTCCCTCTTCCTCTCTGCTTCTTCTTATCTTTCAAACTAGATTATAATGTATGTTTTCTTTTCCAGCCAAAGGAGCAAATTTATGTATATTAGTTTGTTGGATTAATTACGAACGATGGTTGCAACAAGTTATAAGATGTCGTTTCTATTTTAAGAGAAAGAAAAAAGTTATTATATGTCAACTAAATAGTTCCCCTTCCATCCTAAAATACAAAATACTACTTCCATTCTTTTCTACTTGGTTTTATGTATTTAAGTTTTTACTTGGCATAAATCTGCCTTGATGCAACATGTAAAGAATGTTCAAATGGACTCTCAGTGTAATTTAGTGTACTGCCAAAAGTAATTTAGAATCACCTCTAGAAGCCTGCCATCAGCAAGATACCCGTGACCTCCACATAATTTTGTTTTTTTTTAATTAAAATATGTACAAAACAAAATTTTGCCAAAAATATATGCCAATTTAGCCAATCCGAATCTCACTAAATTTGGGTTTAGGTAATCCGAATGTTTGTTAAT